GGAAAAATTAAAGGGGTTCTCATTAAGAAGGGAAAAGTACACTTATTAAAAAGGAAAAGGGGCACGAATCAAAGTTTTAAAAAAGGGCAAAAATATCTCATGTGAAAAGGAGAATTCTCTAGCGTCTGAAAAGACGTACTCATCAGAGATTTTTTAAAAGAGAGGAAAAGGACAGTTATTAGAAAAGAAATGGGGCACTTGTCCTATGTAAAAATGGACTTATGTGGGTACCTGAAAAAGTGGGTGGCACAGCCCCCCCCCCCCCCCCCCCCACCTGGAGTGCTGCCACTGACATAATGGGCAACAATGAGAGAAAAACCCGGAAAATCATGTCATTTTAGCAACATTTGTCAAACACTGGTATCGAATAAGAAATAAACCACGTTTGAATTTTATTTTGGGGTCAACTGCCCCCCCCCCCCCATCAGTACGATAGTGGGGAAAGACACGTAGTATCGTCATGCTGCACCCCTTTAAACAAAGCACGACATACATGAAATACGGCATGAAGTTTGAAACAAAAATAAAAATCTCAAGAAAATAATAGTACATTATAGAATTATTACAGCAATACAGGAGGAATAGTGAATTGTAATTTATTGCATGCATATGCTGATTCTCCGGTACAAGCATTAATGACAATTATGACGTATAACCTAGTTGTATCAATACATTCATACCTTAGATACCTTATTTATACCTTAGATACACAAACTCTAATAGATCACAGTTTTACCACAGATAGAGATATGCAATATCTCCACATAATCAGTTCACTAATTACTTTTACACGTACGACAACACTAAAATGACAGCATCGTCAATATGACATTTTCTACACCACTTGTGAACTCAGCTTATTACAAAATGGCAAAATTCCTACATGAAGTTTTTATTATTTTACTTTAAAAAATTATCCTATTCATTTCTTCAGACTTCTGTAGAGAGACATTTTCGTTCTGGTAGATATGAATCTAATAATTTTGTTTTTTCATTCTTCAAATACCATAGTACAAAATTAGAAAATATTGCTCTTGCTAAATCCTCTCATATTCAGGAAATGACGAGAAATAGCTCAGTTTGGACCAAACTTTCTTGTAATGTGTGATTGATCCCATACACACATCTTTTTACTTTTAATTATTACTTATGTACTACATCATGAAACTGTTAACCTTTCCTATGCAGTAGGTTCTGGACAGTTTTTTTCACAATGTAATGGCATTTCGAGTACTCGACACTACTTTAAGAGGGTACAATTTTCGGTTTAACATATGAAAATATAACAAAATATCAAATGTACAGACAATAAAACTCCTCAAAATTCAACAGTTTTCTCTTTAACAATGCTTACCTAAATTCATCGGTAGCTTTCTTTTCTGAATTAAAGGAACGACTCTCTTTTTTAATCTACCTAAGCACTCTTCTGTCAAACCATCTCCTCTGATCTGGAGCACAGTCATGCAAGATTGTGTTGAGTTAAACTTCCAATATCAATCATACATGTTTGGCAATGGGATTCAATTAAAGTCAATACCTTTGTATTCACTTAAGGCACTGTTTTTTTTTAAAAACTATGACCAAATAGCTAAATGGCCCTTTGAGAGCCTGAAAATTTTCAAAAATAAAGAATTAGAAATCAATTACAGCTTTTTCTTGTAGCCTGGACCTAGATTGACCTCCCATGCTTAATGAAAAATTGTCAACATTGCTTCATGTGCATGAGGTATCCCTGAACAGCCAATTGTTTACGGAATTTTGTAACAAAATTGACATACCTTTTTGGTTGGAACCGAAAAAAATATATATCCACAAACATTATGCTTTTTTTTCTATTGATGATTAATGAGCGTGGGTGAATCTTAAAGAATGTTAATAGTAATCTGAATTAACTCCTGTATTTTGATGGAACAGTGCAATTGAAACGGTGTTTCGGACGTTACATTTTCTGTAAACATTGTAGACCCTCATTTAACCCACTAGAACAATAAATTAATGAAATTGTTTATGGTTTGAATAAGCTTATTAGTTACTCCAAGTCATTAAATTAAAAGAAAAAATAATTTTATTGTAGTAGCGCTTATATTAGAAATATACTCAAAATTTGAAAAAGTTGCCTCATTTTCCGTAAACGATTTTGTAACGTCCGATTTTTCAATTTGAAGTAGCAGAAAATATATGAACAGCAGGACCTATCTTTCGTAACATTTTTAAAACATTTCATGGCGGCTACCCACCAAAAAAAAAGAAATTTGCAATACATCATTACAATACTATTTTATAGTTAAAACCAATTTTCCGTTAACAGTTGTAACGTCCAAAACAAAAACTACCAAATAAATGATGATAATCCATATTTGATGGTATCTGGAGTGAATAAATCATTATGAAATAAGTTATTATAAGTCTTATTACAAGTCAAAACACAAATCAGGTCTTTCAAATCCAATAATTTTGTGTAAGCTCAAGAAGGGTGTTTTATTGTTAACACATAGTTTGCAAATTTCAACTAATTTTCGATCATAATATGTGCAAGTTACGATTTTACAATGCACACTCCTGTTAAAAACACTATTTTGATAATTTCATTTAGATCTAAATATAAAAATATGAAGAAATATGATGCAAAAATTCAAATTTTCCGTAAAATATCTGAATTTTGGGCAAAATTGACTTATAAAACATAAAATATTGAAGCCACACATTGTGATGCAAGGCATGGTTGGCTGCTTTAGTATATCCTTAATTGTAATTTAATAGAAACAATCTCAATAAGAGTGACTGATAAAAAAAATATTCAGCCATATTAACAGCACTTTCTGGTATGCTGTTAGCCCGTTTCGGATGTTACATTAAACTGTTAACAGACATTTTCATACTTTAACTAGTTCAAATGAGGAGCAAAGATAAATGTGAGAATAGCCACTTAAGCAATACGCAGTGTACATGTAAATGACACGGATATGATACGGGTATATAAAGTTGATAAAATTAAGCAAATTAAAGTGTTTTTCTAAAACTTTATGGGAAATATGGATTTTCATTTGAAAATACCTTTTAAAAAGGGCACTCAGTACACGTAACTAATCTGTGTAGAAAGTACATACATGTATAAAAGAAAAAGACATTACCATTAATACCTTATTTAATGATCCTAAACATATACATGTAGTATCTTCCTCAAATGTATGCATACATACAAAATGTATAAGCTAGTGTGAAATATAAATGGGCTGTGCATTTGGGGTTTTTTCTTCTTTTTTTTCCCTCTACAAAATGTCAAAGTTGGGGGTGCGGCGCTGCGGCCTATATCGCCGGCAAATACGGTACATGTTTAACCTACACTGTATATTGTTTGTCACCTGGGATATCGGCACAGCAAGAGTCAAGATCTATCAACAAACCAACCAACAAACCAACCAACCAACCAATCAATCCATCCATTCATCAATCTGTCATCAAGTAAATAAATAAATAAATACTTATTTAAGAGCATTAACAAAATGTTGTCGTTTGAAACAGCCTCCTAATACAAATAGTTGTAAAGGATGACCTAAAACATACAACATTTTAAAATACATCTAAAATGTCTCATTCTCGAGATGTACATACATTAGGATTCACTTATTTCTTATTACTAACATGACTGGGGGTACTTTTTTATAGTTTTATTTTAAAAAAGATTTTTCAATGCTTTGCTTACATACATGTATGCGTTAGTGATATTATTGAATGATACACTACAGTATATTCCGGTAGTTGAGGGCAAAGAACATTAGCAAGCTGATTAAACGTCTATATTGTAGAGTTTGTAGAAATTGATGATCTCATTGAAATGCTAACTTTGTGTAACATCCGAAACAAACCATAGCATACATTTCACACTGTTGTTCATAATGTGCAATTAAAAGTATGTTTCTAAGTGAATTTTCTAAAGAGTTTTGATGACTACAATTGCTATTAGCTTCATATTTCACTCTGTTAGATCACATAAGCATTTTTAACTACCGGTACACGTTCCTGAAATGAATAATATACCTTACATAAATTGAGTGGTCGATTAAGACAAACTTGGAATACATGTGTGTGTTAAACTAATTAAAACTGCAAAAGAATTCCATAAATGTTACAGAAGTATTTTTTGCAAACAATTAATGTAAATGAGGTCAATAATACATAAAGAAAAGTAATTAACTTGAATAAATTTATGATGTTAACAGTGTGTAACGTCCGAAACATCAGTCGTGTGACATATGAAAATTATTAGGCGATGCACTGGTTCCCAATTTGTTTGCATGTATTTACCTTATATCATCAGTTGTTATAATAAAATAAGTTTGACCTAAGAAAAAAGCATTTTAACTATTAAAACTAAAACTTGTTATTGTCAAAACCCAAATTTAGAGCTATTTTCAACTCTCAAGGGATACAAAATCTGTATTTTTCTAGATAGAAACTTAAAAATTTGCATGAATATGCTCTGAAACATATTCAATAAAGACTCGAACATATTTAAAGGTGTAGTTAATAGCAAATGAGTTTTATATCACAGTTATTAGATATGCTATAGTTCACAATAAAATTGTAAGAACTCATAGTATTCATATCTGGTGAATAAATAAGGAGATAGATTAAGCTCAAAAATTTGCATTTCTCATAAATATGAATAGTCCTGATCCTAAAAATACACGTTTGAAGTAAGTAAACATAATTTCGTTTTTGACCCTTTTGTGGACATATTTGGTATATGTTCAAAAAACCAGTGCCTTAAGCCGCTACATCGTATGTTCCATGCAGTAAGTACTAAGTCCCTTGTTATTATCTAACTCGGTGAGAAAACCGTGATTTAAATATGAGGTTGGTTTCAGCAGACACAGAAATATTACATTAGAGAAGCAGATCGGTGAAAATTTGAGCCAAACCTGATGAATAAGGTAAAATTAACTTTTAAAGTTTTATTCAATCAAACGTATCTTTTGAGGTCCCCCCCCCCCCCCCTTTATTCTGTACAGAAATTATTTAAATTGTAATTTTCTTAGTTTTTGATGGAGGATTCTCTTTCCAAACAAGGGTTGTGTAAAAGACATTTGTGCAAAGATAATACTTAGGAAGCTTGAACGATTAGATTTTTTTGTTTAGAGAAAATAACAGTTTCTGATTTTTTTTTCCCAGTTTTTTGTGGTAAGAGCAAAGGGAGGGAACTTGCAAGATTCGTCAAAGAGTTGTTAATTTGTGTTTGATTGTTTGTGACTTCAAAAAATAATATATTCCATATATATATCAGGTTCTGCTCAAACATTTACTGATCTATTCTTTTAATTATATTTGTGCTTCTACTGAATTTACCCAGATTTTAGGTGGATTCCCTTTTAATATAGTTTGACATGGAATCAGGTAGTAGACTGGTACTTCTTATGTTTGACCAGTTGAGAAGAACTCAAATAAATGAAATAACACCAGAAAGTACCATGACTATTCAAACGTTGAATCATGATAATATCCTCAACCGTTACGATAAAATACCATATAGTTGAATATACAACAGTAAAATTAGATTCTGTAGCATCTTTGCTATTTGGCATTTTGCTTTCGAGAAGCTTTGCTGTCAAAGGGAGTGTCTGCAATCTCGTCCTCCTCTTGCCGAGTTTATACTACTGGATCGTAATCTAAAAACCCTGTACAAAAAATAAAAAGAAGCAGCAATCAGAAAGTTAAAATAGCGTTTGAAATGTAATGGTGATGGGACAGGTGCAAATAAGAATGCATGGAATCAAGGGTACAATACAATACCTAGACGGTCCAAATGCAATAAATTATTGATAATTTATTGCATTTTCTTTATTTTTGTTATTTGTGGGAACTGCCCCTACCCTAGCCCACGCTGCGTACAGTCATGGTTCAGTGGCAAAGAAATGGCCTCGTAACTGTGAGGCCCCAGGATCAAACCGTGTCGATGTGCTATATTAGTGCCCTTTTGTGGGGCATTAATCCTCATTACTGTCATTTATGACTTAAGAGCGTAGATCCCCTAGTTGATAAGCATAGTAGCATACACATGCTGTATTGGTCACGCAAAAAAAAACACTGGAAAATTATTATTCAATAAAATCTGGGAATGTATACTTTTATCTAGATCTATTAGGAATAAATCATTGTCAAAATAATTCCATAAATTGGGGTCAAAAAAAAAATATTCCAACTTTCTGAGCAACAGTGTATATTACGCAAAAAGAAATTGAAATAGGTTATTAAATGTAGAACGATACATGAAATGGAGAAAGACCTGGAAACCCTAAACGAACACAAAAACCACTATTAGGGTAATATTCAGAAAATAAGAGACAGTTCTTTAATTTTCTTTTAAAGCTATTATTATTTTTTAAATCAATAATTGATGTGATTTAATTTGGTAAAAAACTCCTTAATGTTCTTTGTGTCTGAAAATGAAAGAGAAAAAAAAATTATATTTAAGAAATATCTGTAATTTACTTCCATCGACGTGAACCCAAGACTTGGATTGAGAGGAAATAAATATTTCTTGATGTGATTGATTACGTCATCGTCTAGCTTGACCATCTTACTGGTCCAGAAAGCAACAAGTCGGGAATCTTTGTCGTCTACGACTTCATGTCCATACGATGAAACATCGGTACCCTAAGAAAAAATATAAAACGAAAGAAAAATAAATCATCAATAAATTTATGAAATGCTAATTTAGATTCTGGACAATATTTACTAACATTCAGTAAAGGTGTTTACCGAAACTCTCAAAAAAGCCGCCGTTGGGGGATTTACTTTGCCATTTTTGTCATGGAATCATAGTATCACTATTTAAAATAAAATGATTTAGTAAAGCTAACCAAAATGTCTTTATCACATAGTAAACTTAGTTTAAAGAGCCTTCCGGAATACTAAATCATGTTTTATCCTAAACATATAGCATCAACCCAACATTTTCAGATTACGGATCAAGTGCCCAGCGAAATGCTGAAGTGTATGCTGTGAAAAGTTTCCCTCAAATATCATGATAATCAAAATCATGGCTGATTTTTAGAATAACCACAAAAAAAACACGATAAGGCGGCCTTAATTTCCATAAATCGATTGCACTCTTACAAATTCAACTGTGTATCCGTATGTGACCTTCACTATGGAAGGGGCATGGAGAGTTATACACCCTCTCCCCTTCTACCGAAGCCCCTGTATTCCTTGCCCTAAGCGATGTACGATGAAAATGAAGCATATCTGCAAGTATTATCTTGACAAATTATTCTCACAGATATTGACTATTGAAAGTATGTTACATTCACAGATTTCATATCTACTTACCGGCAACATACCGGTACTGCAATTCCCCGTCGTCAGAAAATCCAGCATGATTTGAGATACAGCGTTGCGTATCTTATTTCTCTCGTATGGCTTCTTCACTAGTTCCTCACGTAAGACATTAGCCAGTGAGTTACATGCCTCCATACTGGGGGTCATTGGTGGCCTCATGTTTGCTTGCACGATGGGACGAAGCTGAGTTAAGAAATATTGTAATCATAACATAAATGTTTAAGGAAGTATATTCCATTTCATCTCGTGATTGTGAAGGTGTCAACAAAGGTTTGCTTGCAAGAGAGAATAAAACAACAATTTACCACTGCAACCATATCACCAATTGTATGTATACAAGGACAAGTCCAAGATATTTTGTCCCATGTTACCGACCACATGTCTACATCCAAGATTTCAGTAGCCATAATAGAGCTAAATCAGGCAAAAATTTAACAATTCCATAAAACGATGTAATAATACTTTGTAATGTATGGGAAAAACCTTGAACTTAATTGTTGATACAGATTATAGGTGTATGGTTTTCTTGTTACGCTATAGCTTACTTGTAACTGCTTTGATACCAATATGAACATGATGAAAATATCCTCACCTGATGGGTGACTGTAAATCCTTGATAGCTTGGTATTTGGGATTCATCGGTCAGTCGTCGGAAGGCAGGCTTGGTGATCAAGATCTCACACTCGTCTCTGTCTCTTTGATCGAGAATCTTATCAAGGTCTCGAAGAACCATAGCTACGAATGCAGTATCAGGATCGCCTGAGCTCTCAGTCATCACGCTCTTCTGCGAAGCAAATCCCTGAATGGAATAATGGGGAATAATGCATTTACTGTGTGGATCGTTTAGATGCAAAATCCAGTCCCCCCCCCCCCCCTCCCCTACAGATATACACATGATAGTGAATAATAATAATAATAATATTTAATTTTTATATAGCGCTTAATACAAATGTCTCTAAGCGCTTAACAAATATACTGTTACCCCGTGAACATAGAGATCGTGTGGTCTAGTGGATAAGTTTCCAGATTGTGGACCTCAAAATACAGGGTTCGAGTCTCTACCACAGCACTAACGTCCTCTGAAAATACATAATCTATGCCTACCATACTCGACACAGGTGTGGTAAGTGAGTATATGGTAGGATTTATTCCTTGAATGTACTGAGCGCAACGGGTGCCTGAACTTACGATAATGGTATCGAAAGTGTTTTAGACGTTGTATCATAATCTGATAATGTGATATCCGCTATAGAACGGCTTGAATTATTATCAAGGTCTATTAAATCTTTTTTGACTATGAAGAAAACGAATCCCTTCTGGCTTATGTCTTTATAAAACTATTGTATGGTAGAAGCATTTTGTCAAATTGACAAGCATTACATTCCCTCTAGACAGTTACGTTCTCAAAACTCTGGCTTACTTGTTATTCCTAGGGTTAAAACAAAGTGGGGGCGGACCTTCGCTTATGATGGGCCGTCATTATGGAATATTCTCCCTCAATGGATTAAAAAATAGCAGTTCTGGTGAAGTGTCACAAAACAATCTTAAGAAATATCTGTTTAATTTAGCCTATAATTGATAACCAATTATACCTTTCATGTCCATAACTTTCATTTCATCTTTTGCACATGCTGCGCCCAGCGCATTTGATTGTCAAGTGGATTTGGCGCCTTACAAATCTTATTTATTATTATAATCATTATTATATTCAAACCGTATTTAACTGACCGTGTCTCTGAGAACGGCATTCTTGTAAGGTTTGACACGTTTTTCTAACAATGCTACAATGGCGGCCTTAATGGAGTCCTTTTTATTTTCTGGCGCCGAGAATAGATCATCAAGAAGCACCTGTCCTACCATGGGCCTTCTAATGAAGGAGGCATTCCTTGGTCTTCTCGATGGGGTCGGTTGCTGTTGCTGGAAAAAAGAAACAGATGTAAACTGGAGTATAAGTCCGAAAATGTTATGACAACTGAGAATCCCCCAATGAAAATAAAACACCACCAAAAAACAAAGATCGTCAACTTGTTGCTGTGCCGTTTTTTCCCTCCCCTTTCCTTCTTTCTGTGTGCGTGTCTGTAGGGGGGTCACGTGTCCCCTATGGTCTATATCCCCTTGGTCCACTACTGGGAGTAGGAAAATCATTTTTAATGGCGATGATTTTTTTTTTTTTTTTTTTGATTTTTTTTTTGTTTTTTTTTTGTTGTTGATTTTTTTCCATTTTATTTTATTTTATTGATTCCAAACAATACAAATCAATCTCAGAAATAAAAAAATAAAGTTGTTTTACCTTGACATAAATTCCAAACATTTTCATTACATAGATTTACATTTGATGAAAACAAAAATGAAATCAGTTGTAACATAACACAAAATAACCCCATCCAACCAGAGAATCCTCATGATGAACAATCCCTCGGCCCACAACAAGAAAAGCTACACAAAACTCATTAAAGCGGTCAAGTATGAAGTGAAGAAGTGGAAGAAGAAAATTCTTGACACGGAGGTGGAAGAGATGGAATTAGCTCACGCAAAGAACAACAGCCACGAGCTCTTCAAGAAGGTGAAGAAACTATCTGGTGAGAGAGACAAAATGCAACCTGCCGTGAAGAACAAGGACGGCATCTTAAAAACTGCTCCCGCAGATGTGTTGAAATGCTGGGAAGTACATTTTAGCGTTCACCTTAACACGCAATTTCCAAGGGACGAAAATGCTCTTTTGACCATACCTGACCCACAACCTACAGATAACCCAAGTGAACCTTTCACAATTGAAGAAGTAGAGTGGCAATAAAACTATTCAAGAACAACAAGGCCTGCGGTTGGGACAAAATAGCTGCCAAAACTCTAAAGGCTGGTGGACAACCAATGAGACAACTCCTGCTCAAAATAATAAATGCAGCATGGTCGGAAGGTGAAACCCCGGAAGACTGGAGCAAGGGTCTTATCCAACGGTGTCGATTTGTATCCGTGGTTGGGGGGGGGAGGGGGGGGGGGGTAATGATAGGTGCCATAATATTTTCGGCAATGGATCAAAGCAACCAAGAGGTAGAAGCGTGTGGCAGGTTGCACTCCCTCCCTTGATTTCCAAGTTATCAACTTTTTCAAGTCACCCTCAATAAAGATAACATTTCAGAGAATGTGGGTCCCACATGGGCTTGCTACCTGGGTTATTATCCTCTCAAGCGCGTAGCGAGGATTTTATTTTAGGGGGGGGCGGTAGTGAGCACGCGAATCACTTACAGAGCGCGCGATGGGTACAGGGAGGGGCGCGAAGCGCGGAAGCTTCGATGTTTCATTAAATTATTAGAGAAAGAAGACGATTCGTTGTACCGTTCTCGACTCTTAATCCTTGTATAAATTCAGTTTCTTTTGACGTTTCATTAAATTATTAGAGAAAGAAGCCAATTCGTCGTACCAGTCTCGACTCTAAATCCTTCTTGAATCAGGTTCCCCTTTCTCCGCGCATAGCGCGGAAGCTCTGACGTTTCATTAAATTATTAGAGAAAGAAGACGATTCGTTGTACTGTTCTCGACTCTTAATCCTTGTCTAAATTCAGTTTCTTTTGACGTTTCTTTCAATTATTAAAGAAAGAAGACGATTCGTTGTACCGTTCTCGACTCCTAATCCTTTTTCTTCCTACGTCCTCTTCCTTTCTTCTTTCTCTCTCTCCCACCACCGCCCCCAACGCCCCCTTGGCTACGCGTCTGTATCCTCTCTGTCTCTCATTATCTCTCTCTCCCACTCTCTACTTCTTTATTGCACTTTTGCGCTTCGCGCTGAACATTGAGCTCGTTGCTTTTTAACGCTATGGCTTTGCATTTGGCGCACTGCATTTCTATGTTGCTGTTGATTGAATAAATTGAATACATTCATCAATTCCTGATGAAGCCGTATGAGCGAGAATGCAATTTATTCTTGTCTCATATACGGTTGTCTCATTTACGTATGTATTATGAAAATGATATAGCAAAATGTGTATATTGATGGTCACCTTACGAGTAATAACCATTAACTACTCTCATCGGGCTTTGATCATTAATTTTTCTCTTCATTTTTTAAAATTTTGTATGGTGAAATATTGGGGGGATATACCCCCCCCCCCCCCCCCCCTCGGGATCGACACCAATGGTCTTATCACTCCAGTGTTTAAGAAAGGAGACAAGCTGGATCCATCCAACTACAGAGCTATAACTCTACTCTCCATACCCGGGAAAGTTTTCTGTTGAATGGTCCTCATGAGAATACAGGGAACCATCGAGAATCATCTGACTGAGGAACAATGTGGATTCAGAAGTTGTAAGGGCACCACAGATGCTGTGTTTGTCGTCAGACAGATCATCGAAAAGGCAAGAGAAAGAAGGATACCAATCCACTTGAACTTTGTTGACTGTAAAGCAGCATTTGATACCATATGGCGAGAAGCTCTCTGGAAATGTTTGCGTTCCATTGGAGTGGACAAGTCCTTATAGTTGACCTCATAGAGAGCATGTACAAACAAAACCAAATGCTCTGTTATGGTGAATGGAAAGATAACTGAATGGTTTGATGTCATAACCGGGGTAAGACAAGGCTGCCTCCTCTCTCCAAGTCTCTTCAACCTATTCCTGGAATATGTGATGAAGGACATCCAACAACTAGAAAGTGGAATACAGATGGGTGACATGCGTATCAACAACATCAGATATGCAGATGACACCACCCTGATAGAACTCGTATTTGAAAACCTCCAAATCTCAACAAATGAACTGGAGAAGGCTTGTAGAAGATGGGGTATGAAAATCAAAGCAACAAAATGCAAAGTCGTGACAGAGGATCATCAAGATATTTCACTTAACAACACCAACATTGAGAAAGTGGAAAATTTTGTCTTTCTCGGCAGCACAGTTCCATCCATAGAAGAGGACATGAAGAGACGTACAAGACTGGCTGCTTGGGCATTCGGAAGACTGAAAAGTGCCATCTGGTCCAACCAAGATATTTCTAGGAGACTCAAAGTCAGGATCTACAGAGCACTTATCCTCCCTATTGCCACATATGGAGCAGAATCCTGGACTCTCCGAAAACCAGATAGAAATAAGCTTGAGGTATTTGAAATGAGGTGTCTCCGCGGATCATCCTTGGAGTTCACCTAATGGACAAGATTAGGAACGAAGAGATCAGGCAGAGATTGAACATCCCAAGCACCATATGCGAGGAAATAATCAAACGTTGCTTGAAATGGTTTGGCCATGTTTTACGCATGCCGCATCACCGTCTACCATACCAATACCATTCCAAAATGACTTTAACGGACGCAGACCTCGGGGACGCCCCCCAAAGAGATGGAAGGAGCAGGTTCAATGCGATGTGGGATTACCCACACAAGAGGCAGAGCTAAGAGCCCAGGACAGATCAGACTGGAGCATGAATTCTCGCAGGGGAGCAAGGGGACACACCGTCCTATGCACCTAAGTCAAGTAAGTCAAGTTTTTTTTTCCAGTTTTTTTTTTTATTGATTCCAAACAATACAAATCAATCTTCGAAAGAAAAAAAAAAAGTTGTTTTACCTTGACATAAATTCCAAACATTTTCATTACATAGATTGTACATTTGATGAAAACAAAAATGAAATCAGTTGTAACATAAAACAAATAACCCCATCCAACCAAACACACTACTACCCCTCCCCCCTCCCCTCCTCACCATGCGACACACACACACACACACACCACCCGACCACACTTCCACCAGACACTGTTCCTAGCCTCCTCAGAATACCCCAAATTGGAGAGATGGTGGCTTCTTGCATAGTATTTGCACACACAAGCACACACGTACACACTCATACACTCACAGCTTGTTTCCCACTTGTCTACCTATAAAGGGAACTTTATATTATATTTTCTACACTGTACATCATCTTTTAGCATAATGTAAGCTGAAAAATAATAACTATCAAGCATATATACCCTTTTCTCAGTATGTTAAATAAATCTAGTCATCTGATTGGTCGTATTGGAATTGTGATTTTAGCGATGTCCGCCGACAGGTCAATAGTTTTTTTTAAAGATACCCGTTGCCCCGGATAACGGGCCGTATATATAAATGCTGCTGAGATCCCCAATGGTTATTATCCCCAATTTTTATCCGTTAACTTTTCACATTTCTTCGTATTTTTACGCTCTACAGGAGGTACGTATTACTGTTAATTCGAATAACTATATATTAACAACACCACTATTGTTCCAAGAAAGATTGGCGCATGCGCGGTCCGTATCTCACATTATCCCCAGTTACTTCATAAAATGAAGATCAAACTTTCAGCCTTTTCACACAGAGGTAAAATTCATCGTATCTAGAGCTGATTAGCTTAGAAATTTTCCCTATGTGAACGTCGTTTATACGATGTTCGGACAGATACGAAGTCGCGATTCATACGCCGGTCAAAGCAGGCTGCAGATACGAAGCCCGTATCTAGAGAGCAAGACGTTTTGTGTGTGAACGGATATACGTCCTTAGCTAGACCGGGCACTGCTCTTTAAACGCTCAGTAGGGCCATTGCACATTTACGAGCGTAAATGCGCAATGGCCCTACTGAGCGTGTGAATCTCGAATGACCGCACCGAAATTGTCTGTGTGTGAATGATGCCGTATACCTAAAGCTGATTATTTTAAAGCTCTTTAAACTAATCAGCTTTAAAGAATGTTACCCCTGTGTGAAAAGGGGGATATAGATCTATACATTAGCGAGTTTCTCACTCAGCGACGGGCAGACCTTTTACAGCACGGGAGCACTCAGGTTTACGGCCGTCACACACAGACCGTCCTCGTTACAATACAATAAGCGGTTTTGCTTTTCGGTAAACGCGTACGTACAGTACGGAGGTATTGCAATGCAATGCCAATTGGCCATTTTCGTGATGTAACCAAATTTAATGCATACGTCTTTGTGAAGTGCCTCGATACAGAATATTTCATTCACCATGATAAGAATAATAGTATTTCAATAGACAGGGTCCAAACTGCATACGTTAGTTGTTGCCAGGTTCGACAACATTATGGCTTGCCCTATATAGGCCTACCTAGAAACATTTAATATTATGCAGTTGGCATTCTGCCTATTGAAATAGTATTATTCTTACCAGGTGAATGAAAAAATGGTATTGAGGAAGTTCATAAAGATTTATGTATTAAATTTGATTACATTAAGAAAATGGCCTATTCCCTGCCATGCAATACAGTACAGACGGGACTACACGACTAACAAAATGTGTCTCTACCAAGCCACAAAACGGCTTTTTATCATATTTCAACAATTCACCATCCAGTATTAAAACAATTCATGTTGTATCCATATCCATGTTGTTATAGTTAAGAAACAATAATCGAAAAAATTCGCGTTGAAATTCGTCATCCTTGGTAATAAAACGATGAAGTTCCCATACCATATTTGGTACAAGCTCACTGATTGGCTGTCACTTGGGGTGTTATTGAGAACGGATTTCAGTTCTGGATTTCAGTACCTCAGCGGTCACTGTTACTATATTAGCTTCTCGATTTTGTACACGAATCGCAGATTGTCCGTCCGCGGTGAGCTTGCGAAAACTCCCTATTATCATCGCCGGCTGAGAGCCAGAAGGGCGTAAAAATAATATATAACAACGCTAATGCTCCTCGGCCTCTCAGCAGATGATATGCTCCATTTTACGCAAGATGTATTAGCAAATAATGTGTTGGTGTTGGTGTTCCACCGTTCTAAATCGTGGCATTGTATTTATTTCCACGCCTGAGGGTTGCCAACTATGTTGTACGGGTTACTTGTTAGTTCCTTACATTTATATGTATGAATAATACTATATATATATATATATATATATATATACTGTGTAATGTATTTACAGTAGACCTATACGTTATTTGGAGGTGTTAGCCTATGCTACCTCCCTTTCAAAATCGCGCAGTATTTGGAGGTGGATCATAGGTCTATGGTTTGCGGGCATTCACTTTAATAATATTAACAGTGAAGTACCAATACCAATCTACATTTTTATTGTCCCGACAATATCAATAATAGTGGTTTATATCAAGAAAATAATACAGGATCAACATAATAACAAAACTAGCAAGTCATAGGCCTACTAACCAAATGTTTATATCGGTGAAAAACACACCCGCATTATTTTTACCTGTCTAGATAATTCCCAGCCAAAACCAAAGGAGGCCATGTCTATTCGTGCTGTTCTCGACGATGTTGCGTTGTTGAGAATGTTACAGCTATTATTTTGTTTTTTTAGCACTGTTGAGTGTATGGTTGAATATATATTATATACCTCACTTAAGAAATCCAGCCATCTGATTGGTCGAATTGCATTCATAAACTTCAACTGTTCCTGTAAAATTCTCGGTAACCATGCATAAAACATTTCAATATTTTTAATAACCATGGTTATTAAAAAAAGTTGGTCAGCCTCCATGGTTACCCCATAGGTTTACATGTTAAAAAATGGTTTGAGCGATGGAGGATGCCGTATGTGTGCGAAGGATTGGTCGGTAATTTCAATACAATTGAATCTCGATCGATCTTACCGACAATTTTATCTTGCATTGTTGACATGAAGACGAAAATAAACTTCCAAAAACAAAAAAACAACATCTGCCGATAGATCTTGATCTAAGTTCGTGCCAATATGCATTGCAAAAGTAAAAGAAGAGTCCGTATATGGAGCTTTTGCGAAGCATTCATCACACGCGAAGCCGGTTTCAATCCATTTTAATGTATATATTGGAGAAAACTGTCAAGCATGTTATCGGCGGGCCATAGCCGAGTGGTCTAAGCGTTGGTTTTCGGTACACCTCTTGTTGTACGCAAGGGTTCGAATCCCGTCTTCGACAAATTGAAAAATATTTTTAATTTTTCATTTTTTAGTCTATTTTTTTTCGGCATATAAAAGTATTAATGACTGCTTTAATATTCGAGAAATAGTTGTTTTCATACGCTCTCGGGAAGGTTACAATTGGGCTATTCCCCTCGGCAAGCCTCGGGGAATAGCACAATTCTAACCTTCCCTTGAGCGTAATAAAACAACTATTTCTCTCAAAGCAGTCATTAATACTATACTATTATGTTGAGTAGAATTATGGAATACAACACAATAGAACAATTTCGATACGCATTGAAAAAACGCCCACAGTGCCAGCAAATATAGCTTGGGAATTCCCAGCAAAACTTTTATTGTTCAAGTGCATATCTGTGGGGGCGGTGGCAGTGAGTTCGGAAATCCTCCTCCCCCCCCCCCCCCCCCCTCTAAAAAAAAAAGGAAGCGGAGGAAAGCGAGAAGAAATGCACAGAGAAAATGAAGGGTTAAGAAGAAAGAAAATGAAGAAAAGAGAGAAGGAGTCGAGACTGAGAAAGAGAGAGCCAGAGAAAGAGAGGAGAGAGTGAGAGAGAGAATGCTTGTTCCTTGTATCTCATTATTACACATGTTTCTCATAAATAATCACATTCATTCTGGAAAATTTTATCATTTTCTTGCATGCTTTATACTAAGTGAAGTGTTCATTACTTCAGCTTAATCTCTATGCAAAAAGAAATAACTCATTAGTGTGTTGTATAAGTCTACCTCTCTTTCAATCTCTCTCTTAAAGATATTATGTCCCTTTTGCAGCCAACATCAAATTCTGTAGAACTTTGCAGGAATTATGGATATGTCATGTATGTCCTATCTGTGAAATTTAGCGTTAGCAGTGTCCTAATATTCGAATTATGCAAGGAAACCCGTTTACGTGCTAGACTTCACTGTCAGTCACTAGGGACTTTTAGATTTGCGTGGACTGATACATGTGACGTCCATTCAAGGCAGTGCATTAAAAGGACGTCGATCGTAGCAATCCCCATTGTCTTCGTGCGAATCTAAAAGTCCCTACTATAGTGACTCACTAGCTTTTTTCTTCTTTGGTATAACATACATAAATGAGCTGTATACGTGAGCATTTGTCAACATCGATAACCCACTTCTTGTAATGGCCAAAATTAAACTGATTGAATCTTTGCGCAGTATAAAACTTACGACCATTCGGTACAATGGTCTGAAAAATCAGTCTATACTTAATGGCTCTTTAGCTTTTAAGTCGATTCGACAACTAATAGTCGTTATTTTCCCACTTAAAGACATTTTCAAGCCCCCCCCCCCCTTTTTTTTAAATTTTTTTTAGGGAAGTTCTACAAAATTAGTATTATCTTTCAAATGCCATTGGAATTTAACCTTTTCCCTGTTTTGGCCTGCAAATGGGACATAGTACCTTGAACATGTCAGGCAACTCTCTGGCGATGTTTTTAGTCGTCAAGAGAAACTTATAAATACTTAGAAATAAATATAATAATAAAAATAATAATCATAGCCTAATAGTCCACTCCAAATTTTATTAAACCAAAACGGAAATTCTTTTTGCCCAATTGATGGTGAGCCCGGCAGCCACTGAGCAGCGCCAGATCGACGTTGCTCTATCCCTAATTGTTGAACGCCAAACAAGATAGCAACAACTCCCATCTTTTAACGTCTTTTGGTATGACGCGGCCGGGGTTCGAACCCACGACCTCCCGGTTGTGAGGCGGACGCTCTACTGACATAAAATGTGTTAACAAGTCCATTGGAAAGCAAAATTATTCGCACCCCATATCAATTACAAGTGTCAAAATTCTGTAACAATGTTTGTTCACAGCCAATAGGATATTTTCGTACTGTAACCAAATGTAATACATAAGTCTTTGTGAAGTGCCTCAATATTTAATTTATACTGGGAATCTTGCTCAACAAGCCTAGCTTTTCTGAGATTCCCTTTTTTCCCTTCTCAGTTAAATCAAGCAATATAAAATATTTTGTCTCATTATCAAAGTTAAATATACTCTGTAAACTTATTTGATTACGAACATACTTGTCAGTATTTCGTTACTTGTATAATTCATTTGTTCTATTATATATTGTATTACTGTATGGTTTATGTATAGCATTTAATTTGGGAATATTTTAGTAGAAAATAAATAAAATCAAACAAAAAAATCAAATCAATACAAATTTTTCCATTTACCTGATAAGAATGTCAAAAAGCAAACTTCATATAATAAGTGTTGCTATGTTGGTCAATCCATAATGTTTGTCCACCCTGGCAACAACTAATCATGTATGCACTTCGGATTCTGTCTATTCAAATACTATTATTCTCATCAGGTGAATGAAATAATTTGTATTGAGGCACTTCACAAAGACTTATGCATTAAATAGGATTACATTACGAAATTGACAAATGCATGATTTCAGTAGCACTTACTATTCTCAGAAATTCTACTTTTTCACTGATAAAACTTTTTTATGAAACAGGGACCCGATGGAAGCCGGATGTTATGATGTTATTCACATTCATGTCATTTTGTATTATTGAAGTGCAACGGTGCCTATCAATTGCCATATTCTTTTCTTCTTGCTTGCCATTCGTTTGCACTGTATGCCTGCATATTAATGTGAGTTGTATGTGAAACTGAAAGATGTACATGCATATCACTGCCAAATAGTTTGAAGTTGGACGATATGCAACTCGGCTCCAACTTGGTTGCGTGTGAAGCACAATTTAGGAGTAGATAAATTTATATTCTTTCGACAAAGTTTTCATTATCGAAGGAGTCTCTACGTTGTCAACGTTCTCTGGGAATTTACATTACGAAGGTTAGAATAACAGCTGACGTCTAGCTTGGGTGAGATTGTTTGTATGTCGCTTTGATGGAGTATCACAAATCTGGGCTTTTAAACACGGAAGTGAGAAAAATGTAAAAGAGAAGAAACGAGTGTATGTGGGTAGACTTGCAGCCTTTTCACACACAGCTAAAATTCATCGTATCTAGAGATGATTAGAATCACTCAACAGTTTTAAACATGTTTATAGACAAAATTTCCCAGTGTACGTGAACATCGTTTATACGATGTTGGGATAGATACGAAGTCGCGATCCATACGCCCCTAAAAGCAGGCTGCAGATACGAAGTTCGTATCTAGAGAGCTTGACATTTTGTGTGTGAAAGGAAATTCGTGTTTAAACGTGTTTAAACTGGATGGAGCGTGCGCTTTGATTGATATGACATGACCTTCAATGCGCAATGGCACTACTGCGCATTTTTCGAGCAGTACGGTTAATCACGAAACTATTAACGATCGCAACGAAATTTCTGTGTGTGAAAGGCTCGTGATTAGTTTAAACACGTTCGAAACACGTTTATACTAGTCATGTTTATAGAATTTTAGCTGTGTGTGAAAAGGCTGTGTAGTTTGGGGTGTATTTCTAGGATTGTGAGAAGAAATGTTGGAGGCAAACAGGGAAAAAAAGAAGGTGATATAACTTTCTCATGTGGATGAAGCGGAATGAAGCAGTATATTTTACTTCTATTTTCTTCTATATAAACTGAGGCTTTTAAAGCTTTAAGCTAAATATGTAGTAGAACTTTAAGGAGTAGTAGTAGTAGAAGTTTTAAATCAAATGAAGATACTTTGTACTCGTCTATATTCTAGAGAAGAATGGAAGGAACGGAATCTGATATTGATTTTTCACAGATTTTTCAATATTTGAATTTGAATTTATTAACAACGACACATCACACTAATGAACAATCATACAATGCAAAGAATAATACTGATACATGTATACATAACATAAGAGTTATGTTGATTTAACAGTTATGGTTTTAAAACGATATTTATACATAGCTCGCATACTATTAAATATACAAAAGATATATACGTATTATGTGTATTACTATATTTAGGTGAAGTTGTTAATGGTAAGTAAAGGTCAGCACAAATGCTAGTCGAGCCTGGTTACATTAACAGATGGTTGCATATAAATTGTGAAGGAAAATATTTGAAGGGTAATGTGCTGCTATCTTGAAGGACATGAAGGGGGAAAAATCGCCCGGGAATGACGGGGCATTTAGTATTTTGGTCTTCTCATTGTAAACCCGAAGTCTGGACAATTTTCGAAACTTTACTAGCAATTTTGTTACATTCTTCATGGAGTCAACGTCGTGTACTAACAAAGGGTCATGACCATTACCACAATTAAATGCAGTGGAGCAATCAGGGTCACAATGCGCCAAATTTTATAAGAACGAACTGTGTTCTTTTTAGAAAAATATAATAGTGCTCGTCAGAGGCGGCGCTCCCGGGGGCGTATTTTTTATTTACACGGCAGCGAGGGGAATTTCTCAATTAATTCCAATGAAACCGCTCGCGACGAGTCTAGACTAGACCGAATCGGAGTACGAGTACAGCAGTGCAGTGTTAGGGAATGTAGATCTAGAGAAGGAAACGATGAAAGACATCTACAGGAAAACAAGAAAACAAAATAGTCTAGATGTCTAATGCAATAAACAGTGACGGCAGTATAATATTATGTGCGACACCATGGCACAGAGAAATCGAGAGCGTGAACATATAATATACATGCCCTCGGCCACGTACCACCAACACAGAGTACATCGACAACACAAGTCATATTCAGTATTGTTGTTGTTGTTGTTTTAGTTTATAGGCGTTTGTCATTCAGAAGTGAATATTTACGCCTCTTCTCTTAGGATTTTTATTCCTTTAAAATCAGATTTACTTTTTTTGATATATAGATTGGATAGTATGCGTGTGTGTGTGTGTGTGTGTGTGTGTATTGGGTTTTTACAGACGTGTATCAATCAGATATAATTATTTACGTCTGGGACCGACCTTTAAACGTCACCATCCGAAAGACGTGACTCAGTTTCGAACCTGCGTCCTCGGCTGAATCAGTTTGTAACTTCCACTTTTTAGCTGGATTACAGGCGCACGCCACAACGCCTAGTACAGGCACTACAGACTAGACTCTCCGCGAGCTGTTTCATTGGAATTAATCGAGCTTTTCCCCTCGCTGCCGTGTAAATAAAAAATACGCCTACCGGGGGGGGGGGGGGGGGAGGTGAAAAAAGTGCCCCCACACTTTGTCAAGTACCCCCAAAGTGCTAATTTCTACGAAGCAACAATGTCCCTTATACTTATAAATAGGTTCCCGTTCCATATTCTTATACGTGCCACAATTACAACCTATGATAATTGCCTCAATTCAAATCTGAGAGGTGCCCCTTTAGTGCTCCTTTTCTTTGTGATAAGTGCCCCCAATTTGTTTATAGGAGCCCCTTTCACATGTCATAGATATCCCCTTTTCACCCCTTGATAAAAGTCCCTATACAAATGTGACAGGTGCCCTTTGCCATTCTCATAAGTGCTCTTTTCATCTCTTTTCATCTTTTTCCAGTTGCGATAAATGCCCCGATTTACGTCTGATAATTGCCTCATTTACTTTAAAACATGCTCTTTTTCTTTTTAACAAAATTAATGCCCTTATTCCTTCTGATAATTGTTCCTTTCCCTTTTTAATAAAAACCCCCTCTCTTTCTATGAAACATCTTTTTTTATTTGTGATAAGAACCTCTTTATTTTGACATGTGCCCCTTTCCCTTTCTTATAATTACCCTATTTAAATTAGATAACTGCCCCTTTTCCTTTTTTTATGTGAGCCCTTCCCCTTCTCCTTTCCATAAATGACCCTTTTCACCTCTGATAAATGCGCCTATCGAAATCTGATAGGTGCCCCTTTTCCAATCTCAAAAATGCCTTTTCTTCATGTCTGGTGAATGTCCTTTTTTCGGTGCGAGAAGTGCAATATTTTCACCTCAGATAATTGCCCCTTTTTACTTTGACACCTACACCTTGTTTTGTTGTAACAGTTAGTGTCATTTTTCCTTCTGATAAGTGCACTCTTGTCGTTTCTCCATAACATGCGCCCTAGATTAAATTAGTCGACTCGAACCCCCTTTTTATTTAATTTCCCCCAAAGCCCGCTCGCTACGGGATCACAAATCTTAAAATGTTTACTCACCCACTTCGCTCGCTCGCAAAGTAATATTCAGACCGCCACATCCAACTGCAAACGAGGCTTAAGCAGTATCGTGGATCATGTATTGAGAGAAACAAATATTGATATCATCCCCGATAATGTAATCACAATAATGACAATGTACGGGTAATATACCAATGTCTAAAAATGGTATATGTTCGCTTTGATTTTCCCCCTTTTGTCCACTTTTTGCAAGTGCAAAATGGTCAGTATTCGTAAGGACCGCTATTCATAATTTGAGAAAAGGGTCATTATTCATAAGGGTCGTTATTCGTAGGGATCGCTATTTGTAATAAAAAAAGAGGGTCGCTATTCATAACATGAGATGAGGATCGCTATTCATAATACAAAATCGAGGTCGTTATTCATAGAGGTCTCTATTCATAATACGAGAAGAGGGCCCGCTATTCATTATTATTCGCATTATGAATAGCGACCCTCACCTCTCATTACGAATAACGGTTCTTATATGCCTTTATGAATAGTGTCCCCCTCTCCGTTTTATGAACAGCGGTCCTTACGAATATCGGTCCTTATGAATAGCGGTCGTTATGACTAGGGAGGCACCCACACCTTTGATATCACCCCTCATCTCCCAAGAAATAACATACGTTTCATATATCCCTATTACATGTATGTGCCACTAATCCAAACGAATGAGAGCAATTTTTCTTAAATTTCCCGCAAAAACTGGTTCACTACGCTCCCCCGCGTCTATAGTTTATCTCCTTATTGAAGGTCTAATTCCTTTTTTTCATTTAAAAAAAAAAATCTTTAAACTTCAAGTTCACATTATATATATATATGATGACTATGTTTTTGTCATGTAATCTTATCTTGTCATGTCATCATACTTGTCAGTTATATCACCAGAAAAATGGAAGAAACAAAAATATTTTTTAACAAAATGAATGAATAGTATATCGAATGGCTTTATTTAGTTTTGTTTTGTTTTTGGAGGTGTTAAATGTTTTTCACGGTTTTCGAAATATCACAATCTCCTACTTTTGTTGGTGTTTTCCTGCCGGTACTGTGACAAGTTTTTTGATTTGCTTGCTTCAATAATTTTTTTGGTTGATTAGTGTGGGCCTGGCATATATAGACCATGGACCAAGCTTCAAAATTCTTCAGTTCCGTGGCCCCCACCGGGGAAGTACTTTATTTTGTTTATTTTTTTAATTTTATTTTGTTCTAAGAACAATGGTGAAATCTTCCCATCTCCACCTTTGTACGTTTTGTCACAATTTTGATATAAAGTTGCAAAAATCACTGTATGTAGCACAGCCATTCTACAATGATGATGTCATAGCTGTTCCTTAATTGACCTAGATCTATATACAGCTACATGTATATGGATGCCGAGATTAGCCCCAGTCTCCCAATACCTCCTCCTCAGCAACGAAAAAGGAAAACCTGAGATAACAAATCAAATAGCGGCCGACTGAAAGATTGATTGAAGAAGGAAAACAGTATAGGAATCAGTATTTTCCATTTCTTTTTCCTATCATGCTTTTCAAGTGATGTTGTGTAATAATCGAAGAATGTATCTAACAATTTAAGCCCCCATCCACTGGCTGCTTGCTCTATTCAATGGTTCGCGCCGCGCCGTTCCATCGCCATCGCGATCGTATTATCACGAAAGGAAATTCACCTGCACTGCACTGCGCATGCGTCGACGTAACTGGTACCGGTACGGATGTGGGGCTGAAATACTGGACGTGCGTGGACTCGACTCGTAACTGTAAGTCAAAATGATTCATAATTAAATATTTCTCCCTTTTCCCGAAATATTTGTTTATATAGCTCGTTAAAGCATTTTTAATCTATCAGAATATCAAGGTTAACATAGAGTGTGTTGGTGTAAATCGAATGTGTAATGTGTTGAAACACCGACTTGATTCTTGTTCGCAGCTGCAGCTCGGAATTGACAAAGCCTGTGTAACAAAAATGTGAGGTCAAGTAAAAATAATGTCTGATTGAATAACCGAGTCAAATTGTACTAAACAGGATAGAAATTAAAATTCTGTTAGTTTCAAGAAATATCTGCATTATCTTCTTGTATCATTAACTTTGTTCCATGCTGATGATATGTTTATTGGACAGTCGTGAAATAGTGTTCAGAAATTATCCGGTGCATGCCATTTATTTAGTTTGGATGACCTTTGCGTTGGGCTTACGTGCTCGGGTGGAGTGTTGATATGGCGATATGTTGAGGGAGGTGTAACAACCTAGATTCCAGTTACCGGTGTTTTTAGTGCCTAAAATCAAATGGGCGTAGGTCTATACCTAGTGTTGCAGTGATTTCGATTTTATGTTGTAATTCAGGGGTGGAAAATTGAAACTATCTAACTGATGTTCAGGCACCTTGCTGCCCGAATGGGATAATATTTGGGGTGTGTGTCTGAATATTGTCATATCCCGACTGATTATAAAATAACATCTTAGATCTAGACTAGTCTAGATTCTTATTTAAATTTACATGGGGGTATTTATGCGACTGCTTGAAACTATCCCAATTCTAAAAAAAGAACGAGAGAGGAAAAAATAAACCCGTCGTTCACATGTTATTTCATCATATGCAATATACCTAGTAGTAATTGTACAGTGGGCATCTTGCCAAGCCCAAGGAATTTTGCAATTGCAGGATTTGTTATACTTTTATTTTCATAAAGTGCCATTGGGAATGCTCCATTATAACTGAATTTCTTGCGGTTTCATGTAGCTAAATGCCTAATAATAATAAAGGGGCTTCCAAATATCATATTGTTAAAGAATTACTATATCCATCCAATTGTCAAAACTTTGCATTACCTTTAATCCTAATGAAGGTACATGTAGTAGAGTTGTTTACCAGCTCCATGTTCTAACAATATTGTTCTACATTTATGCAATAAATACATAATTTTCAACAATTTTGCATTTTTCGTTCGGCCTGTGTCTTTTCTTTTTGTGCCATTACATTTCACTCGGCTACCTTATCGGTTCAGATTGATTACAAGGATAAGTCCTACCATTGTTTTTACCCTCTCCCTTCCTTTCTCTAACACACGTATTCAGGGAAGTTACCGTTGCATCCATCATCGGCCTGCGTTCCAGTTTGAGGGATTCTGCTGCAACCTTGGTCTCAGCATCACGGCATGGACTTCTCTCATCAGAAGACAGTTCTACACAACGTGGAGCTGAGGTTGGCCCGCATCCGTGCAGCCCTGTCGGAACTCACTGATATTCAGACGGAGCTGCAGAAAAATGCCACTGAGGTAATTACGAGATTAGTAAATTCTACAGTTTCATTTGTTTCTAATTATTGCTTGCATGTATTTCACTGAAATTTATATTTAATTATTTTTTCCAAATGGAGGCAAAGGGAAAAGGCCTGTAACATACAGTGTAATAATACTTATAATTATCACGTGGGCAATGTTGCTCTTCTTGTGTTGCTTTTTGTTGATATCTTAATGTTATCCACTGTATGAATTAATCAAAGAAACATTGGAATCAATGTATAAATCATCACAATCATGGAAGTCCACACAGAGTTGTGTTTCATTTTACATTTATGATTGTATGTCACTCTTGCAAAAAAGAATGAATATTTGAACTACATTTGAATTATTTAGAAGAAATCAAAACACAGCATATACACTGTACATGTACATGTTTGCAAAGATGCCAACTGTTCCCTTTTTTTCGTGCAAAATACGGCATTACTTTTTCCCCTAATAAAATATGTTTTTTCTATCGTATACTGGTAGTGTGTATTTATTGGGTACATTGTGCATTTTGTGTGTTTACGACTGTACGTGTGTTGTGTTGTGTTGTACATGTACATACATGTTGCATTGGAGAGTTTGCAATATACAATATGCAGTGCATGCAGTAATAAATTGCACAGGTACTGTATCAATACCATATATTGCGATTGTGTTGTACAATTGTTTACAAGTGTTTAACTAGCCAAGTAGACTCTAGCAAGTCCATCAACTAGTCAAGTTCTCTGCCGTCTTAAGCCTTCAATGGAAGGTGTAGAATGACTCAATACGATTAGTCTTTATATACAATACATGTACATTGTAATATTTTCCTTTCCAAAACAATAATACAACAAAACTTTGGCAGTACATGAATAAAATGTGATGATATGAAAAATACCCTTACACAAAGTGGAGGTCACAAACATACATGTAGCTTCGGCCAAAAAGAAAACAATGTTATTGAATGAAAATTGAAGCAAAATATAGGATGACAGAAAATAATAATACAGTCGAACCTGTCTATAAAGACCACCCAAGGGAGACAAGAAAAGTGGTCTTTAAAGGCAGGTGGTCTTTGTGTACAGGTTCCTTTTACATGTTTCACTGAGAAACCTTTTTTAAGGAAAACAAAAAATGTGGACTTTGTAGACAGGTGGTCTCTAAAGCAGGTTTGACTGTATGTAAAAGGCTGGGCATGTTGGCAAGCAGACCTTGTACAATGTAGTTTGCATATCAAAAGAATCATTGTGTTTTCCATAACACCCTGTGACAGTGGATGAAACACGTCATACATATATACTGTATACCGGTATTGTACACAGCAGCCACCACTGCTGCTCAGCTACATGTAGATGTATGTACATGTACATGTACTTCAACATAAAGCAAAACCCTGTATATCATTCATATGGTATACTTACCCATATAAATGTGCTTTCCACATTGAAATGAAACTGTTCTACTGGTACACTGTAGTTTGTACATTTAATTCTTCCTCTAGATCTTTATCTCCCCAGTAATAAAACTAGGTGTTTTTTTTTGTTATACAATGTGCACTACATAGAACAATCAAACGCTGTTCATAGATGAACTGTCATGCCATGAATGACAGAATCCTGTAGATTATCTGCTTATGTGAACAACATGGACTTCCTTTTAGGCTTTCCTAACAGGATATGTTGTGAAATAGCACCCTCTGCCAAAAAATACTGAATCGAAAGCAATATTTCACTTTTGACTTGGAGCCACATATTTAGTTGGACTGCATATTACACTAAAGAGTGCAGACTGTGCAGTGCACTTTTTAAAAATATTTGTAAAACATGGCACGTGTGAACTAGATTTTTAAACATTTTTCATACATGTATTTCAGGGTTAAGGATAAGGACAATACTTCCCAAAATACAATTCTTCAGGGATCCCAAAATTTGGAATGATATACACTGTACCAACAGGAATTGGAGTGAGCCAGCACTGAATAGTTTTAAAAGAACATTTACATGTAAATAGTATTTATTACAACAATACTCAATATTGCAATAACCTACTAATTTAATACCTTATCAGACAGATCAGTATATACATGTACAGGTATGTGTTTGTATGTGTGTATGGGAGAGAGTATACAGGTGTATGTGTGGAAGTAAATTGTTTTCCTTATTTTTTTTTCCTCTTTGTGTCAGCAGTCCCATGATATATTTTCTGAATCCCTACCCATTTAATCAACCTCTCCTGTTTCACCCCCTATGATGTCAGATACAAATTACCTGTAGGCTGTATGATTAATAAAGTTGAAACTAATCCAGTTTTGAGCCAAAATCATGAATAAACCATGAATTCCATCTAATATTTGACATTTTACCCCACATTTGGTATCCCTCATTGATTATTATCTCCTGTTATACTCCTACAGTGTACATGTTAGCACAAAATGCCTTATTAGGCATGATTGGTTGATTGTAACCAGATTATACCACAAACATCACGAGACCACATTATTTTATTATAAACATTCCATCCAGGAAATCCTTAATCCAGATAAAATGGGTATACATTAGCAACATGATGTAAATGAGATGCAGTAACTGAGAAGAGCTTCATTAGCACAGTGCCCTGCTGTTTTAGAGTACAGTGTTTACTGTTTGGCATATAGTCGCTGAAGTTTAGCCGTGAGAGTTTGTTTTCAGAAAGTTTTCAAAGGATTCTTATCTCATTCAAAGTTAGATTTCCTTTGGGTGTTTAACATGCCATGTCTTTGATTCTTTTTGTTATTCTGTTCGTCGGTTTATCCATTTTTCATTGTTTCCAGATTTTGTAAAAGATTCTCTGAGCCAAATTGCTCTTCATTTCTGTTTATAATTTTGTTGGCAAAGATAGGCTTGTTCAGTTTCATTTACTGTTATGGACTATCATTTTTGTGGTGGTGGTTATTTTACCTGGCTGCTAAGAAAGCATAAATATTTGTTAGTAAGCAACCAGACGGCCGACGGCTCACCTGGTAATGAGGATCAATGCCTTTCCAAAGGGCACTAGCGCATCGTCTTTGTTTCGAACCCGGGTCACCCGATTACGAGACCACTGCTCTGCCGACTGAGCTATCATACAATATTCAGAGCTTTTATGTCAATTATGTAAATTATTGATTGGGATTTAGATTCAATTTTCTTTTTTTTCTTCTCATTTGCCTTTTGTCCTTGTGAACCAGAGATTTCATTATATTTCCATTTTCTGAACACTTATTTCCTTTTCGCAGTCCAAGCACGACATCCAGGCCAACTTCAGTCGCCAGCTAGAGAGCCTACGCACCCGAGAGGTTTACCTGCTCAATCAGGTGGACACACTGCTTCAGGTCAAGCAAGAGCACCTTCATCTTCAGGCAGACAGCTTGAAGAAGGAACTCGGAGCTCTCCAGGCACTGCAGGAGCACGCTAGGTCAGCCAGGAAAACCGTTGACTTGCAAGACATCGAAGACATCATGAAGAGGTATTTTGTCACCTTATCATTTCACTCTTCCTCACATGCCTTTTCAAAGCCAGAGCTGCCAACCATTACGTTTTTTCCCTGAATCATTCTTTTTTTTCCTTCAAATTACGGTAGTGTGTTTCTTCTTCATAAAATACTTTTTTTTTTAATTAAAAAAAAAAAAAAAAATGTTATTGTTACAAACCGCATGTCAAACAACTGCCCTAAAATGTTGATTTGATCACAAATTCAATAGAAACGTAAGTTTAAAACATACTTGGAAGAGAAATATTCTCAAAAAGAATAAAACGCTGAATACCAAAATGAATGAAAAATACCTACCTTACTTGTATAGGTCCTAATATGGAAAAAAACAGCATGAGGAATGGACATTTCTGCATTGGAAATGTGTCGTGCGTGGTTGTAAGTTTCGTTTTGATGAATTCCTTTTTTTTGCTTGAAATTCCTTTTTTGGGTCGCACAAGGTTGGCAGCTCTGCTTGTCAAAGCCTTACGTTGACAACCATGTGGTTTAAACCCTCTGGTCCCTCACCCTGTATGGTTTCAAGCACCTGAGTGCCATTTGCTTATCCAAAGCCCTCGATAAACTTCAACCTTAAATTTTCCTCTTACTCTAAAACCATCCGTCCATCCGTCTTTTGCCAGTCTCTCCTGATAACATGTCCATCAAAGGTTGATCTTATTTAATATCAGATTCCATGTTTTCCCTAGTCATGTCCGTTATTTATTCATATGAGGGGGTTTTTGTTGTTATCAATAACACTCTTAACATGCTGTACCACCACATTTCCATCCCTCCATTTTTTTTTTTTTTTTAATATATATATCTAGCACCTATCGTCCACCCCTCAGTGGCATACATCAGCACCAACCAGATATATCATTGTAGAAATTGTTATTCAATGACTTTACAAAGTGAGCAACTTATCTTTCTCAGCGGTTAGCATTTTCTATGAAAGTGTTTTACAATATCTGTGATATTCAACTATTTTCTTTTTATTGAACCATGGTTGCAGATTCCAACAATTCCAACTTGAGCCCGAAGAAAGTGGATCCCTAGAGTTTGTGAGTGATCCCAAACGCCTCAAGCAGTCCATACTGTCCTATGGAAGCATCAACCCAAAGCGTTTCTGCCCTGCCAAGGAAGATGTACATGTCAAACCTGGACAGGTCTGTGCTATTTGTTTATTAGTTTTCATGTCCAATTGTACAAACACCTTTAACTCACCAGCTAAAAATGAACAACTTCACTAGCGTGAAGGTTATCATGAGTTTTCGTAATTAAATAAAAATGAGTTTGATAATCAATGTCGTGTCGACAAATATCGTGCGTTCCTAAAATGTATCAAAATCAAATCCTATATTGTCTGTTTGGAGCTGTAAGGGCATTAATTCCTGTACTTTAACTCAAGAGTTAATGCCCTTCTGGCTCTGAACAGACAATACCGTAATTAACGTTGTATAAACCGCTCTCGTGTATTGACCGCACCCCTCTTTTTCGCCCTTGCCGACTTTTTTTTTTGCCGACTTAAAAAACAGTAGAGGACCTAGGATAGAACCTTGTGGTACGCCGTGTAATAGAAGAAAAATTGGAGGAATTATTATTATAAACTACATATTGAAATCTATCGGAAAGATCACTTTCAAACCAAGATGACAGACAAATTTGAGTGTTGTTCTAGTTTCCAAGTGGTTAGTCAACACCACACAGATTACTGAGCTGGGAGACATTTTTTTTTTTTTTTTTTGGGTGTACCGTGTATAAACCGCACCCCCGACTTTGAATTTTTTCGGCGGCAAAAAGGTGCGGTTAATACACCGTTAATTACGGTATACCATTTTTAATCACCGTACCGTACCGTGAGAGGTACATTGTAGGGGGAAAGATGAAAATGTAGTCATTCAGGTTTTGAGAATACATTAACTGATGAATGTGAAGGAAATTTTCATTGAAATTTGGTTTATAAGGGACTTTTAGATTCTGCACGACGAGAACATAGACTGGCATTGCCTTAAAAGGGCAGTCCACGTTCTCGTCGTGCAGAATCTAAAAGTCCCCATTACCCGGCTTTAGCCGAGCTACCATGATAAGGCTCTCAAGCATTCAAGGAACCCATTTACCTCATATATAAATGTATAAATCCTCCTCTCCTTCACCTATACTTCATCCTTAGATCATGACCCCATTTGAGGAGTTCACTGAGGGTAAGGTTTGGCTGACACCAAAGGCTAGCTGTGGGACTAAAGATGATCCCATTTACCTCATATATAAATTTATAAATCCTCCTCTCCTTCACCTATACTTCATCCTTAGATCATGACCCCATTTGAGGAGTTCACTGAGGGTAAGGTTTGGCTGACACCAAAGGCTAGCTGTGGGACTAAAGATGATCCCATTTACCTCATATATAAATTTATAAATCCTCCTCTCCTTCACCTATACTTCATCCTTAGATCATGACCCCATTTGAGGAGTTCACTGAGGGTAAGGTTTGGCTGACACCAAAGGCTAGCTGTGGGACTAAATATGATCCCATTTACCTCATATATAAATGTATAAATCCACCTCTCATATACCTGTATTTCATCCATAGATTATGACCACCTTTGAGGAGTTCACTGAGGGTAAGGTTTGGCTGACACCAAAGGCTAGCTGTGGGACTAAAGATGATACTCCACGCACAGTCTTTCCCATCTTCCAGGAGAAGCTGGATGCAGCAGGCTGGCTGTCCAAAGAACAAGGTACAAAACCGTGTCTTATACAAACAGGATAAAAGTGATAAAGGGCATACAGAGATGCCAACTGTTCCGTTTTTGCCGTATTTGTTCCGCTTTTTGCTATGAATACGGCAGTACATTTTTTGTATGTTTTGTTACATTTTTTTAATTTTTTTTTTTTTAGTGATGTTTTTCCTAATTTCTGATCATGGGCTTTGTGTCGTAAGTGTATTATGCACCTACATCTTCAAACGATGCATGCAGGATGGTGATACGGGCCCCAAACTGCGCACATTGCGAACAACCCACGTGTAATGTATGCACGTCGCGCTCCGATCCGGGTACGTATACGTGGTACTGCTGGGTTTTTTAAGCTGCTCGATTGGGCGATATGTTAAGTTGAGAGATTTTTTCAAAAATACTGTTTTTTTGTCCAAAAATACTGTGTTTTGCTCTTAAGAATACTTATTTTTGTTGAAGAAGGTTGGCATCTCTGGGCATAGCATGGAGAGAGAGATCATCATGTCGCATTTTGCGAGGGCGGTCAAAGGGATTGGGTAACTGTCTCAGATTCTGAAACAAAATCCTGTATTTAGCTCTTGCTGCAATGATAATTATAAACCTTAAGGTCAGTCAGGAACCCCATGACTTTTACAAGACTGTCTGATTATCAAGATATTTATGATTGGTAATCGAAATCGAAGTCCTCAGAGAGGACTTTAAGCCGTTGGTCCCCTGCTTGCTTTAATACCTACAAGCATACAGCATACACATGCTTTATTAGCAGTTGAGTAAAACAATCAAACCAAATAGAGTAGTCCATGAGTTAAAGGGATAGTTGAGTTGAGTTGCAGAGGGCGCTACACAAAATATTTGTTTTTGTGAGATAATAATGAAAAACTGAGTATCAAATTTGAAAGAACATACAATTTAAAATTACAAAATGATCTTTGTTTGTTCAAAGACGGCTGAAATATCCATAAACATGATGATTCCTAATATTTGTGGTGCCCCATAAATATTCAATAATTTGAAGCAGCCGCCGAAAATAGCGCCTGATACATATATTCCAGCCAATGCCGATGTTGGCTTTACGTGTTGGTTATAATACGCTCAACCAACAGGCCCATGTATTGTTATTATTAATAAATCAATTAATCAACAGTCACCATTTTTTTTGAAAGTGGAGGTAAATTTATCTGATCGTTTTGGCTGAATTTCACACATTTTTGGGTCTAAAATTACCTTCATAGCAATTTTAGGTTCTAAAAGGGCACTAGAAATGTCATAAATAGGAATAAGAGTAATACCCATGCACTTTCAAGGCAAATGCTGTCTAAAACAAGAACTTAACTATCCCTTTAATGTTGATATGCTGTGCTTTCTCCTGAAGACCTTCCAGCCATGGAGACGTGCCAGAGTGAAAAGAGCGATGATGATGACCAAGACTCCTTCATCATGGTTCCTCAAGAATCTGACCAGAGCCCACGTGCCATCTTGTCCCACTTTGCCAGTATCATCAACTCACCGGACGTCCAGTGGATCCGCAGCACCTCCAAGACCGACAGCGTTGGAGTGAGCCGCCACCAGCAGACCAAGCCTGCCTTCTAGTAAGTACAGTCAAACCTGCTTTAGTGACCACCTGTCTACAAAGACCACTTGTCTACAACAAGCACATGTTTTGCTAAGAAAGTGTTTAGGACTTTAATGAAATGATGAATGATGTCTGTGACATTGCTTTTTGGAGTAAACTTATTACAGTCAAACCTGCTTTTAATAGTGATCACCTGTCTACAGCAAGCACATGTATTGTTCCCTTGAAAATGGTTTCTCATTGAAACATGTACTTAAGGTACCTGTCTACAAAGACCACTTTTTGTGTTTCCCTTGGGTGGTCGCTGTAGAAAGGTTTCACTGTACAAGATTTTTTAAATATCTTTAACTTATTTACATGATCTGAAGAATATTTGATCGTGTATGGGATTGAACAAGTTCTACAAAGTTGCAGGGGGATGTGTTTACCTAATTACTATATATATTATCACTTTCTTTCTTACCCATGCAGCAGCCCATCAGGAACCAAGGGTTGGTTGAAGAAGGATCAAGCCCAAACTACCTGCCATCCTAGTCAGGTACCAGCCAAGGTAAACTGACTCCCTTTGCTTCAAATCATACATCAGCTCCTGTTATTATTTGTTTGATAGTTTAATCTTCACAGCTTGCGTATTATAACTATGTCATTTGTTTGGGGCCAGACGGACTTTGATTCATATACTTTGACACGCAGTTAATGCCCTTCTGACACCAAACAGATGATATTATCCTTTTTTTTCTTCAATCCATGATTTTATTAGAAACCATATTAAGAATATAAAAACACAGTTGAGTCAAGAAAGGATTAAGTGTTGAAGAAAAAATGTGTTGTACTTTTGAATAGAGATCTTTTATCAAATCTGCTGAGTGGTGGTTCTAGTTTTAAGAATTGGTGAGTTTTAACCATGACATGAATTAACAAAGTATTTTGTATTTCCTGCTTCTGTTGTTTCTTAATTGTACAGCCCATTGAAATAGAGGATCTGGCAGAGATGTCTTGTGTTCAAGAAACACCATCTGGAGCTCCAGGTCCCTGTGGCCCCAAGACAAGCCCTAGACCACGTACCCAGCGCAACCAGAAGAACACATGCTGTTCCTCCAAACAGACCCCAGCCAAGACCACTGATGTCAACATTGATGAGGTGTGCAAGGGAAATGAAAAGTGCAAGACCTTTGACGAGTGTCTCTGCGATGACAACTGTGCAGACACCGCTAGGGGTGGCTTCAAGGGCGTGCCAGAGTCTTCCAAGAACCAATGGCTCGCCAAGAAGCCAGCCGGAGAGGAGAACATAGCCGTGGAGTCGAAGGATGTCCAACAAACCAGACCAGAAGAAGAGTTACCCAAAGAAGACTTTGTCAAAGAATGGCTCGCCTCAAAGACCACTCCTCAACAAGACTACGAGTCAGTGATGCTCGCAGCCTTCCTGAAATGGCAGCTAGAGGAGAAACCAGCTTGGTTGAAGAAGGATTCTGCCCAACAGAAGTCAGACCAAACCTCTGTCAGCCAGTGGCTCTTCAAGAAAGCAGAAGGTCAAGCTGAGCCGATGGTTGTCGACAACAAGAATAGCTCTGAGGATGCGCCCATGAAGTCTGAGTGGTTGCTCCCAAGGTTATCTGGTTTCGCCACTACTGCTTTCAAGGTACCCACACACGATTCCACTTCCTGGCTCTTCAAGGGAAAGGATGATAGTGTGCCTCAAGAATCCAAGATGGAGACCAAGGAAGATGACCTGCAGGAGAAGTGGCTCATTAAACAAACCTCCGGAGGATCTGCTCTTCCACCCAAAGCAGGTGGATTCCCTTTCTTCAATATCCCCACAGGTATCAACCAGTGGCTGAAGCAGTAGAACAAGAAAGAAATTTTATCCGAGTACTGGGGTAGATGCATCAGCTATGTCCCGTACATAAATTCATTATACCCTTATCCATTTTGAACAGCTATTTTCAATGTAATAGTCCATGGCATTGAAATTGTCCATGTATGACAACCCCTCCACCACCCTTGTTATTTCATAGATAAACATATGTGATATTGTTAGAAAAGGGCAAAAATAAGATTGAATTTGAGTGCTTATTGGCCTAATGTTATAGCTATATTGTTTGCTTGCATAGAACGCTGCATCCATATTGCACTATGGGACCATCGTTCCTTATAATCCTCTTAGTTGTAATGTCACCCACTGTATAATTGTCCTGTTTACTACCCTGTATCACTTTGTAGTTTTCATTGTATTGGGCTTAACTGCACTGAAAAGATATGGGAGAACACCACATACTACTGGAAAATCTGAAACATTTGGGACATTTTAACTTTTGCAAATTGTTACGGACCGCCATTTCAACAGCAAACAAAATCTGCAGAACTGACCCTCTTGTGAAGTTCATGAGCGTTTCATACTCACTTGGCGTCCTGGAAGAAGGCTGTTACTGCCATTGAATGACAATACATCTTACAGCCTTCTTGCGTGGAGTTGGTATGACATGATCTCAGCTTTAGTTATTATGACCACTGGGGAAAGCAAGTAAACAACCAAGGGGACTTATAGCCTGACGTCCTATCCAAGGGACCTTGTCATCAAAGATTGATGCCTTGCCAGGTTTTTCAGTCTGGTTTTGAGCACAGGGCTTCACATTTACAAGACCACTGTTCTACCACTTAGCTATCATGCCATTTTTCATTACATTTATGCTGCATGCTTACTCGGTTTGTAAAGATTTGTAACAGCCATGTCAATGCTATTAGTGGTTATTTACATGAATAGTTATTCTCGAAGTGACACCTGCGTTACCTATCACTGAAATACTCTTCATTGAAAATTTACCTTATTTTTAAATTGAAGAAGAAGAAAGAGGATGGAAATCACAATCTGTCAGTTTTATAAGTGATTTATAGAATTCAAAACACATGATGTATGCTGTCAAGAAGTGACTTTTTATTGTGATTTGTAGAATTATAGTTTTTTGAGGCCGCAGTAAATTTTCAGATTTCTGTCTGATCATTTTATTGCCGTGTTCATTTTTTAAAGTTAATTTATCGATATAACCTTTTAACAAAGTAACATAACAACGTTTACTTTGTATCGAAACTATCGATGCTAAAAATAAGATACTAATAGATTTGACAAATTTTATATTGAGGAGAAATGTTAATGATGTATTTAACTACAATAATGAATTCTAATCTATTCTGATTTCCGTAGAATAGTTAAAATGAATTAATATGTTGGCAGTTTGTGTTAATTGTGATTGTGTGTCATCTCATATTTGAGCTATGAAATGAAATGGTGTAAGACCCATGTGTGATCAATGTTTTTGTTGGTGTTTATTTAAAGCCAGAATATTTTTATCTTCTGATCAAAGCATATTGCAGGTACTGGTACTTCATGTGCCCTCAGAATAAAAAAAAATTAAAAAAAGATATGTATATCATAAATATTTTTAGTGTCACAATTATGACAAGATGCTGTGCATTTGTCATAAACATCTAGATATTTTAATTGATTTGGTAAGAATTGTCAAATATTAGATTCATTTTCCATTGCTATTGTATCCTAGGTCCATGGTTTTTCATTAAGTTTATCACAACACGGAAAATAGTCAGTAATCCTTCATATATCACCATTCCTATGTTATTGCATCATCATCTTCGTAATAACCCAGCAAAAATATCTATTTTGCCGAAGAAGTCAAGCTAGATACAATTACACCTTATTGGGCTTTGCTTTTTTGTCATTAATTTCAAGCTTTATCTTATTAAAGTGCTCTTTATCTTTATATTTTCAATTTTTGTTTGGTATGAAGTGATTTCATTGGTCATAACAACATTTTTTTTAACAAACGTTTATTTCTTTTTCAGTAATATATTTGGAACACTTTACCTTTATTGATAGAGAGCTTCTTTGGTTCTGTAACCTCGAAAGAATGCAATAATATATATTATTTTAAAAAATAGACCATAGTCATATGTAGCTTAAACTCTAGTATAAATGTTATCATTGAGCTGCAAAACTTTAAAAAACAAAATTGAAGTGCGAATAAAGGTGTTTCATTTCATACCAAATTTGCAGTGTGATTCCTACTTTGTTAGAGTGATGAGTTGATAAATGAATCAATTGACTTTAAAGCTGATGTACAGTTTTGGTAAGCCCCCCAAAAAATTTCCATCAAAGTTCTTTGATTTTAAATCATAAATAGGAAGATACATTGTACTAGCAATACAAGGCTGTTGTGGATTTTTGTGTGAAAAAGTGAAATATCAGGGGTGATAACGAACACTAAAAAAAAATTGTTTTTTTGTTTTCTCCTCATCCATGCCCCCCTTGAGTAAAAAAAAAAAGGAAGAGGATTCGCGGGGAAAAAATGGCATGTAACAACATTCTTCCCTTTCGAGTAAGAAAATTGGGATAAAATAGGGAAGAAAAAAAAATCTGGTAAAAAAAATTGGGGAAAAATTGGGAAACCGATTTAAATCAAGTTTTTATCAGGCCTGAATATTAATAAAAATGAGAGAAAAAATTGAGATTCCAACCTGGAAAGTAAATTCTTACAACAGCAACCTGCACTACACATGTGTACGGTGGAAACTCGTTATAACGAGGTCCTTGGGACCATGGATATTACCTTGTTATATCAGAGCTTTTTATAACGAGGTTCCACTGTATAAACTACGATCTCCAAGCGAAGTGCTGAAATTGATGAGCTCGGATCTATAGGGTGTAAGGGTCCAATGTAGGGGAGTATAAAAGCCACTATCTAGCATTCCTTGCAGATATCTACACCACAGTTCACAGTATGTCATGGACTGAATACCAAACAATCTCAAACATGTATCTTTTTATATAAGAACAATACGAGACTATATTTAACAGGTTTCTTTCCAATTTCCTTTTTGCTACCAAAACTGTACATGTGAGCTTTAAGACAAGAGTGAAAGAAAGGAATGGGACTGAGAGAGGAGATGAAAGGATTATTAAATCATTAAAATCGAGAAAAGGACAAATTAATTCATAGATACAGAAGCCCAACTGTAAGTTGGTATAAATTTGTTGAAGCAAAAATGAACAAATATTCCTTGTTTAATTGATAACAAGATTTTAGATATCTTGCCAATTTTATTAAATCAATCCACACAAATATACATGTACATTAAAAAAACACATATTCAGTACATCACAAAAGAAATGTAAAAAAAAGAAATCAGAAATTAAGTGTTTGTGCATATTAAGTTCATTAGCGCTCACGTCTGTCAATCTTGACACTAGTGGCATATAGCATTAGTGATCTTATATTCTAAACATTCATAAATCTCTTATTTTGGTTTCTTATGATGGTTTATTTCAAACTTTGGCCATTCTGTTTCTCTTATTTTCGTTGTACATGTGAAGCTATCTATAAACAACCTTGCCCGCCATACATCTGTTCAGCCAGTAATGCCAACAAAAAGAAGAGTGTAAGTTCTCAAGCCCCAGAGGAGCAAGATCACTGAGCAAAACGAAACAGCCTGAAAATTTTACTTGATAAAGGTGACAGAGATCCAATTCGCGCTATCCCCAATATGCCCAAAATGTCTGGATGTAGCCTCTTGGAGGTAATTTCAAGCCACTTCCAAATGTGTAAATATGCAAACAAATTCTTACAAACTATATGAAATAAATACAACAACAAATAAACACACACTTTCAATTGAGGAAAGTATTTACACTGTATGTTCGAATATACTTAAAGAATGTACTGGTTTCACTCACATCTGTGACAAAATATACAAAATGAGTGTAAAAACTGAAATAGAAAGTGAAAGATACTGTGATGGAAAGTAAATAGGAAGTTTAAATTCTTGAAATTGATTGGTTTTCATTCACCACATTTGGTAATGCATAGTTTTTCAACAAAGTACTTGAAGGAGGCCAAGATTGTGTTGATAAATATTTTTTAGTTTCTTGGCTCTTAGTGAGCAAATACTTCACACTTCATAAATATGTGACACACTGATTACCACCAAAAACAAGCAACCTCAAGGTCAAAGTTTAATTTGTTATTTTGGTCGTATCAAAAGAATAGACTTTGAACCAAGCAGGAAATGATTGTATTGCATGTGAAAATAAAGCAGGCATCCACAGCCCACATGCACACATACTGCACCAAACCATGCATGCATAAAACAAAAAGTCTAAAGAAATAACTGTCCTATCATCAAAAGTGACTTTTTTGTATAAACCATTGGAGACTGGTTATACTTATACGGCATCACATACCATGAAAACTCTCCAATTTCTCCATTATTTGTGTTCAAAACTTTATAACATTCTTATTTTTTGTATGATTCCCCTCAAACTGTCACTACTCTGTTTCTCTGATCCTCTGTTCCCACTAGGCCTATCGTCATCAGCTCGAGATTGCCAAATAGCCCACTATTTCTAATTTGGGAAATAATCCTGAAGTTACAAAATCGCGTCTTCATCAGCTCGAGATTCGACCTTGAAACTTGAAACTCGACCTTGAGAAATTAGCTCAAGATATTTTGCTCAACGTTCGCGAATAGTGCGAGTCTTTCGGGGTGGTGAAGACGCACCAGACAAATAGCAGGATATTTTGCAAATTAGCCCAAGATATTTTGGGATGATTATCTCGACAAAATACCCTGCTAATTGCAACTTCGAGCTGATGAAGACGCAAATTAACTGGATAATTTGCGATCGGGATAATTGAAACAGCGGGATATTTGGCAATCTCGAGCTGATGAACACAGGCCTACACAGGCCAACTATTTGTGAAGGGTTACTTCTTTGTTGGAAGGCTTCGTCAATAGTCTTCATCACTGCTGTCATCTCTTCTCCTGTCGAACCCAAAGATGGTTTTATTAGCGGATCCAGCGGCGTTCAGAGGCTTGATGATTTCTAGAACGAGAAAATGTTGCCATAAACCATCATCATCATCATTATTACTTGTATCAGTATTATAACTACGGTAGTATCATTATCATTATCACTACTACTACTAATATTATTATTATCATTGTTATTATTACTATCATTATCATTACTACTATTATTATTATTACTACTACTATCATTACTACTACTATCATTATCATCATAGTTTTTATTACATGTATTAGCATAATTATCATTATCCTTACTATTACTAATATTATTATTACTACTACTATTATCATCATAAAAGTGATTAAATGTAATTATTGTGACCCGAATCAGACATCTGAGCAGTGGTTTTACAAAATCATATTACACTTGTTGTAATCCTAAAAGAGCTACCATAGTCAGTAAATATGACACCATATTACCATCTCATGAAAAAGCCTACGGATGTTACTTCTTAAAAAAGCAGGAAATATAGTCTCATATTCACCGCGCCGTATTGTGTCATTTTCATTGCGCATCTATTTTGCGTACAAGAATCTGTGCGCACTCTATTGTGACGTAATAATCACACCAAATTAGGTACACTGTTGGCAGTGTATCAAAATTTTGTCAAGCAGCTGGATGCTCAGTGCTGGTTTGACAAAAAAAAATTCAGTTCTATGAGATTGTCATGTATGTATTTGCTCTAGATGTCTGATTTGGATAATAATGACAATATTGACTGGCTTAACTTTCGGGAGATACCACATATATTGCCCTCACAAGACCCATATTGCCCTCGTCTTTGACTCAGGGCTACTACTACTACTACTCCTACTTTCAGGGAGGGAGGTTAATCATCCTGATATGTTGTTTCTTACCTGATTTTGCTATCCTATTTTCAAGGGTATCTGTTGTGAAGTTATCAGTGTTTCCCAGCTCATCAAAACCCACAACCCTGCAGAAAACAGAAGAGAATCAAGATGAAGTAGTAAAAAATAAATAATAAGACTGCAAGGCTATGACAGATGGTAGTATGTTGGGAAATAACTATTCCTCCACTTCACATTAAAGTGACTCAGTAACATTGCCTCAGATTCTGAAACAAAATCCTGGATTTAGCTCATGCTGCAATGAAAATTATAAACCTTTAGGTCAGTCAGGAATCTCACGACTTTTACAAGACTCCCTGACTTGTATATAATGAGAATGATTATTAAAGAGAATGAGTACAAGAAGATAGACCAAGAAGATAGACCTAGAAGCTCGACTGCTGTTTCAGCATTCATTCTTCCAGTACAGGTAAAGGTAAAGATATTTATGATTGGAAATCGAAACCAAATTTTGTGTTTGCCTAACGGTTTTCATAACACTACAGTCTATTGGGGAAAATGAGTATGGTAAAACCGGTCACTCAAAGATTTTACTTTTTTGAGGCACTTTTGAAGCGCGATTGTTTTTTTTAGGGCTTAAATATTACCCCATATGATATCACAGACACCGATAACGTGTAGGGCCGTGCATCTCAGATTTAACATTGTTAAACGATGCCTTTAATGCAAAGTATGACAGTATTTATGATTACATGTATATAAAGACAGGAATAGCTGCTATAGATAACTAATAAGAATGCATTAAACATGCAGAGGGGTACAGTGATAATAATAACAATAATTAGAGGAGGAGAAGAGGAGTAATTAGAGGAGGAGAAGAGAAAGAAAGTGGAGGAAGGGAGAGAAGGAAGGGAGAGGAGAGGGAAAGGAGAAGGAAAGGAGGAGGATGAGGAGGAGGAGAGAAGAGACAGAGGAATGGGAGGAGGAGGGGAGAGGAGGAGGAAGGGAAGAAGAAAGGGAGAGGAGAAGAAAGGGAGAGGAGAAGAAAGGGAGAGGAGAAGAAAAGGAGAGGAGAAGGAAAGGAGGAGGAAAGAAGAGGGAGAGAAAGGGGAGGAGGAGGGGGAAAGGAGGAAGAGATAAGGAGGAGGGGAGAGGAAAAGGAAAGGAGGAGAGAAGAGGAGGAGGAGGAGGAGAGAAGAGGGAGGAGGAAGAGGAAGAGGAGAATGGGGGGGGGGAGTACTGTACATATCCTATATTAATATAACAGTATAGAAGAATGAATGATCAATTACCTATCTGCAACAACTCCATCAATAAACAGGAGTACAGCTGGTAAGACCTGAATTTGGAGTCTCGTGACGAAGAAAGGAACTATGTCCACACACACCTTGCTGAACTTGACGTCTCGATATTGCTCTGCTAGTATCTGATAAAAAATTACCCCAAAAAATAATTAGATACAAAGATACTAGCTTCATGTAAAACATGCATAAATACATCCCGTACGATGCTCAAGGCAGATACAAAATAGTCCATCAACATTACATTCAGCTTTCTGATTCCACTTGTGTAAAGTAAAGGATAAGGAACCTGATGCTCATGTTTTTATCCACTTTTCAAAAATGTGCATAACATACACTATCAGGATAAACTAAAACTATGACATTTATGGCCCTTTTAAATTATCTTGTCCTTCTCTGTGCCGTGCTTGGGCCTAGGATAGCTACTTGCATTGCTATGGATAATTTCACAGATATGTCAGAGGAAAAAATTTACAAGTAAACCAGGAATGAAATCCCAATTCTCAGAAAGGGTAAACTTTATGCTTTCCAGACAGTGGATATGATAGAAGGTATCCATTCTTTAATTTAGCTCATCACATGTAGCGGAGATTAAAAGACACACTCTGAATAGAAAAGGTATCATAAAAATCTATTTTTGTTTGTATCGAGGTAGAACTAAAATATTAGGATTTTATTTTTTAAATAGTATACATATCTTTCTTAGATTATGCTTTAAATGAACCATATGAACAATGATGATGGTCTTTTGTGACACGGGTGTAAATTTATGCACGAGTAATATTTCAAAAAGAAGTTTGCAATACACCTAAACTGTCGGATGATTAAATGCCAAACTGTGATCTTACTTTTAAATGTTTATCCATAATGCAACATCTTCTGAAGTCTGTTTTGTAGAAGTGAACGATGACTTTAGGAATAGTGGTCGTCATCTTCAGTAAATCTTCTTCCTTTTCTATCTCACTGTGTGTCACAGTATGAGAGAGAAGGGAGAGAGAAAGAGAGAAGGGAGAGAATAAGTGTGAGAGAGATGTCAAACTTAAACAGATATGAAAACATTATAAGACCGGGAATTACTGTTGACAAATCTGCAAAAACTGATGAACTTCTTTAACTTGTTGATACTCGTTGGAACATTTTATGAAACATCTGTGTTTGAAAATTTGAAAAAAATGACAACCAGATTTTATCCATGTCAGAAGAGCAAAAAATGTGGAAATTGCGAGGATGGAACCTCATTTTTGAAAATATTTTGTTGGAAATAATTGTTAATATGGTCAGTATTAAATTTGATGCACCACTCAAAATTGAAAATGGTTTAATGATGGATGCATGCGTGGAACCCCAGTTTTGAAGGATGCGTGTGCGGAACCCCATTTAAAAAAATGTTTTTTTTGGAAATCTTTGTTTATGTGGTCAGTGAATTTGATGCACCACTCCTAATTGAAAATGGTTTAATGATGGATGCGTGTGCGGAACCCCATTTTTGAAATATTTAGTTGGAAATCTTTGTTTATGTGGTCTGTAAATTCAATGCAACAATCCAAATGGAAAATGGTTTGATGGATGCGTGTGAAGCTGGATGCATGTGCTGCTGGCTACTCGCATTGTAAATTCCTTCTTCTTATCTTTTCTCTTTTCTTATCTTCCTGTAACTGTCTTTACCTTATGTTATCTTTATCTTTCCTCCGTCTTCTGTTGTTGTGAATGTATTTACTATGTTTTTTATAAAAAATTAGTTTGTATCTTGTCTATGCTAAGTATTTATTTGGGATCCTTCTCATCAAGCCAATTTTGGTTTTCATGATTCCCACATCCTTTTATCTTATGTTGATAATGAACAAAAATGTATATACTTTTTATGTTTTTTAAAAGAGAGTGAAATAAATAAATGAAATAAATAAATGAAATGAAATGAAAATGTCTGTGTACTTACGTATAAAGACCAAGCCCCTTGTCTTCCATTGCCCTGGCAGCTGCAGCTTCTCTCTTCATCTGACCTATCCTGGCTTCTCGGATATTTGCTGGAATGTCCTCATTCTCAAGCTCATCAAAGAGTTCCTGTCATTGACATCATAGTGAAAATAACTAATAAGATATCTTGACCTTGACCTACCTTGACCTAAGCCTTCTACACCATCTGGGAGATGTGTGATGGCTTCTGCTTCATGACCTCAAGCCAGATTTTCCTATCTTATGACGTTCTGGTTGCTTCTGTGTAAGATATCTACAGGCGAGGAACTGCCCCTTGGAAATTTCAATTACCCATCAATTTAACTACTAATGTGTATAGCTCCAAATGATACATGTTTGAGTGAAATGGTCGAATCTAAATACATTTATTTGTAGATTATTTTGTTTGTTTTTGTTTTTTTCTGTCTACCAAGTTTTAAAAAAAAAATAGAAGTACTTCTCAAGCAATCCACAGAATCTGATGATTATGCAATAATAATAATAATAATAATAATATTGGATTCTTATATAGCGCACGTATCGACCTTGCAAGGTCCTCAAGGCGCTCAAACATTACCCGGCTATGCTAGGCTGCCGATTTCGACGCTCACAGCATTTCAAGGAATTCCTAGACTAAAATGGAGATCTTTTTTTAGATAACGGATCACTACCATGAGGCCTAAAATAAAAACTTGTTGCATTGCCCTTTGGGTGCCAAAACATGGGTCGGTCGGTCGGAAAATTTTTTTTTTTTTTACTCTTTTTTTCTTTCGCCCTCTTTGGGCCAATATTTTTCAGATTTGAACGTTTTTGTTGTTTTACCCCTTTTTTCCCCGCCCTCTTTTGGTTGATATTTCTCAGTTTTGAATGCTTTAATACATGTTTCAGCGTCATCATTCCATTGATATCTTGTTCACCTCATAATTATCCATGGTTTGCACGAGTGAGAATTTTGGAATAATTTGATATTATGCATTTATATCCCATTTAAACAAACAAAATACATATTTTTGTATTCATTAATTTTAAAAAAATCTAAAAAAACGGTCTAAAAAAAAAAACTTTTTTAAAATGCCGACCGGAGATTTTCAGAATGTTGGGTCGGTCGCAAAGGGCAATGCAACAAGTTTTTATTTAAGGCCTGATCAAGGGGTCTTACTTTTGTTGTTGATAAAAAATCTTTAAAAAAAGCATATATTTTACAACTAAAGTTACCACCACTACATGCAATTTATAAAAATACAGTTCAGCAAACATGGGTAAAATTAGTAGATGCATATCTTTGTTTGAAATAATTAATCTTTTGAACTGTGTATTAGCTGATATATCCTACAAATTTCAATTAAATGGTCTGATGATAGAACTCAATCATCAACATATTTCAAATGGTCGCTCGTTTTCATAAACTAATGTATCAGCATCTTTGAATGGAAAATATTCTCTAACAAAAGTTACATATTTAATGTTTTTGCACTGTACAGTATTAAACGTTTAGCCACTGTATTTTAGTGCTTGTCTATGGTCTGTGGAAGAGAGAGAAAATCATTTAATTTCGGACTTTTGTTTATGACTTTTGTTTCTAGTCTAAATAGACAAACTAAAGACAAAATTATTTGATAAAATATCATCCACTTTAAATAGATACTACTTTATGATCAAAAAGCTTTGTCCCAGCAGCAATCTTGAGAAAAAAATAACACAAAATCCAAAAATAACAAATAGTAAGGGCCTCCCTCAGCCTCACTGATTTAAAAAAAAAGTCAGGACAAGAAACACATTGTTTTCTTTTACTTGGCCTTATTCTTATCGCTTCTTATCACTTCCTATTGAATCTGGTGATGGTCTGATTATGTCAAAATTGGATAAAAAGAGGCTGATGAACGTTACAAAAAAGGAAAAATTTGGGGTCTGCAATTGAAGTCTTGTTTCATTGTTTCAATAACATTTCAAATATCAAGAGCTGAGACTTAGGCTTAGCAAAAGTCAGACTGTAAATCTAGGAGATCTAATGAAAGTAACCCCTACGAATGATTAACTTATTCCAGATACTAACGTCTTCATCAACAAATCCATCATCACAATCCTTTTCCGTATCTCTTCCAACATATCCCGATCCACTTGCTTCACCGGCGTCTGTATCCATGGTTTCCGAATTATTTTCCTTAGCCAACAGGGATTTCAGTATCTGGGACCACACGAGAAATATAGTCACAGCGCTCCTCCCTCAGTCTTGAGCTTTTATCCTGAAAAGAAAAGTGAAATTCATATTCACGTACGACATCTTTGTATTGTCGATATATGCGTTATGTTTTAACTTAGAACCAACAGGTAAAATATCTAAATACAATTAATGAAATATCACTTTCAAAAACTCACAGTTAGAATACAATCAGCGCGGCTCTCCAAACTGAAGTTACGGCTCAAAAATTATTGAGAGCTGCCTGAAAGTCAAATTTGAAATTTCGGACAATAAAGGGACACACTATTTAGACATATTACCATGCACGCCTTCTTCTCCTCCGTTGTAATTCTTCCCTAATTTCTCCTAATTCCCATTCTTTTACTTCTTCTTCTGCTCCTTTTCCTTCTCCTTCTTCTTTTAGTTCTTCTTTTTATTCTTCTTCTTCTGCAACTCAGTAATTATAAACTTTAATATTGGCAATTCAGGGGTGTCGATTTGTATCCGTGGTTGGGGGTGGGGGTGGTCGATAGGTGCCAAAATATTTTCGGCAATGGATCAAAGCAACCAAGAGGTAGAAGCGTGTGGCAGGTTGCACCCCTTCCCTTCCAAGTTATGAACTTTTTCAAGTCACCCTCAATAAAGATTACATTTCAGAGAATATGGGACCCATAGCAAAAATGATGATCATCTTGCGATTAATAACCATTAACTACTCTCATTATTAATTTTTCTCTTCATTTATTTTTTTGATGGTGAATTATTGGGGGGATGATTGTACAGGCCATCCCCCCACCTTAAATATTGGGGGGATATATCCCCCATCCCCCCCCCCCCCCCCCCCCGGGATCGACACCCATGATTGGCATAATACGTACCGTCACTTTTTCTTTACCTTTTTCAATATTGCTATGAATTATTACACCTCAAAAAATATATAATTTTCTACAGTACTATTTACAAACTTTTGCATACTTTCATTGAAAAAGTATATGGATTAACAAAATGAATTAAAAAGAAACTTAAGGGTTTAGAGATGTATTTGAAGGTTTGGAGAGTACATTTCTTGCTGTAATATAGGCTTTTCGTACAAGTGTAATCATAATTTATATTTATTTATTTATTTATTTATTTAAACGGACCCTTTCTTATAGGAGGGTATTATAATTATGTAGCAATTCGAAGAAGTGGTGACCACTCTGTAAGTTGCATTGCAACTACCTGTAAATGTACATGTTCATCGCTTTAATCTTAAAATCAATGGGCCTATACTTTTTAGCCACATATTTTGTAAGAGAAGCGGGCAAAAGTATTCACGGTAGGCCTATTCAGATGTTTAAAAAATATGAATTAAAATCAGAAGTGAAAAGGGAGAGATATATAGGGGAAATAGGGCATCGGGCTATGAGCTGTGCCGGCCCACCCCCCCCCCCCCCCCCTCCTTCCCAGGTGCATCGTTCTGGAAACAACCCATTGAAAACAAAAGTATACATGTACCAAAAAAAAAAAATCATCAAACAAAATCATACTTGTTCCATCAACTTTCATGTCTATTTAATAACTATTTAAAAAAAATCCTTTAAGTTGACCTCATTGGGGGGGGGGCATTAATGCAAGTGCCCCTTACCATATGGCTTCTTAGTAGGTCCTAGACCAACAATTTCTGTCTCTTTCGTTTGTTAGCCTCTGATTTGGGTAGGATCAGCTCCTCTCTTTAAAGAGAGAAGCCGATCGACCCTACCCAAATTAGGAGCCGTCTTTACCCTAACGAACGAACTGAGGAAAGTGTCGGTCTGCCCATACACAGGGGCGTCACTAAATGGGGGTGTGGAAATGAATCAAGACATCTGACATATTCTCAGTCATCAGGAATATAAAATTGATTAACATGACTTGTATGTTGTTACTTTTAAAACATTCGCGGTTCGCGGTTCACCAATCTCAAATTCTTAAAAAATCGTAATGTGTTATTCTGGCGATACGAGAAGTTTACACAGTATATTTTTCATAGAAGCTACCGTACAATTGAATTAGTTCTGAATATGAGCAAGAAAGTTCAGTTTTTAACTTACTTAATGCACACACTGTATGTAAACTGTATTGACTTGACTGTCTCCGCTGTAATAATGTCGGTTAAACAAAGCTCTTCTGAGACTGCTGAGGCTGTTGAAGGAACGAAGGCTGGAGATGGGAGCTCATCGTCTGTCCCCGAGGCTAGACATGTAGCCAGTACTTTGCCAGAACCAGAGGAGAATAAACGAAGAGGTAACTTATATAACTCCCAATCTCCAGTTGAAGTGACGTGATGCATGATGCGTGACAACTCCCTCTGAGCCGAGCTCTCCCTCCGGCGCTTGTTCAGAAACCTATCCAAAATTTGACCCGTAACCCCGGCGTGGAGATACCCTGCTAAAACTACCCAAAATTAAATAAATATTCATTAAATTTCCAAATAAAGATCATGACTTAAAAGTTGTTATGTTTATTAGAATAATAAACATAAACTCTACCTGTTGCGTTTCAATTTTCTTGTTATTTTTGGAGTATTTTTCGGGAAAACGTTGATATTAGTACTAGCAGACTAGATCTATACACTTTTTCACAGGTCTCCAGGCAAACCGCTGCACAATACAAGTGCATACTGATGGTGGGTTGCAGACGGGCACGCGCATGTGTGAAGTTATCTACCGTAATGAGGATCTGAGACATTACGGTAGATAACTTCACGCAGGCAGGCGCCCACCCGTACCCGCAACCCACCATCGGTAAGCACATGTATTGTGGAGCGGTTTGCCGTGAAACTTGTGGAAAAGTGTATACTAATATCAACGTTTTTCCAAAAAAATACTCCAAAAATAACACGAAGCAGGTAATAAACCGAACAACTTTTAACTCGTGATCTATATTTGGACATTTAATGAATATTTACTTCATTTTGGGTATGTTATGTTTTAGTAGGGTATCTCCACGCCGGAGTTGCGGGTCAAATTTTGGATAGGTTTCTGAACAAGCGCCCTGCCTCCAGCACTGCAATTGCAAAGTGCAATGCACTGACTTAAATGATAGAAAATAATCCGTTCAGTTGTCTACTCTAGTCTCTAGACTAGTCTTAAAAGAAACCTATCCCAAATAAATAACTTTAGCTCTAATTCAGAATCGTATTTAACCCGTAACTCTGGCGTGGATTTACCCTATACCTAAAATCGACTAGAGGAGTAGGGTCTAGATTCTAGATCTTCATCAATTGTTCAAACAATGGTCATGATTTAAAAGTTGTTATGTTTCTTACCTGTTTCGTGTCAATTTTCTTATCTTTTTTGGAGTTTTTTACATAAAAACAAAGACTTATAATGTACACTTTCTCACAGGATTCACGGCAACTGCTGCACAATACAATTGCATACCGTACCGACGGGTTGCGTGTGTTAAGTTAGCGACTGTAATCTTAGTTTACGGTCGCTAACTTAACACACGTACAGGCGCGCGCCCGCACCCCACCGTCAGTACACTAATGCAACTCATGTTTTGTGCAGCAACTGGAAAAGTTGATACAAAAACAAAGACTTTATGTGTAAAGGTTGACAGAACTATTCATCTGCTTGGGGGAGTTTTTTTTTAAACAAAGACTACTGTAGATGATCTAGATCTATTTTGTAATTTAGTTCGGTGAAGCCAGAAAAAGTCTCAGCAGAGCATATCCCAAACAAAATGTTTTTTTTTGTCTATTAATGTAAAGGCAACTACATTTTGTAAGTTGCAGTTATTTAATGCGTCTAGCCATCTACATGCAATACGTTGTATGCTTCTCTTTTGTTTTCTTTCCATAGCTCAACCTTGTCAGTATATTTTGAGTTTTTGTATGTAGAGTCAATCATGCGATTACCATTTGCCTCTATTCCATTTAATTTATTTTTCAGTGAGTACAGACGCTGCAGTAGAGACAGCTCAAGAGGTTAAAGCAGAGGAGAATGCAGACATTGCAGAGCTGACACGAGATATGTTTCAGAAGATGACTGCTTATCTACAGGGTGATCTGTCAGGTATTGCATCAAGTCTCCTTAAAGGCATCATTTAACAATGTTATTAGTGTCTGTGATATGGTGTAATATTGAAGCCCTAAAAAAAATAGCGCTTCAAAATGATCAAGAAGTGCCTCCAAAAAGTGAAAATCTTTGAGTGACCAGTTCTACCATAGGTACTTGTTTTCCCCAATAGACTGTAGTGTTATGAAAACCATGAAAATGCAAAATTTGGTTTCGATTTCCAATCATAAATATCTTGATAATCAGACAGGCGATTGGCTTGTAAAGTCATGGGGTTCCTGACTGACCTAAAGGTATATAATTATCATTGCAGCATTAGCTAAATCCAGGATTTTGTTTCAGAATCTGAGACAAAGTTACCGGATCCCTTTAATAGAGCATTTATAAACTGAAATACTTTATGGAGAAATTTAATACACTATCAAGTCTATTCATCAATAAGTCATCTTGGATTGTGAAGGCTTTATTTGATTATCTTGTTAATAAAGCTAATAAAGTATGTAACAAGATGGAAATAATGTTTGATATTTAGAATTCTCTTTCAGCTGACATACACAGAAAAAACAGTTATTATATACCCTAATCTTTGATGGAGTTTTCAGATTTAGAAAGTTAAGGTTAAATGTCTCTCTCACGATGACCTTTATGTATGCAGCTCCGTAATAGGAGATGGCCGTCTGATATGAATAAGTCAATAATGCCAGTTTTAATAATACCTCAACATTAATTGCAGGGATGGTATATGTTTCTGTAGGGTCCCTGTGAAATGTAAGGCAAATTTTACCCAATGAAAGTTTGGAGATCATGGATACCCTCTCAAAACATTTGAATGTGCAAAAGTCATCCATTTCACATTTCTTTTCCTTTTTATATTTCTTCTTCTTCTTCTTCTTCTTCTTCTTCTTCTTCTTCTTCTTCTTCTTCTTCTTCTTCTTCTTCTCCTTCCTCTTCCTCTTCCTCTTCCTTTTCTTCTTCTTCTTCTTCTTCTTCTTCTTCTTCTTCTTCTTCTTCTTCTTCTTCTTCGTCTTCTTCTTCTTCTTCGTCTTCTTTTTCTTCCTGTTCTTCTTCTTCTCCTTCTTCTTCTTCTTCTTCTTCTTCTTCTTCTTCTTCTTCGTCTTCTTCTTCTTCTTCGTCTTCTTTTTCTTCCTCTTCTTCTTCTTCTCCTTCTTCTTCTTCTTCTTCTTCTTCTTCTTCTTCTTCTTCTTCTTCTTCTTCTCCTTCTTTTTTGTCTTCAGTGACTGCTGAGGATTACAAGCTTCTAGAACAGATGAACCTGGTGACTTCCAAGAAATATGCAGACATGAGAAACATTGCCTTGCAGATAGGAGACTCCATGACAGGGCTACAGAGCAAATGTAAGTGTAGCCCCGCCAAGAGATGGATGTAATGTATACTAGAACTCAGAGATGATTGATAGAGAGAAGTTTAAAGGAAACAACAGTGATAATTTATGCAGGAAGACCGTCAAAAGAAAACAAATTCTCATTGAATCTTTTCTTCAATGGTCAGTATGCAAGTATACAAATGATGCATGCATATGACTTCTGTTGATGCTGTGTGTATCTATCGCACTCAGCCTAACGGCTTCGTGCGATAGATACACACAGCCCCATCTCGAGTGCGGATAGATCGTATAATGAACGAATGAAAACATGCATCATTTGTTTTATACAACAAAACTCACAGATCCTTGTTATTTGATGGAAAAAGAATTCATTCAAGATTGTTTCGTGACAGTATGGCTAGGCTGACAAATAAATCTCAAGTTTAATAAAGCTTAATTTAGTGCGCACACATAGATATAGTAAGCGCACTTACCTCTATACCCATTTACACATAGTGCTGCGCAAGAATAGGCTCATGCTCACGCAGTAGCGCTCTAACCTCTATGCGCACTACTGCGCACTGAAAATGCGTGCAATAGGACTGGAAAATATTGCATACTTTTTCATGAAAAAGCGTGCAATAGGCTCAGTAAATGAATCACACATGACCATGCATGACCAATCATTTGATTAGGATCTGGGAGTGAGTTGTATAAAATCAATGACTGAAAAGAAATGATGATAAAGACCAGGTTGGTCTGGTCTAGAAGAAGCTAAGTGTAGATTTAGTACAGGTCGAGTTGGTTGAGTAGAGATCATGTTGGGGTCGGGATGATCTGGTAGAGATCAGGGTGGTTGCCCAGTTGAAGTCATGAATGGTCATGTAGGGGTCAAGAATGGTCAAGTAGTGGACGGGTCGAGCTTGGTCGTAGATTTTGGGCGATCGGGAAAGACAAGTTGATCTGATATGCAGTGTGAACTAAACATGTTAGAGACTTAACATTCAGGTTGAGAGTGTTTCTTCTTGAATGATATCCAGTTCTTGTTGATTTCTGGTTGGTTTCCAAAATTTATCAGATTTTAAAATTTTGTATTTATGCATTTATATGAAAACCAGGAAGCTTATTTCTAGAATGATGTTATTTCTCTTATCCAGATCAAAGTCTCCAGCCCTATCTAGACCAGATTGATCAGGTTGAAGAAAGCGTTACCAGTCTGGAACAAGCTGCCCTGAGATTAGATGCATATTCAAAGCGACTCGGTGAGATTACCTTATTTCTTGAACATTCAATATTCTACTATATCTTGATAACTATAGATAAAGAGAAGTAATACTTTATATTGATGCATAATTACTATAACTTATCTATCTGTGTTACTACTCACCAATAAAAGTAACAATTGCTTGTGCCAGCCTCTTGAATGAATTTTATTTTTATTAATCAAACTATAACTATATTGAGGAAGATGTCAGAACTCCAGACATCAAACTGATAAATATAAATTTTCCTTTTGGATGTCCTTTTGGAGCCTAGGTCTGCATTTTACTTTTTACATGCTTTTTATTGTTATATTCAATAAATAAAGTATGTGACAATAGAAAAGTAATCACTGAGTTTATGTTTTCATGCAGGAGTTTCACCAGATTACCTTGAATTTGAGGTTGGGGGGGGGGGGGGGGGGGAGGTGAGGTGAGGTGAGGTGTCCTACCAACTTTGACCACAATTTTTGAAACAACAAAAAAAGAAAGGGATTGGATTTGTGCAATCTGCCAGCAATGCTAAAAAGTCCCTAACTAGAGATAGAGATGCACTTCGCTAATCTGTATGTCGCAACATAATAAAAACTTACCTTCTTCTAGAGTAATCTGTTATATTGACTTTTTCATGTTCTATTTACCTTTTCAGAAGCAAAATTTAAGCAGCTGGAGAAGAGATGAAAATGGACTTCAAGGATACGAATGGACAATTGATAGAGACTTCTGAAGAAAGGTTGAGTAAATCTTTTGAATATAGATGAAACATTCTCATCTTGAATCAACGAATCAAATCTACTTATGCTATTGCATGAGCCAAAGGCACCGACCTCTACACTTTACCAGTGGTGAATGATGGTGGAGAAGAGATGAAAATCCACTTCAAGGGTACGAATGGACAATTGATAGAGACTTCTGAAGAAAGGTTGAGTAAACCTTTCAGGTATAGATGAAGCATTCTCATCTTGAATCAACGAATCAAATCTACTTTAGCCATTGCTTGAGCCAAATGCACCAACCTCTACAGTTTGCCAGTGGCCAATGATGGTGGATTTGACTTCAGGGGACGACTGGAGGAATTGTTTAAGACGCATTTGAGACAATGGCTTACTGACCAATGGCACGGAAGGTCTTGTTTTTACAAGGGGAAAGAGTCACTAAGAAGACATCAGAGTATTGATTATTTAAATCATGATTCCATAGCTTATCCGGGGTAAAATGTTGTGCTGATATCGGAACAATCAATTTTATTGAATGAATTTACGCTGTTAGGACCACTTTGGTTATTCTGATTGGTGGTTAGCGTTATGCTGCCCTGCACTGGTCGAAAGATATTGACCCACGAGCTGAAAAATGTGCCCGTCGCGGCTTGCCGGCGGGGGCGTTCTTTTTTAAAATATTTGTGTGTTTATTAAATTTTCAATCATATAAAAATTACATATTTACAAGTCGGGGGGCGTTCTTAGTTATGAATCCATCCTATTGACTATTCAACCATTGAAAACAACTCTAAATCCATGACATACAAAATTGTGACGAAAGGCTGATTATTTACATCACTGCCCTTTTGAAATCCCTCTATCAACTACCAGCAATTTACCAGCAATTTTCAGCATGTCATTTAAGAGGTGATAGAAAACATTGCCCTCCCTTGTTTTATCAACACAGTCTCACATAACCCACTTGACATGTAATCTATTTAGTTCATGATTGTATATCGATATGTGTTGGAGACAACACCTTTTATAGAATTTATATTTTTGTTCACATTGAAGAGGAAGAGAAAGTGGAGAGCAACTTTGAGCAAAATCGTCTGTGGGACATATCCGCCATTTTAAAGAAAATAAAAAATAACCTTTTGGCAACAGAGATTATTACACCAAACAGATTGTACAATCAAAATGTTATCAAAGAATCTATAAAAAAATTAGGTTGTTTAGTGAGGCACCCATTGAAGTAAGCGTCAAGACTTGGGTATGACATAATGGGTAAAAATGATGCGATGAATTGATATTATTGTTATTGTAAATATTACGGCTACTAATGACATTATTGTGAATTCTCAAAGCATGTAGATATGTGTACTTTGTTAAAGGGGAAGTTCACCCTAATATGTAGTTGTTTTTTTTTAATAAAAAACAGATCAGTGAAAGTTTGAGCAAAATCGAATGAGGAATGAGAGAGTTAGGATTTTTGCAATTGTATTCTATTGGACACAAATGTGAGGTACTCTCCCATTTTATCTGTTCAGAAAAGTTCACAATTGTCCATTTTCTTATATTCTAGAGCTTGCAAGATATATCGCAGTGTTGCCAATTTGTGTTTGATTGATTAAAACTTTAAAAATTGACAATTTCCCTATTTTTTATCAGATTGAGCTCAAACTTTCACTGATCTGTATCCCCAATTTTTCTGCTTCTATTGAAAGCAACTTCAGATCAGGGTGGACTTTCCATTTAAGCCAACTGTTATTATCCATGAGGGTTAATTCATATAATGTTGATAAGTTTTATAGATGTGCAATTTTAAATTACTTTCAAAGTTTGAAAGAGATACATAGATGAATTTTATCAGAAGATTCTGAAGAGATATTTTTTTGACAACAAAAGTTATAGGTTGGTCAACTTGGTTAGTTAGCATGTATTTGGTGTCATAAAGATGAATGTCTTTTGGTTAATAGTACCTAAGGGGGAAAATGCAACTCTTTACAAACTGGTTTGTACATAGATTTCTAAGAATTTAAAGTTTTCTATGAAGCAAATTTTGTGACGTTTAGTCAACCAATAATTTGAAAATATTTGACAGTTGAACCTTTTGGTTGCTTTTATTGGCTCTCTGGATGGTCGCTAGTTTGCCACATGTGCAGTTTTGCACAAAACAAAAAGGGCACGATTTGCAAAATTACCCATTTCCGGTCTTGATTTAACACCGGTTTGATTCATCGTGCACTAAAAACCATTATATAATTTTGGAGCCTTTGGTAAATCTATCCCATGATATATACAATGTGGCACAGGGAGATTATTTGTGTGGCATATTATTAAAGAGATTAGTTAAGTGATGGTATTTTGAATAGTTTGATGATATATTTTGATCACTCAGAAACATTCCTTTATATGTGTTGTGTATATTAAGTATAACAAATATGGATCTCAATTATGGGAATACAATATACTTGTACATTATGGATAGTTGCATTAAATATATGATTTATACACTTAATCCTATTTTGACAAGGTATTTAAGAAATAGACATCTTTACACACAAAAAAGTTAAAGAGTATATAGAGAGAAAGTAAGACCTATATGGCAGCAAAGGGGAAGAGAGATAGAGAGAGAGGGGGTAGAATACGGACAGACAAACAGATCGACGAAATAAAAGAGTGATTATAAATATACAGAGAGAGAGAGAAAAAGAGAGAGAAAAAAAAGAAAAAAAAGAATGGGGTACAAACAGTGGAAGAAAGTTTATTAGAGAAGAGGAAGAGAAAGGTTGAAATTCAAAGAGAGAGAGAGAGGGGGGGGTGCGGAAAAGACGGGTAGACGGAAGACAATTGGTCGACCACTGCTACATAAACAGACGAGATATGTGTCTTTGTATAGTGGTATGCTTATCACAACAATTGGACAAAAGAATTAAAAACCTTGAGAGTTGAAGAGCTTGTTGACTTAATATAAGAAAGGCGAAATGAAATATATAATATGACCAATATGAATGATTTTGTAGTCGAACTCTCAGTTGTTCCGCCAAAGGCAAGTCCACACACACCAAAATCTTCTTCTTTCTCCATCCCTCTCTATCTGTATTTAACCGCTCTTCTTCATTAAATCGTGTGATATATCATCTGACACCATCCCAATTCTTGTCTTCTCTTTCCCCGTTTTCCATCCATCTTCCTTTCTAAAATGTCACTGAGCATGTTTGCCCCCGATCCCATACGATGTGATGTCCTATCCAGTTCTTCTTCCGTCTCCATATTGTGTCTCTCGATCAAGCTCCTTCGTTCACCCAGTCGATCTATCCAGTACTTCTTCATACCCTGTCCCTTCCGCTTTTCTCCACTAAAAGTAAAAACATTCCCTGAGAAAAATTACCTTGGGTCATGTTTCATTTCCTTTATTAATTATAAAACAGAATCTACTTAACAGATTATGGCCCGAAATCATCACTTGCAAGTAAAATTGTTCTTGAATTTTTAAGTCAAGGATTACTTCATACTACTTTAATATCATACAACATTGCTGTGACAATAAATATTTAACTGTTCTTAGTTAGCTACAACTACCTGTAGAGGAAACCGGGAGCCATTCAACAGATCCCTACCCCCCTCCCCCCCCCCCCCCTACTTCCCTGAGTCCGGCGAAACGCGAAAAAAAAAGAGGGGTTGAAGAAAACGAGGAAAGGAGAAAGAAATATATACGTGTAATGATGATCATAATGATGGTAATAGTAGTAATAGTGATAGCAAAAGTAGTATCAGGGGCGGTTCCAGGGGCCTGGGCCCCCGCCCCTGGCAAAAAAAAAAGATGTTAACCACAACTTTACTTTTTTGTTGCTGCTCTAGAGGGCAATAATAAAGTTTGAATAAACAAATTAAAAAGTGTTAACCACAAAATTTGGGGGAAAGCAAATTTGAAACTCATCTGTTGGTTTTTTGATTTACTGTTAATAGAAATGTTCCCTGGATCATACGGTGTCCCCCTTTTTTATAAGAAAAAATACATCAAAGTAGCACCAAAGCATTTATGCCCATTCAGTATGTCCACAGCTCTTTTCTTTTTCTAAACAAAAACAAAAGTGTAAAAACTACTTTACCAGTATATATCAGCAATATTTAAGCACACTTACCTTTTACAAGCACGCATTTCGATACCTGTAAATTACAAGGTTTTAAGAATGCCCTGACTTGAAGTATAACTATGATTTCTAACATGATTGTATAAACAATTTTTTTTTTTTTTTTTTTAACTTCCGGGATTTTTGAAAATAACAAATAATTAAAATATTGAAGCGGCACCATAAACGAGTGCAGGCGGGGACAATAACCACGTAATTTTTGTTACTTGGCCTAATAAAAATAATATTAATAATGATAGTGATATTAATAATGACATGTAATTCATAATAATAGCTAGGTCTATAACCAGAACGGAGGAAGAAGAAGAAGAAGATCGAGCGAGATATGCTCAACATACTTCCTCTCGTTAACATTGTAAAGTATTTTTGAAAATAAATGCCCACTGCACTACTTGTAGCTACTTGCGCCCTCTATATAACAAACAATGCCTAATCGGTGACCATTGGTCCCCCATTTGATCCTCTTTTTCTTATGTTAACTGAGAGCTGAGTTGATGAGATATCCACCTGTCCAGTGACCTTGCAGGGCAGTCTAATCCCTCCTGTAAACTACGGCAGATAAGCTTAAGACGTTGAACACAGAAGAACATAGGGCCTAATTAGCGGCTAAGCGCCTATATCTACCCATGTTTGCCTCATCAATCCTCTTCATGAGGACCCTGCAATCAAACTAATTGAACCATAATTGCATTTTCTTTCCCTTTCTTTCACCCGTTCTTCTCTTAGTTTGTGTTTCGTGTTTCTTTCTGTCTTGCATGCATGCTATGGTACTATTATGTCACGAAGCCGAGAGGTGTCGCTTTCTAACTACATCGGCGTTCCATAATACTATCGCGTGATGTGCTCGAGCACAAGGTCGTCTGATTTTATTTCACGGCTAGGACCGATCAAGACGTATTTTGTTTTATTTGATATTTGTATTGCATGGAATTTGAACCAAATATAAAAATGTTAAAATTGTAGTCTTTTAAGTAAACGTTGTAGGTTTCTAAAACCGTGAGGATTGTTTATTGCATACAAAATTGAAAGTGTACAAAAAATAATACTCGGAACGTCTGAAAATATTTCAAAAATTGACCGCGCGATGGAGCGAATGATGTCTGGGCGCGCGTTTCCGTTTTACACCCTGCCCTAGGCTTTTCGGCAAGAAATTACACGAAACATGCTGTATCCGAAGTCTAAGTTTGTTTATATCGACGTCAAGAATAGCGAAGCCAAAGCTTATGTACAATTTCAATTGGGGATGCGAGGGTCTTCTTGTTCAAGACGGTTTTCCCGATATATTATTGTTTTGTTATCGCTGGGCTAAATTTTGCGAGCTGATCACGCATCCTCACGCTCTTAGAGTATTGCGTATTAATGGATAAAAATAAATGATACGACTAGGAAGATCAACTAGTATAGAGAGTTAGCTAGCGCTACGTGACGTTTTCAGAGTTCTGGTGGTGTGCAGAGCGCCGAGGCAAGATGTGGACGACTAGACTCCGAATACCAGTCGGTTTGTAAAATTTTATTGGAGAAAAGCCTAGGGCAGGGTGTAAAACGGAAACGCGCTGTCTGGGCCTAGGCTATCCAGGGAGGGAGGACGAATCAGCTCAGCTAGTTAGCTAGCTGTGTAAAGTAAGCACAGAAATAGTGCAGTGCATATGGATATGAAGAGGTAAAAGGTCACAAGTCCACAGTGCGTGCAGCAATGGCCTAGACTGTGCGTGTATTACGTATGTAGCGCGCGAGGTACCGGTTGAGCTGAGCTGTGCATGCATAATTATCTAGACCTATGTCTGTGTTTGTTGACGATTTGTGGATAAAACAGGAAGATTGCAGCTCTCTATCTCGCAAGTTTGCCTGAGATAAGTGAAACTGCTCGTTCAGACAGGATTAAGGGCATTTGGATTTTACTGTCTGACTGTCTGACGTTAACTTACTAACTGGTAAGTAGACTCTACACAATTTTTCATATTTTTAGTCAATACAAATTGAATAGAGACGAGAGTGTCTACGAGAAATTTCGATAGAACTGAATTACGTGTCCGATCGGTCTCCTTTTTTGACGCTGCTGTAGATGTCTAAGTGTAAATTTAATTTTAGATATTTATTTCGTGTTTGTTTATTTCAAAATTATATGTCATGAATGATGATGATGATTGGCATCCGATCGGGGGCGGCGGAGCGTCTTTCAAAGTGACTGTTGATGCACCAGCAAAAAACCAAAAAGGGACACTTCGTTCATGGTTCATTGAAGAAGGGGCACCTAGCTAGGCCTAGAATAGACAGCAATAACCATCTGATTTGGGTCATTTCTTTAATAAAACTGACATTTGTTGTCATTCCCCATACACATGTACATTGTAATAGAGGCGGTCAGAGGAGCCAGATGCAATCTCAGCCGAACAACCGTCGATATCAGAGACTGCATTGAAGCTTTCGGTCTATAATTATTCGCCTACATCATGATCATGTACATCATACATGTACATGTCAGTACAACACAAGCACAATATACAAAAGCCCTTTGTAGTACTTCAACTTACTTGTACTATTGTAGGCCTTTATTTATACCACTAGATCTAAGTACACTGTAATTAAATCATTATCAAGGATGACCATCAAGATGTTCTGTTCCGCAATACAATAGTCTAGATCCTACAACTACAGCTAATCTACAAATTACAATAAACTGATTCAGCTTCAGCAGGATACTTTCAGTTTCATTTTCTGTGAGTGTTGTATGTGATGGTCTGAACATTCATTGAAGGGTAGGTGGCATTTATCAGAGTCTACAGAGATGAAAAAGGGGCATTCATACGAAGGGGAAAATGGCACTTATTAAAAAGGGAAAATGGGCACCTATCAGAGCTGAAAAGGTGTTATTCCTCATAGTATCATATCTTAAATGGGAACTCATCAGAGATGATAAGTGGCACTTCTTAGAAGCGGAAATGAATAGTACAAAGGAAAGGGGCACCTATCACTCAGTTTTGGATAGGGGCATTAGTGGTGAAAAGGGGCACTCATAGTCCATAGATGAAAAGGAGCATTTCTTAGAAGCCACAAAATGCATGTATTACATAGGAAAAGGGGCACCTATCATAGTATCAGATTTTGATAGGGATAATCGGGTGAAAAGGGACATTTATAGGAAAGGGGAGGGACATTTATTACAAGCGGAAAGGTGCAGTTACCAGGGCAAACAAGGGCACTTGTTAGAAAGAAAAAGGGGCACCTCTTGTGTCTGAAATCGGGCACTTTAATGGGAAAGGGAAAGGAGCATGTGTTACAAATGAAAATGAGCACTTATCAAAGTTATAGGGAATCCTATTAGTTTAATTTAATGATGTATCAGAAGTTAAAAGTGGCAAAGTTATTAGAAGGGGAAGGGGCACTTAGTAGAGAGGAAAGAGGTCACTCATCTATTCTGAAGAGAAAAAGCCAAAAGGGCACTTTTGGGGTAATTGACATTTGAAAAGCACTGTAACCCTCCAGCCAACCCCTGCCCCCTCCCCCCCCCCCCCGCGAGGGCCGTCCCCATCCCTGATTGACATAAATTCTTTGTCGAGTGAAGAAAAAAGTTGGGAAATAAACCAAGGACATCTAAAATAGACAATCAGCTATCAATTAGTCTCGAGACAATCCTTTCTGCTTTCAATAAATTTACTGTGAGAGAAAACTTTACTTGCTTTCCGCCTAATTTCATTGAATGTTGAAGAAGATATTAATCCATAGTTAAAGACCTTTATTTTGTTAGCTATTGAAGTTTCAAAAGTCAATGTTTATGAGTAATGGATAGACTGGGACTGTCGTATACACATGTATATAAAAGAAAATTGCGTTGCAACTTTTTTAGTGAGGCTATACACGCTTAGAACATCTACATGTTAATAAAAGATTTAATCCTCTCCGAGAGAACGGGGACAAGGGGTTTTACTTTACCGGTGTGGTTAATTAAGAGCCCCTCCCGGCCCCTCCCGGCCCCTCCCGGCCCCTCCCCCACGAGAACCGAGCCTCCGGGCCGAACCTGTTCAGAAAATGCTACGCGGTCTCTGTGTCACATGTTGTGGCCCTATGTCTACACACCTCAGACAAGCTTCATGTTTGTTTATGTTTGTTCGTTTATTTTTCCCAACTGCTAAGAATGCATGTGTATAATATAGTGGATAATCATTTGTAACTACGGTCGAAGCGATTGATCTCGAATTACTTTGTGTAAAGGATTTTGAAATACATGTTCCAGGCCACTAGACCAACTTTTGGGGCTACTCAGATTCTCAGAAAATTATTATTATCAAATATATCGATGTCTTTTATTTTATTTTATTGATTTTCAGTCTAATTCAGGTTTTAGCCATTAATATTTCTTCACCAAAACAAGTGATGGTTATATATTAATCGGTTGATCAAGCGTTTAGTTGTTGTAATGGTAAGGGGTATTATCCTACAAAATATCCCGACCAAAATCTAGAGGAGCACGGAAGAAATAAAACCACAAGGAAAAGAATTGTTAAAATGAAGGTTACTTGGGGCGAAACAGTAAAAGTCTGTAACTTGTACGCCTGATAAGAGAGAGCTAGAGAAATGAAAGGCAAACTATTTTCCACATAATTATGTACATGTATGAATGATTAATTTAAAATGGAATCGTTAAGCTTATGCTTGAAGGAATATAGTGAGGGTGATTCGGTTTTTTATGTCCTAACTATTACAGAATGAGGGACCTATCTCGGCTATTGTTTTGAGAGCAAAAGCTGTTCCCATAACTATAAGGGAGAAATGAAAATAGGATTTTTGCCTGGTAAGGTAGGAATGAATATCACTATTTTTTACAAACATGGAATGAAAACATTTGGCGGGTCGTCTTTAATTAGTTGATACATAAATATTCCAATGTAAAAATAGTATGTCTGTTAAGTTTTAAAAAAATGTTTGTTTGAAATTTAGGGTTTGTGTGTGCACGAAAATGTGCAGAAAATTAAAAAAACGGCGAGTGGAAATATGTTTAGATGATTACATACCCTTTAAGCTGAAATAAATGACTTGTAACGACCATTGTCTATTTATCGGAATGCTATCTTACGATTGTGAAATTTAAGGTCAAGTCTAGTTACAAGTGGGATTTTATCTTACGCAACTTCCCGAGACGATAACGATTTCGATACTCAACCTAAAAAGATTGAGGATGATTCACACAACAAGATAAAATTAAAGATAATGGTCCTCTTGAAGACCGAGAAAGAATTTGCTAGCGTTGCTAATTTCAATTTTCATTTTCATGTTATGTGACGGCGTCCATTTTGAATTGAATGTTATTAAAGATTTCATTGTTTGTCAGCTAACCGTCAACATTTTCCGATAAGAATACTTGGATGTTTGGTCTATCTTTCCAGCTTTTCCTCTATTAATAGATTGATGCCACTTCTGCGTTGTGATGGTCTTAACATTTTGTTCGAACTCAATTCAATTCAGTCATATCAAAACTTCACTGGCGATGCTCCTACGGGGGGCACCCTGCATGGAAATGGCTTTTAAACAGAGAAAGAGGAAAGGGAACGTGAGAAAAAGAAGGCGCTACAACCTCTTTCCACATTCATTTTAATGGCCTTGTAAATTTGTATTACATCCTCCGAATAAGACGGCTGCCCCCCCCCTACCCCCAATTAGTGTCCCTTCTATAAAGGGACACTACCCCCCAATGATGCGAGTGCCCCCTCAATATCAATACTCAAGCTACTATTACCTTTCTTATCGGGGTTTTCAGCCGGTCGGAGTCTTGAGTTCAAACCCGTATTAGGCCATATACATGATACAAATATTTTCTAGTTGGTCCCCTTTCTTCCTTTTTCGACCCTCCTCAAATGTTTGGCATTTGAAATGTTTGTCCTTAAATGAAGTAAATAACAATATGAAGACGTTAAGACGAAGGAATCAGCTAAAACAATAACACAATGCAATATTTCCTTGTTTTAGCTTCTGTCGTCTTGTACACTGTATACATGTAGATAAAATTTAATTAACACAATTTGTGTTGAAATTGACCCAATAGCAATTCTCAGTTTGTACACAAAAAATATCAAGTATAATATCACCTCCTTCTCGTACACTGTATACATGTAGATAAAATTTAATTAACACAATTTGTGTTGAAATTGACCCAATAGCAATTCTCAGTTTGTACACAAAAAATATCAAGTATAATATCACCTCCTTCCCATTTTCGAGAATTCCTATTTTTTTTTTTTAAATTTAATTTTTTTTTTATTTATTTATTTATTTTAATTTTTTTTTTTTTTAAAGAAAAAAACATGAAAAACACTACTAAAACGGATCTTTTTCTGATTTAAAAAAAAAAAGAAAAAAAATTGTCGGAGGCCATCTTGAAAAATAGTCCGACTGTCAGGGAAAATGTACCGAGCGGCCATTTTGAGCGGCCATTTTGAAAGAAAAAAAAAGGGCCTCCTCCTTCCTATTTTTCGAAAAAACAGGATGCTAAACATGTTTTTTTATTTTTTATTTGGCCTTATCTCTGTCTGATTTTCTTGCCTAAATGGGATGACAAAATCACTTTGTAAAATGTTTGGAATCAATCGTATATGGCCCTAATTTGTGGTTTCGAATATCTTCCGCCGAGTAGAAAGCGATCTTGCGAAATGTTGTTATTATCACGAGTTTGGTGTATCATCATCGAACCATGTATCGGAAGGCATACGGTGTCAGTAGGTCTAAACCTCGTTGTTTGTTTGTTTATTTTGTTTGTTTGTTTTATCGTTCGATTCGAGCCCTTCTGGCAGCCTCTGCAATATATTCCATTATCATAACCTGATTATGATATAACTTCGTTGAAATGGGTTCTTAAACTTCTTGCCAAAGGCGTAGCGGGGGTGCACATAGGGGGTCTTGCCCCTCTTTGATCCGCTTATAACATGTCACCCCCGCTGTACCCACCCCCCCCCCCCCCCTCTCCCCCCTCTTTACAAGTCAGGCTATGCCATGCAGTAGTGATCTTACCAACAATAATTTATTATTGAATAATCGTAACTGACAATGAACATGCTATAATAACGTGAGTTATCTATTGACTATGGTTGGTCTCTGACCTTCTCTTATCATTCAACGCTATATAGGAAGTGAAAGAGAATGACCTTTCTTTTATTCTTTCCTTTTATTTACACAGACAAGCAAACAGAAAGAAGGGTTGAGGGGGGGGGGGTGGCAAAAACAGGGTGTGCATACCCCTAGGTCTAAATATAACGCATGAAACCATTATGATACGTTATGCATACATTATGTACTGTACAGAGCGAGGAGCACATCGAAGCCATTCGTGAATCAGTCTCCTTCTGTGCTACTGTGTTCAGATTCTGTGTACATGGTGTACGTGTGTTCTCTCGTAAGCTGAAATCGCTGGTAAAAAATAATTTTCCATGTTTGCTTTTGCGCAGCCTCGCATTTACAGCTGTATTGTCTGTCTATTTTTTACGGCAGGAAATACATTAACCTTTGGTATATACTATATATCATGTACTCGTATAGTTTAAGTGTATTAATATCAGCTTGTATTCGCCCCCTATGAAATATTCTAGTCATATTTCAAAACAAAGCTTGGTGTTTTATGATGTGCGGGTGCTAGCCTACATTTGTGTACATCGTGACTGAATGTTGACTTAATGTGAGAGAGCGTTATGCTTGTCAAGGCCAAAGTGTGCATGTTTCGGAGCAGGAATACATTCTGGCCGAGTACTTCGATATACCTCATAAACATGTATGGATATAGTAATGCAACTAATCCATAAATGGCTTCAGAATGTTCATATATATATCTGATTTATTTATGTCTGCCTGTCAATGAATCTGATTTTAGACATGGATGGATGCCTTACTTACTATACAGGGTGGTTCAATAAAGACATACTAGCATACTGCCAATAATGTGGAGCCAAAATCATTGGTGCCAGCGGAAAGGGAATCTTTCATATAAAAAATGATACCAAGATTGGCAAATTTGGTTGAGGGGTTTAGGTATAAGCATGGGTTTTACTAGTAAGTCATGTGGTTTTAGGGAGTATTTTCATTTGTTATGCAAAGTTCAATTTGTCCAGTATCAATGAAACTGCTTTTGAAACCATCGTAATGTACTTTCATGTCAATGTTTAACACGTCATTGAAACGATTGGAAAGAGAATATGTGTGTTGAATGTTACGATTGTGTTCAAAAATTGCTTTGCATTATTGGAAGTATATATGCTACTCTTTTTTATGTTATTTTAGCCACCCTGTTTAAGTGTTTTTGGTCATGCATGTATGTGAAATAAGCATACAATGAGACATTACATCTGACGAAGTACATGACGGACGTTGCTTTTGTCTGGGTTATGACGTAGACACGAGAGAGAGAGAGAGAGAGAGAGAGAGAGAGAGAGAAAGACGGATGGCAAGAAACTGGATAAAAGTGGATAGAGAGGGGAAGGTGGAGAGAGAGAGAGCGAGAGAGAGAGAAAGAGAGAGATAGATTGATGATGGCGAATTATTTTAAGCATGTTAACTTGTATAATAGAGCGAAAATGTATGAATGTATATTAATATCATAATGATTATGTAAAAAACAATCGTCTGTGAATTGCGAAGCATTAGTGTGATTTTAGTTTATCCAATGAAAATACTTCAGCTAACAATGATGATCACTGGATAATTAGACTGAACATTTTATATATCTATTTTCATTTATTAATTGAATTTACCGGCAAAGTTAGATTTTTAAAAAAACGTACAGAGACATACATGTAGGAAGTGAGAGATAACACCGACTAATGCCCGCGGATAGGCAAAAGGAAATGTAATGTATTCCTACTAAAGGGGAAGTCCGAAGTCCATTCTGGTATTAACTTTGTTATCACAAACTTTCACTTCCTTATTTGATGACGGAAGATATTTGTTTCAAACAGGAGTTGTATAAAAACAAATTTGCAATAATAATATTGTATTTAATGATAATAATAACAGTGGCTTGTTATATCTAGCGCACATGTCCGCTACGTCGTGACGCCCCTGGCGCTGCCCGAATTGTATTTAGGGTGAATGTATGATTGCAAATATTTTTTTTTTTTAAAGTTTATTAGCACTGAGCAAATGGGAAGGGAAGGAGAGGGGAATGATATCCAAAGTCTTTTGGATACATGTATATATAAAGACGTTATGTTATAATGTGACTATAATTATGACCATTGGCGCATCGAGGGGGGGGGGTTTTGGGTGTTCAAACACCCCCCCCCCCCCTTGGCAAAAGGGGGATATTTTAGAATTTTAAAGACATCCTTTATCTGTGTCTTATCTATGCCCCCCCCCCCTGGCAAAAAAAATAGAAAATGTTTTCTTCTTTTTGCTCAATGGGGGGGGGGGGTGGATATTGAGTGGGGAAAAAGAAGAGTTCTCCCCCCCCCCCCCCCCCCCCGGCTTATTCACCGGTTGGCTGATTCGCCGCTAAATATTTTCTCACGAATTGGGCAAAAAAAATACCTCCCCCTTAAAAAAATCCTTCATGGCATCGGCTCCTGCTCCGTGGATTTCTCTACTCTAAGATACTTTTAAGAAAGTTCTTAAAGGAGAATGAAACCAAAAACATTAACTGGTAACTTTATTCAAAATTGAAATTGCTCGTATTTGGTTGTTTAGCCTAATAAAGGAAATAAGGAAAACAGTATCTCCATACAGTAGTTGCAGATTCTTTGGGAGTCGCTAGAGTACTACAACTTTACCACCCACTTAACCACCTAATTTTTTGCAGCAATTTAGTGCACTCACGTGTGAAATGTACTATGTAGCCATAATTGGTTACCTAACATAGACCATGATAATAATAACGATAATAACAAAAATAATGATACTGGTGATTGCATGGGGCACAGGTCTTACTAGGTACATGTAGATAACATACGAGGGGAAAGTGTCGCCAAGCAAAGACGGCTTTGTGAGAGTGTCATTGTTCTAGCATTTTTTTTTAAATTTAAATGATTATATGGACTTCTCCCTCTCCCTTTCTTTCTCTTTTTTTCCTCTTTATCCATTTGATTGAAGTGCTTGACCTCCCCCCGGTCCCTCTTGTACAAGCTACCCCACTGGTCATCACTGGTCATCACTATTCGTCCATGTATTTCAATTGTATTGTGTAAATACCCTGGACAGCTAGAGGATCGCGTGATCAGGTCTTCCATTGCATAGTGCACGTCCGTCACACTTGACTGGCCATCTATAGACTAGACTTGTGGACTTATATAATTATATACCCGAAATAGTGACTACCACTATATCAAATCTTACATCACCCCTGTGGATCACAAGGTCCGCGGTACTGATGTCCTTTGGCAAGACTTTGATCTACATTTGCCACACTTAACCCAGGTGAGGTAAATGGGTACCTGGTAGGATTATTCCTTGAAATGCACTGTGCTCCGATATCGGGAGCCGGAGCTAAAGCTAAAGCTAGGGTAATACTTTCCGAAGCTCTTTGGAAGCGTGTATATAGAGACTAGTATCATGCGCTATACAAGAACGGACTATTATTATCATTATTCTCAATTCTCTTCTCTTCAAACAGACCGTAGAATCTTTCACCATGGCTCCTAAAAACCCGGTGATGAACGTGGTCGCGTCTCCCGAAGATGCGGGGACTCTGGACACCGACCTTGAGAATACACCATACCCGGCAGGATATCAACAGGAACAGAAGCGTCCTCCTCCACAGATCGTCTGGCGTAACGTGATGCTTATGTGCCTCCTGCATCTAGTGTCCGTCTATGCCCTATTGTTCACTGTCTGGAAGTGCAAGATGTACACGCTCGTCTGGAGTAAGTAGTCCCAGAAATCCAATTTTATTCTTGTTTTTATGCACATTTTATGTAAAACATTGCATTATTGGTCCCTGGACTACTGCATTGTACATTGCATATGTTGATATTAATAAACCGAAATTGAATTGAATTGAATTGAAGTACATTTATTCATTCATTCATATTCCCTTCATCAGAATGGGGGACCTTCACGGTTTCGGTAATTTAGTTTGCCTGCCCCATTCCTGGCAACTTGTAAATGCTCATGGGAATCACAATAATGTTTTTTTTTAATGATTTTCTTACTTTGTTTTGTATGATTTGTTCCTCTATCATCTATGTAATTCTTTTGTACACACCTTGTTTTGCCGAATAGATAATAATAATAATAATTCCCAAAACTATTCAAGACAAGTTTATGACAACTATTTATATTGATTTGAGGGGAGAAAATGAATTACAGAGCATTATGAACAGATTGAGATCTAGAATAACAAAGTAATGGGAAAGGACCCTGCTCCTTTAATTGATTTTTAAACAGAAATATGGCGCCATATAACTACTGTGAAACATCATCATCATCGTCAGCAGCTATTGAAATGTGTGAATATTGCATAGATTGTTCAGTAAACTGAACATTATTTATTTTGGATATGCACTATGGTATTGAAAATGCCCCTGAATTGATTTTTCGAAAGTCTTTGCGATCCTGTATGTGTAACAGAAGACTCAAACGAGACCGGCACAGAATGTCCAAAACAATCGGTTAAATAAAGAAAAGCGAATTTGGAAGAATTTTTTTTAAAGCGATTTGGGAAGAAAACGTAAAGTAGCTTGGTCACAAGCAAGAGATAGTGAATTTCTTCAATTTTTTCGTAGTACATATTTTTCCAGTAAAAAACGCTGATCTACTTCGTAATAAACAACTAAGAATCACTTTTTAAAATATGTATAAATACAAGAACTCAGGTCAAGTTATGCCTAGATTTAAGTAGCTACATATCATTACAAATCTAGGTTAGTTTCAGCAGTTTTTTTTTTTATCCAGCCTGATATCCAAAGGCTTTTACATAATATAGTTTTTACGCCAGACCTTGGGTGGGTATTTAAGGCGCCCCCAATACACTAGTCGTTAAGCCGATTTCTCTCCCTTTTTTCCCCCACAATTACCAGAAATCAATGTTAGCTTTCCTTACTTTCGAGCTGTATTTGCAATCGTAAAAATCTGGATGGTATAGATGTAATTCTGAAGGAATTCCGAGGGAATACAATGGGACAATGGGTGTTTGCGAAGTCATGGATGAGCGAATTTAAAGGGCAATCCAACCCTTGTATTAATTTCATTGGTATATTGGTATACAAGCAGAAAAATAGGAGCAACAGCATGGCAAAATTTTGAAATAAATCAGACACATAATGAGAGTTATGAATGTTTGAAATATATGAGATCGCTATAACTATTGGAATCTCAAATTGTCAATTTTGTCAGTGGATTGTGACGGATAACTCACCCGTTTGTCGTACATTGTATATATACGAAAATATAATTAAATTCTGTTTTTCTCCCAAGTGCCTTCTCCCTAAAGCACTACTCAAATACATTATGGTTAGTATATTATCATAGGTCTTCTGAAAATAAAAACATCCTTCTGAGTCATACGTATTGAAGAAGAAAATACCCCGAAAATGTTATTCACTTTGTGTGTTGCAACGAATGGGAAAGTTGTCCGGCACTGCACCACAAATTACCGGTTCAGCCCATTTGAAGTCCAAAAACGTACAGTGATTACAACTCTTTCTTGGAGCGTTACTTTCCCATTCTTTGTCCGATTTCATTCAAATTATCACCAGTCTGCTTACAAGATTGTTTTACTTTTTTGGGATATAGATAGTTTGCTAGTAAGGTGGCTTTCCGTTTTAAATAAGACCGGCCTCTAATGGTCACGTATGGATGCATCAGGGATGTGAGTTTAACTCACATCCCTGATGCATGAATTATCTAAAGTTCCCGGTCATGGGATTGCTTTGTGAATGAAAATGCATGGGAAGCAATTATACCGGTTTGCTAACATTTTCAAGTATTATGGATGTTTCTTTCCTGTGGACCTACAGTACGGGTTATCCATTAACATGTTATCAATGATTGAACTACAATACCTGGAATCCATTATGCATACTTTACATGTTGCTATATCGGACAAGATTTCCTAGTTATCAAGAACAACCATTGTTTGATAAGTAATATGCATACAATTTGAACATGTTAGTGAACCGGCCTATTGAAAAGGTTGGTTATGTAGTACATAGCAATACTGTGAATACTGTTAGGTTTTGAAATCATCTAAATGACAATTAGATGTAATCTTGCGGAAAGTCACATGTACTGAATACACGAAGGTGTTGTATATAGGATTACACAAACGTGTGGCATAAAAGTGTGGCCGAAACATTTCTATTTCTTGTCATATTTCTGATATGAAGACATTTGAATTTTGAAGAGCTGTTTTTTTCAAGGGACGTTTCTTCCATGATAATCCTTCAATTGACATAAAAAGAACGACAGTGCTCATAAATTAATGTTATCTTCATTAAAAGAAGACAACCTTCTCATGGTGCACTCGATAGCATGTTTAATCTCAAAACTAGACTAGACAAACAAACTTTGAACTCTGTGTACACAATCCCAGAAAGAATGCAGGTATAATATTTCATTTTGATTAGATTTGATCTGAATTTATATATCGTTTATTGATTCATAAAACTCCTCGCAGTCATAACACAATAACTTCCATTTATTATAATGATAATGAGATCGATGTACACATGAGTAGTAAATATGAATACAATATTAATGATAAAATTTAATATTCAACATAATTTTGAACTTATTTAGATTTAACGGTAAGAAGTAAGAATACAATACGAGCGTCGGTTGTATGAATTAGTAATGGCAACCGGTCATTCTGTGATTCAAGGTAGAATTAATAAGTGTTCACGAATATGTTTGTGATTAATAATCCAGAGAAAAAACTCCAATAAAGAACAATTTCAATTAAAATTTTCATAAAGAATCGAAGATTATAAAAGGTATTTTGCAACCAGTCTGGAAATGCCCCCTTTCTTCTCCTCCCACCCCTCCCCCCTCAGTTCAGTAAATGTGCGATGGTTGTCGATTTAAAGACAACGTAAACATCACGTTAATGCCACTTACCACACCCCGGATCCCCCCCCCCCCCCCACACACACACACACATCATTTACTGGAGTCTACCGCCATTGTCGGTGAAAGTGCTGTTAAAGAAAAACAGGAACGAAAGAAAGAAAGAAAATAAAGGGAGATTTTAATCCATAAGTATGATCGGACTTGCATTGCTGATCGAGTCATTGGGGCGGCACTGGTATCATCTGGGGAAAGGTGACCGATTTCACTACGAGGGCGAAAAACAACCAGCTAACAAGACCAGCTAATGGGGAGGGTCCCGTAACGTTTATTTCTCGTCTTTATCTCCCCCCCCCCCCTCTCTCTCTCTCTCTCTCTTCCATCAGTGGATTATTTTTTCGTAGATGAAACACGATTCACCTTGTTCGACCTAGACCTCTTCGATTTTAATTAGGAGGCACGTATACTGTAACCTTTTATATACGCCTTTTGCTGAATTGTTGATTGATTTAGGGGCTTCTTTTGATATCTCTAGCGCAGATTTAGATTTCGAAGATATATAAATTATTATGCTCATTTTCTTTTTGAAAAATCCATGCATCGACATGTCTTTTGTAGTTCTACAAACAATGCGAACTGTAAATAAATTTACGGCCTTTAATTTGAGGTTATGTCAAATCTCCTCACATTTAGGAGCGGTAAACCCTATTAAAACGTAGGCCTAATCAGCTTGTAGCCTTCGGTGGTCTAGACGTGATTATTCCGCCCGCATTAATGATGTATTTTAGAGGTTTCCTATTATATTTTAGAAGTCTTCTGTAAATAGGTGATTCTTGTTTTATCTACGAAGAAAATCCGCTGATGTAAGAAAATTTGCAAGTTTAGGGAAACAAGTTATCAGATCACTCCACAAAACGTATAATGCCCGTCTCTTGCTGTTCCAAAGTGTCCAATATAAGAATTAACTATACTTAAAAGAGTGGATTAAAAAGTGACAGAAATTATGACAATAGGTCTATACTATGTCACATGTGATGTCAACACGTGATGTCAACTTGAATACTTACATAACACAAACATGTACAGTCAAACCTGTCTATAAAGGCCACCCGAGGGAAACGTAAAGAGTGGCTAATGTAGACAAGTGGCCATTCTAGAGAGGTTTTTCAAGACTTCAACTCACATTTCCTTCGAGGGGGAGGCAATATTATTGTGACCGCTATAGAGAGGTGGCCACTAAGACAGATTTGACTGTAATCGTTACCTTGGTACAGTTGCCTTAATCGTGCTAATAAAACATGGAAGGGGTAGTGCCTCTTCTGCTACTTCAGCTATGATGAAACTTACTTTATTTAGCAGAAAGAAACACAGACACGGTACGGAGTATTTGTGACTATGTTCCTGTTTTTGTTCAGAACTTTACTTAAGATATTGGTAGAAGCTCGTTTAAACAGCCCTGCCGAACATTGAAAAGATAACAGAATGACCCGTCTTCAAAATATCATTATCAGTTTGAATTTTCACGTTTTTTTAGCGACTACTTTAGTGATTGATTGATTGATTTAATTTTAATAATTTCTACCCAGACCTTATGTTCATATACTTCAAGGCCTTGTTTGATCTTGATCAACTGATCACCTGGCTGACTATTTGATTGATTGACCGATTAATTAATTGAATGATTGATAGATTGATCGATTGACTGATAGATTGATTGATTGATTAGTTGAATATCTTGATAATTTTACTCATGCTATTTTCATGAAGTTCTAATACTGATCGGTGTGGGGAGAGTGTACAAGCCGTCCAGGCATTTCTTAGTATTGATTAACCAATAATTGACCAGTAATGTTGTTTGCTTACTTGATTGATGTATTGATTAATCTGTTGGCTGGTTAGTTAACTGACTCATTCGTTCATTCTTTGAGCATTCATTTATTATTCTTTCCCGTGAAGTAAAGACCGCCGTTGGCGTATTATCGTACTTGTGCTTGTCGAGTGCCCAGATGAATAGTGCAAGTAAAAATCTCAATACAAATTGATACTATATTATGTGCGGCTAAAACAGAAGAGGTTTATTAACGAAGCCTTATTTGTTGCACCCCTGCTTCTGTTGACTAATTCAGTGTTAATTCATTTGATTTATCTCATCCTCTGTATCCAGCTGTGTTCCTGTACTTCCTTACTGGTCTTGGAATCACAGCAGGAGCGCACAGACTTTGGGCTCACCGTTCCTACAAGGCCAAACTTCCTCTACGTACCTTCCTAGGCATGTGCCAGACAATGGCTTTCCAGGTACGTACTCACGCCCAGGGTACGATCCCTAAGACTTAAAGGGCGACTCTACTCCAAAAATAACTTACTTTCAATAGAAGCAACAAAAAAATCAGACAAATTATCAAGAAGAGTTTGAGCAAAATCGGATGACTAATAAGAAAGTTACGAATATTTAATGACATGAAAAACTTTGGAAATCACAAGACAAATTGGCAACTCTCTCATGAGTCTATGACAATCTTCTTCTTTTTTAAAGGGAAAGTCACCCCCAAAATAAGTTTGTTTCGATAGAGGCAGAATAATAAGAAAATCAGGTGAGTGAAAGTTTGAGCAAATTCTGAATGAAAATAAGAAAGTTATGAATTATTGAAGTTGTGATCAATCAAATACAAATTGGCAACTCTGTGACTTATCATACGAGCTCTCCTTCATTTGCTTTGTGCATAATATTCCATAAAATCATGTTTTCTTCGTTAGTGGCTGCCGGGCTCACGATCAATTGGGCAAAAAGAATTTCCGTTTCGGTTTAATAAAATTTGGAGTGGACTTATTAGGCTATTATTATTATTATTATTATTATTATTATTATTATTGATGACGGAATATATATTTGTTCCTTGCAGGGGGAGTATAGAAACATATTTGCAATTATTATATTTAGGGTGCATGTATGGTTGAAATTTTTCTTGAGGGAAAATGAAAAATTTAGATTTTTTTAGTACTGAGCAAATGGAAGTTGAGCTCGCATGATACGTCATAGAGTTGCCAATTTGTGTTTGATTGATCACAACTTCAAAAATCCTAACTTCCTTATTTTTAATCGGAATTTGCTCAAACTTTCACTGACTTGTTTCTCTCATTTTTCTACTCCTATTAAAACTAACTTAATTTCAGGGTGGACTTCCCCCTTTAAACAGTAAAAGACTATCTGGAATGTTGAGATCGTCATGACTGAAATGAAGATTATTTGACATTAATTTGTTCCACAATTACATTAAAACAAATTTAGATTCATACAAACTATAGAGAAACAAAACGTGTAGATCAAGATTGCATGGTGAAAGAAACGTTGTGGAATCGAGCAGAAAAGGTTGAACATCTAGCATATAAGTATTGGTGTGTACCAGTCTTAGTAAAGTTACAAGCACTATACACAGAAAGATGTATATGGGACTACGCGACTGTCGCGACACGTGTGCGATATCTATCCGGTCCGGATAGCTATAATAATTTACAAAATATATCAATTAGTAGGTGGTTTCCCGGCAAAATTTGTATCATCACATATCAGTTAAAACATATTCTTTCACATGATTGGTAATAAGAGCTTCCATTTCATTTTTTGAGGGGGGGGGGGGGCGTTTCTAAAACTGGTCCATACCTTTAAAATAATAACAATGTAAAATGAGAGGGCCTAAATATGAAGCAAGGATTGTAAAGAATAGGAACGAGATCGCGTAAGTAAGGGAAATATGAATACCATTCGAAAATAATAATTATAGTGTATTATGACAATATTTTGTGTTTATTATGGTTTAGAATGATATATATGACTGGGCCCGTGATCATCGAGTGCATCACAAGTTTTCCGAGACCGACGCCGATCCACACAATGCACTACGAGGATTCTTCTTCGCCCACGTCGGCTGGCTCCTCGTCAAGAAACACCCGGATGTCTGTGAAAGCGGAAAGAAACTCGATTTCTCCGACCTTATGGAAGATCCAATTGTCAGAATTCAGAGAAAGTAAGTCTGATTTGATTTAAATTCATTCGCTGATATGAAACAACATATAAATGACAACATAAGTGAGAAACATGTGATGGATGAATAGCCATGCTCAGCTATTGAGGCTTAACCCTAATAAGGCCGGGCTATTTGAGGTCTTAGTATAGCCAGGGGGGGGGGGGGGGGCATTATGCCCCCCCCCCCCCTTAAGATCTCGGCCGCGAAGCGGCCGATTGGCGCGAAAATTTGCACGCATGTCAAGTGAAGTGTATAGAATAATATGATAATTTCAAGTTTTTGAAAAATTCACTCATTTGCATATTTATGGTAATTTATGCAAATAAAGTAATAAAACTCACATTTTTACCCATAAATCATATATTATTCAAAATTAGGTTTTCTTTTTCACTGCATATATTCATTAGACCATTCTGAATAATAATACAACAAAAAAATTTGGAAGAGCCAGCTTATTCCTTATGTTATCCCTTGTTTTTATAATTTCTTATGTATTTCATTGTTTTTTTAACTTATGTATTTCATTGTTTTTTGTTGTTTTATTTCATTTCTTACTACAATTCAACTATTTTGACGCCCAAAACAACCACCTAAACTTTAAACAAGACCCAATAACCCATGTTTGATCTGTTTTTAGGAAAAATGACTTTTCCATATGTTTTGTACACAAATCACAAAAATGAGCGATTTTCGGGCTGACATGCAAAGACAAAAGGTCACGTGACCGTGTAACCGTAGGTCCGATTTTCAAAAAAAGTCTTTTAAAAGTTGCGCAAGACTCGAAAGAAAAAAGTCAGCGAGTGGCGGGGCGCCATCCATATGCGTTCTCGAGCAATCAGAAAAATCGTGGAGGGGGGGGGGCATATTGGCCCCCCCGGCCTTATTAGGGTTAAGATCTTCCTATTTAAAAGTGTATTTTCTGCCAGACTTAAATGGTGAACTACATCGTTTTAAAAAGGAAAATACCGGTTAACAACTTTTCTCAAATGTTTGTGAATGGAAATCGGTTTCGGTCGGTAGTAAAAGTCGCCGTCATTGAGGCGTTAGTTATTAACCACATTCAAATGTGTTGCGAGTTCGTGCTTGCATGCATGTGTGTAATTAATCATATTTATAGATCGCAGCAGCTTAAAGTCTACTCTTAAACAGTCGTGCAAGCTACCTCTGACACAGTATTTTTAGTGTTGATTTTGTTTGTTTGAGTGCTGTTCCACCACATGACCGTAAATTTTCCAGTATTTTTTTTTATTGTTTAAAGGTCGTGATCCATGTCAAATATCATATTGTTTTTATTTTGCAAGAGTGATATGGAACCTTTAAATTTGGGATCTCAATTAAAATCTGAAATGTCATGGTGCACATTCGTTCCAAATTGTGTAATGTGCCGCATGATCCGCAGAAATTCAAACACGAAGCCAAATACTTTTCCGGAGGGATTATATTTGTTATGCTTGTATCATAACTGCAATGCAAGAATAAAAAAAATTAATCACGCATCCAAGTCATGCAGTCACATTTATCATCATACATGTACAAAGCATGAAGTTCAACTTGAGTCGTCAATAAAGCAAGCCAAATAAATGACCTCTTACGTGACTAATATTGTAACTTTGTAAGAACTCCTTAAGCATGATAGGCACTTTCATGAGGTATCACAATGTTCATGTTTGTATCATAACTGCAATTGAATGAGGGGAATAGATCACGCAGACAAGTCATGCAACGACACTTATATTATAATTATAATACAAAACTTTAAGTTCAACTTGATCCGTCAATAAAGCAAGCCAAATTACCTCTCAAGAGAATAATATTGTAAAAAAACTTCATGGGCTGATACAAAGATCAAAGGATAGCCCGACATCATAAACATCAGGCTAGCTATTAGTTTGATTTACGCGTTCCCCCATGTGTAAAAGTGAAATAGTGAAGGAAAAAAAAATCTTCTCTTAATTTCTGAATATGATCAATATGTGGTGTTTGAAACATACAGTGTAGTACATGTAATACGTTTTCCCATACGACGTGACACATGTGCAACTCAGATTCATTTCTGTTGAAATTAGGACAAAAAGTTGATGGATATTTTGTTTCTTCGCTTAAATATTTATTTTTGTGCTATTGTCACTGTATTTGCCAATTTAAAGGATCATTTAATTGTCAAGCTTTAGTAGGCTTCTGAAGCTTAGTTCTCTAATATATTCTTTTGATTTTGTAATGATTCATACATGTCCTTGTATTATACTTCTTTTCTTCAAAATGCATGGTATATTTTCTAAAAATATTGTTTTATTCAATTTGAGAATGATTTTGAGATTGACAGTGATTGAAATTAAAATGCTGTGGAAATTATTATTGAATAATCACTTATGTGATCAGGAGGTCTTGTGTAAGAGGAAATAGTTAAAACAAAAAGTATGAAGTATTCTCGTATACTCTGTCAGATGTTATATTATTTTGATGCTATATTGGGCAGTCCCCCCCCCCCCGGGAAATTAACCCCGAGGACAATTACTCCTGGAAAATACCCCACGAGGACAATTACTCCTGGAAAATAACCCCAAGGACAATTACCTCCGCTCCCTCCCGTGGACAATTACCCCTTCCCCTGAAATTCACCCCTTGGACAATTACGCCCCCACCGACCGACACAAAAATGTTAAAACCAACTTATACTATTAGAGGGGAATTCTCCTTTAATTGAACAGGGGTGGGGGATTTTCCTCGGGGTAGTTTTCCGTGGTTGTCCTTGAGAGGGGGTAGGGGTAATTGTATTCGGAGGGGGGGGGGGTATTGTCTTGGCGTGATTTTTCGGGGGGGGGGATTTTATGGGGGCGATTGTCCTGGGTGTAATTGTCCTTGGGAGTGAGTTTTCTGGGGGTGACTGTCCAGGGGGGGGGGGGGGATTGTCCTGAAACGGTCACATGGGAATATTTAGTCCGCCTGGAATATGGGGAAAGTGAAGATAGTTCGCAAAGTAAGCCCAAACCATCTAGACCTGGAGTGAGACATGAATCAATACACATATATGTTAGTACATGTTTGACAATCTAAGCTTTTGATAAGAAATTTTCGGGAATCTAAGGAATAATAAACAAAATATGAACGGCGGAGTGTCTTGTCACCGCATTGGACCCTCCCCTTGTACTACGGTCACAAAGGTTCGTACGAACAATAATTTCGTACGAATCTCCCTGTTTTTCCATTGTCTTCCCGAATTTCCATTGTCTGAAAATCGTTCGTACGGCGTTCGTAGCAGTTCGTAATGGCATTTGTGACCGAGGCTTTATACGTCCAGTCACATGCGCTCCGAAGAGGCGATTTTTGAATATATTTTTTCTTTTCTTACTCTCATCCCAGGTTTTACCTGCCTTTTGTGCTATTATTCTGCTTCATCATACCATCCTACGTCCCAACTTACTGGGGCGAGTCTGCGATGAACGCTTACCTGGTCTGCGGTCTCCTCCGCTACTGCCTCAATCTGAACGCCACGTGGTTGGTCAACAGCGCCGCCCACATGTGGGGCCAACACCCATACGATTACACCATCCAACCGGCCGAGAACCCGTTCGTCACCACCCTGGCCCTGGGCGAGGGATGGCACAACTACCACCACGTGTTCCCCAACGATTACCGAACCGGCGAGTTCGGCTGGCGTATCAACCCGACGTCGATATTCATCGACGTCATGGCGTGGTTCGGTCAGGTCACGGATCGCAAGCTGATCGCACCTAACGTCATCCTGGCTCGCAAGCAACGCACAGGGGAGAATAACCATTGTGATTAGGTTCAAGATACAACCCCTTTTTTAATAACTTAAGGACTGAATATTGATTAAAGGGGTTTTATCTATTTAACCCTTCCTCTATAAGCTCCATTCAGCGTCATTAAAAGTATCTGAAATGATTATCTAGCATGTTTATTTCGCATTATAATACGATATTGGAAATGAGTAGGCATGAATCCTTGTCTAGACACAGTGTTTCGGATTTGTTCGAAATTGGTGTTGAATGAAAACTGGTTTGCCAGATTATTGGATCTACTCACACCAACGGTAGTCCTTTGAACAAGCCCCTAAGAAAAATGAAATTTTACTACATGGGGGCCCATTGCACACAAGAGACGCTGCTGACTGACCTATGAATGCGTCAGGTCAGTCACTGGCGCAATCTCTGACGCAATCTCTGACGCAATCTCTGACGCAATCTTTGACGCAATCTTTGACGCATAGCATATGCGAGAGTGACATACAGAAAATGAATTCAGAATGAACAGTGTAAACATTGCTGTGAGTTATTTGGTTTGTGGAGGTGTTGTGGTGTTGTGGTTCATTCACTTGACTCTCAACCCAAGGGTTGAGGGTTCGAATCCCAGGACGGCACTAACGTCCGTCGGTAAGACATTAATCCACATTTGCTATTTATTAGTCATATAGGCTTAAAATAGGAACCTGGCAATTAAATTGCTTTGGTAATAATAAATACAGGGCCCATTGATATTGATGAGGTTTCCCTGGGTAAACACAATTATCATCATCATTAGAGTATACAGTATAGTTACTGACGTTTTCACTACTAGTAACTCGTAGACATTCATGTACATTTAGGTAATAACGCAATCATAGTGACACTTCATGTTCAACGGGCTTGCGTCAAAACTTACGTCAAGCTTTTTTTTTTCGGGGGGGGGGGGTTGACCCGTGTCTGGCTGATTTTCTTTATTATTTATTTGCGATGGGTGTCTTCACATACAAAGTCAGCAGAGGGTGATGAAAATGCAAGATGAGAATGCGATTATGCGTTCTTGGTATATTTGTTGTTTTCCACTTTCCAATCCAATTATGGGATTTGTTGAGCGCCAATATCTAGTTGCCTAATCATAGGCGCTGATGACTGGCTAGTTGTAAGCAATGTAAGTCTTCAGTTTGGTTCTGAAAGTGGAAAGCGGGTCTCAAAAATTAAATTAAAAATTTCGGATATTCTTTTTGATTTACATAAGTATTCAAATTCAAGTATTGGAAAAGGAAGATTTCCAATGGCGGAGCAGGTATTAGGTTCCACGTATCCACGATCGGGCAGTGGAATGGACTGCTCTTGTAGAGATCATTTATTTTCTTGTATACTTGTAACTGGTTTTCATTTTGTTGGATAAATTGTTTCATACCCAAAATCCTAACCATTAAGACATGTATAAGGTATGTGTATGAATATATGGATAATATTGATGAATGGTTAGTCTTTTTAAAGATCATTTGCAACGATCGAGAAAATCTTTATCGCTCTCGTCCTTCTGTTGTATATGAATAGAACGCGTATGCCGAAACAGTTTACGAGTATGTTTTCTCTATAGCAAAGTGTAAATACCTTTGGATATTTTGCATTCGGGTAATTGGGCTTCTGTAAATATTTCGTATGGGACATTAGGTTAATGATTTCCTTAACAACTGATTGTATGGATAATTGAAAACAGTGTTGTGTAGTAAATTAATGGTGATGTCATTTGGGGGGAAAAGAGTTAATTGTCGTATTGAGTGATTTTCTTCATATTCGTATTAGACGAGAGATTAGATTGTCGTACGAGACTCACTTCAAGAATCTGCCACTTTCTGAGATTTGTCTATAAACAGAAGCACCTGAATATGTTCCATTTTATGGACTATTTCATTAGAGTTTCATCATTAAATGTATAGATTAATTTCCCATTCAAATAATTAACAAATAACAAATAACTAACATGATAGCCTCGCGCAAAGCACTTAACATGTTAGTTCAAGATAAATACATCTATAGGGGTGACCATCGTTATGAAATAATGAACAGTTCATGTTCAGATCTGAGCAGCGTCATATGACAAAACCACACGTAAAGCCTGTTCTTAGAGGATAACTAATAAAAAAATTTCTTTTAGCACAAACAGTAAACTTAAGCACTTTTCGAATCGCATGCATCCCTTTTCTACAGGAGTCACTCACGGGGAAGTCCAACTTGAACTTTTTTTTCTTTTTTTTTTAAAGATGCACCCTTACCAACCCACGTAAGAAAGAAATCTATTCCGTGAACAATAAATTAGAAAATTAATGTTTATGGCATTTTTTGTACAGAGTAAACTAGAGAGAACCTCGTAAGATACGTCACAGTGTTGCCAATTTGTGTTTCACTGATGACAACTTTCAAAAGATTTCCTATTTTTGATAGGATATTCCTCAAACTTTCACTTAAATGTGTTTCTCTCATTTTGTTCTGCTTTTATTAATACCAACCAAACAAATTATCAGGGTGGACTTCCCCTTCAACAACTCATAATTTGTCTAAGACTTGCCCGACACCGCAACAACTAATCTACACAACTAATCTACACAACTTGCACTCTGCCTCTCGAAATACTTTTAGGGGCGAAGATAAATACTAGAATGTATTTTGACTTGTGTACCAAATGGTAAATGAAGTCGGCTGTGTTGATGAAAAAAAGATGGGAAATAAAATTACGAAGTAAAAATTGGAGTATGAAAGAAAGAACATTCTATTGGGTAAATTAATCAATCGTCTATTTTTATTTTTTTGTGCCGGTCTGTTCTTAGACATAAGTGCATGATTTATCACAGTTTGTTAAAACAAGCGTTTGCACAGATTGGTATTCAGTTTGGGAAACAGCGGTTAGTTTACTTTACTTTTTAAAAGGTTTGTTGTTTGCCTTGCATGTTTCTTGTGTGTGATGTTTATCAGTTAACTCGGAAACTCGCTTTCTAATAAAATAGGTATAATATGATTATAGCTAAATTCAAAGTATTACTTCAGTAATGTTTATATTCAACATGTTGTGAATATATTCGTAAGAACACGTGGATACAAGATAAACAAATTACATATGTTTCTATATCAGCCTGTAGTTTAAGAAGAAATAACAATTGAAAAGTCGATACTTGCATCGCATGCAGCAGTATCATTGATTATGAAGCACTGTTTGTAGTAAGTCGAAAGTGTATATAAGCACCACAGAAACCACTACGTTTCTATTCGAACGCAAGAATTCCGTAATCTATTGATTTCTATATTACTGATGTAAGAAATTCTTAAACGCATTTTAGAATTCTTTCTAATTTTGTTCTTTGTACCCATGTCACCAAGTGCCAGTTAAGTTTTGTTTGCTTTTGTTTGAAAAATGAAGTTATATATTGGAAATAAATAAATGCACGGTATTTCTCTTGTGTTATAAGAAGACACAAATAAATGAAAAATAAGGAATGTGTATTTCTTGTTCTAATTTCTCATTTTTGTAATATATGGTTTTAATCTTCATTTTGATAGATCAGTTGGTAACGAAATAAGAGAGAGAATGAGTGGCTTATGAAGAAAGAGAGAAAACGGGTAGAAAGCTGTTTTAGATAGGGAGATAGAAAGGCAGAGACTGAGTCACTGAGACATGGAGAGGAATTTGAGAGGTAAAGACTGAGCCAATGAAAAAAAGTATGAGTGACGAAGCGAGAGAAAAAATAAAAGTGATTGAGACAAAACGCAATGTATTATTTATCAACAATTGTTTCCAAAAAATTTGAGGCAAACACATATGGTTTCCTTTGTTGTCGTCGTCATTGTTTCGTAATTAAGAATGACCATGTCAGAGATAGATGTTTTCCTTGGGTTTCAGTTGATGAATTTCATGGTTGTCTTACGATTCATAACTTGATAGCAGTCTTAAAGCCCCTCTGCACTAGTTTGGCCAGGAGGGATTAGACCTACCTGCATGGTCATTGACAGGTGGTTGTCTCATCGAATCGGCTCCAAATTAACATAAGAAAAAGGGGACCATGGGGGACCAATGGTCACCGATTAGGGATAGTTTGCTATAGAGAGGGCGCAAGCGGCTATAAGTAGTGCAGTGGGGCTTAAATCAGTTGTATTCTTGCCTTCCAAGAGATTTGAATTGTATACCTACACTTTGAATTAATTTTTCAAACTTTTTCAAATTACGGATTCTTGTAATTCGGATGCAGGCTTATGGGTGTTTGTCGTTTTTCCACGTGTCTAGGGAATTATTGAAACTATATACTATCCTTCGCTCAACAATACAGTCGTACCCCCCCCCCCCCCCGGGTTTTTGGTGAGGTCTCTGCCCTACATTACGAAGAAAGCGGAAATAATGTATGACGACACACACGTTTGACCTTTCACCTCATTTATTGTTCACGTGTGTGTATGGTTCGAGCAGTTCAAATTCAAGTGCATTTTTTTCTTTAGTCCATTATTATGCCAGCTGTAATATGGTGCGAGTCGATTAGCCTTACACCAAGGAAAAGTCCCATGAAATCCCCCATTGAATACATGTATTGGGAAATGTTCTATATCAAGGCCTTCATTGTACAAGGGGACTTCCCCGGTGCAGTCGAAGGAAAATGTGGCGAGGGACTTGTTTGGAGGCTAGCAATTTTATGTGGCGCGTAAATCGCCTCATTCCATTTCATCATCAAGTCTTCATTTATGGCAATGGCAAGGTCGTATGATCGAACATATTAACATTGGTAAGGAAGCTAATCGTAAGATAGGTGAGGGATGACCCCCCCCCCCCCCCCCCCCCCCCCCTCTCATGAAGTTAAATCTCGCACTATATTCATGACCTCTAATTCCGGCCAGCAATGTTGTTTCATTAGAATTGAATTTGAATTTGAATTTGAATTTATTGATTCATAACACGCGGTCATACAATATAAATTCTTTTTCCATCGGTTGAACAATAAACACCTTGCTATTCCTCTTTCTCCTTCGTTTTCCGCAAATTTTAAGGCACTTCTAGAAGCTGACGAACTGGACTAGCAAAATGTCTGCATTATTATGATTATTGTAAACCAAAAGTTTGTTCGTCGTTCATTATGACACGAAAATATCTATTTACTTATTGTGATTGAAGTTTGTTAACCTTTCATATCTGATCAGACGATAGTATAATAACAGTTACACGTGATGTTCACTTAATGAATGAATGTATTCTAAATGAATATTGAATTGAAAAAAACATTTGTTTACTTTAAAGGGACGATGTCCCATTTGCAGGCCAAAAAAATGAAAAGGTTAAATTCCAACTGCATTTGAAAGATAATACTAATTTAGAACTTCCCTAAAAAAAGGTGGGGCTTGAAAATGTCTTCAAGTGGGAAAATAACGACTATTAGTTGTCAAATCGACTTTAGGGCTATAGAGCCCAAAAGTAATAGTCTTGATTTTCAGATAATTGTAGCGAATGGTCATAAGTTTTATGCTGCGCAAAGATTCAATCAGTTTAATCTTGGCCATCACAAGAAGTGGGTTATTGATGTAGACAAATACTCATGTACCCTTTACAACTCTTTTCATGTATGTTATTACCAAAGAAGAAAAAAAGCCAGTCAGTCACTCAATAGTGTCTGACAGTGAAGTCTAGCAAGTAAACGGTTTTCCTTGCATAATTTGAATATGAGGACACCGCTAACGTTTAAATTTCACAGATAGGACATACATGACATATTCATAATTCCTGCAAAGTTCTACAGCATTTGAGGTTGGCTGCAAAAGGGACATAGTACCTTTAATGTGATTTACTTTATACCTATATTTAAAACAGTGGCGTATGCAGACCTAATTGACCGGGGGGGGGGGGCAAAACATGGCAGCTTTCTCTAATTTATCAAGTCGTATTTCTTGCCTTTCAATGGTTTTTTTTTTGGGGGGGGGGATTCGCTGCCTTTTTTTTTCCTTTGTCGATAATGTGTTAGGAAGGACAGTTATTTAGTCATGAAAACAACATGATAAAGATTCATTTCCGAAAAAAGAAATCAAACACATAGTTATGCGTTCAGGTTTACTTTAAAGCAAAAATGCAGTGATAGTCCGTTGAACTCTCACATCTTATGTTGAATCTCGAGATACTCATGACCTATTATGTTCGGCAAGCAATTCTGGTTGTTTCGTTGGAATACAAATCATTCGATACTTTAATACAAAGTATGCTGTGAATTAGGTCAAGTTTTTTAAACATAAGTTACCCCAATTCCTTAAGTATTGAGCAGAGTCTAGATTTGTCAGTCTTTGGCTAGCGGCTGAAGTACAGAGCCTGTCGTAGTCTTATAGTGCAGACACCGTTAGGCCATCGCCTACAAACTAGTGCCATATGGCCATGTGATCGTACGAGCATTGCTGAAAGGTGAACAAACTTTTGATTTGCAATAATCATGATAATGCAGACTTTTTTCAACATTTCGGCTAGTCCATTTTAGAATTGACTTAAAATTTGCGGGGAACGAAGGAGAATGAAGAAGACAACAAGATGAGACAAACATACGGGAAGAGAGGAGAAAAAGAGGGTGAAAGAAAGAGAAAAAGAAAGAAAGAAAGAAAGAAAGAGAAATAAACAGGGAGAGGGGTGAGAGAGAGAGAGAGAGACACACACACACACACACACACACACAGGAGAGAGAAAGGGTCTTAAATACAGAGAGAGAGAGAGAAAGAGAGAGATGGTAAGAGGAGGGAGACAAAGAGAGGAGAGAGAGAGAGAGAAGAGAGAGAGAGAGAGAGAGAGAGATAAAGAGAGAGAGGGGGAGAACTGGACTAACTTTCTGCTACGCCTTTTTTCAGTTGTTTTCAAATGATTAGGGGCGAATCTAGGGGGTTTTGGTGGTTTAAAACCCCCCCCCCCCCCCCCCCTCCCCCCGGGCGGCCAAGTGAAAAAAGGGGGGGGGGGGGAGAAGGAAAAACAGGGGAAAAAAGAAGGGGAAAAGGTAAAACAGTAAAACGGCGCAATTTTTGGAATATCCTGGATTCGCCACTGCAACAGCCCCCCCCCCCCCATTGGCAAAAAGCTACATGTAGATCCGCCCCTGATTATATTTTATTCAAAAGGTATATAATGATCATAAAACCACAATAACAACCACATGCCTACAATGAATATAAATGTCGTTTGAAGAAATACTCAATAGTGTTTCTACATAAATTTGACAAAACTAAACATTATTTTCTACTTTTTATTCTTCAGAATTTTCTCATCTAACGAAATTGATAACTCATTCATATGCATCCCAAAGGATTGATAAAATATATCTACCACATCATATTTTACAATAATTATGAAGATTACAAAAATGCATTTCATGTAACTTAAAATTACTCCTTTCCTATATATTTCTTACGCCCCCCCCCCCCCCCCCGATCATACCATCGTCTGCTCATGCAGAGTTGAAAGGTTGACAAACTTTCATCACAAGATATTAAAGCAAACAGATATCCAAGAATATGCGTTTATTTTTAGATACTACGATAAGGCCTAAAAATAAAGATGTTGTATTGCACTTTTTCCGGATGCCAAAACATGGGTCGGTCTGTCGGAAATCTTTTTTTTTTTCCTTTTTTTTTCTTTGTTTTCTACTCCCTCTTTGGGCTAATATTTCTCAATTTTGAATGCTTTAAAGGCACACTGTCCTACTTGTAGCTACTTGCTCCCTCTATATAGAAAACTTCCCCAATCGATGCCTGTTGGTCCCCACGATCCTCTTTTTCTTATGTTAAATGAGAGCTGAGTTAATGAGATAGCCACCTGTCACAGTGACCTCGCTGGCTCGCTGTGTGGTCTAATCCCTTCTGGCTGAAGTAGTAAAGCCTGCCTTTAATATATTATTTTTTCTAAAAACGGTTAAAAACAACTTTTTTTTTTAAAAGCCGACCGTAGATTTCAAGATTTTGGGGTCGGTCTCAAAGGGCAATACAACTTATTTTTTGTAGGCCTAAGTTACCTTTCCTCCCACACTTCGCCTCATAAGCTAGTATGATTTTATTTCAAACCATTGTTCTTCTGTTTCTCTACATTTAATGTATCATTTTATGTTAAATGTTGTAATCATCTTGAATAATGATTCGTTTTGATTTTGATTCGTCTTGTCCAAATGATACAAATTAGAGCTAAAAAGGTAAAAGCTCCAAAGGACCAGCTTATATCATCAAAATACTATGCATACCTGTTGAGAAAAAAACTGTACTTCACAACCTGAACAAATTGCAGAGCTACCCGACATAGCAACAAAGACACGTCATGTACACAAGATGTATTATTAATAAAATTTAATTCAAACAAAAAAATTTCACTTTAGAAGTTTAGTGGGATCTGTTTGTGTCTCTATTTTAAGCAGTGGCAATCCAGATCTTGGCCTGGGAGGGGGGAGGGGGTGCAAAACATCTCAGTTCTCTATTATCCAACCAGTCCACAATTTAACACCTATATGAGGGGCACCCGTTTTGTGGGAGGGGGTGGGGAGGTATCGACCAAAGGAACTTAAGTTTGGAATATAACCAGTGTAAGTCTTTTCAGAATGTCCCCATATTTCGTGCATGTCCATGTCAAAACTTACAATATAATTCCCTAACATTGTAACTTTACCTCTACTTTTTTTTAAAATTTTTAATTGGCTGCATTTGTTTTCCTTGATCGAGAATTTGTCAGGAAGGGCAAGTTGCCCCCCCCCCCCTTCTTAAAATACCCTAGTGGTTGTTATGCTATCATATATTAATGAGAACAACATAATATATATTCATTTCTGAAAAGAAATAAAGAACCTAACGATACGTAAGGTTTTACTACATTTAAAACAAAATAGAAATCTTCTAAGAGCAAAAAGGCAGTGACGTACAGTCCGTTGAACTCTTTACAAAGAGCTTTCCATAGTGCGCCGAGTGCCGAGCAGCCACTCAACTGAGAAACAGTTTTGTACATGCGCGCGATTCGTGTGCTCTTTTGTTTGTAGAGAATCTGTTAGAGGGAAACGCCGAATGGATGACATTATTATTCTCGAATAATTTATACGGAGAGGTCGCGAAACAGTGAGATGCCCGAACTGCTCCCCTTGATTATTTCGTCGTCTGCAAAAGGGTTGAATAGTTCGCTATTTTTGACTGGAAAACTACCTCGATCAGCTGGGTTTGTTTAATTCATTCTCATATATAGGTGAGCTTAAGTTTTTTATTATCAGAAATAATCGGATGTTTGAGTTTATATAACGAAAAATTACTGTTTGCATAAGAGTTTTCTGCTGGCTTCGCGGGGTACCTTTTCGTGTGTTGCATAATGATTTTACCCGCCTGTATGGGTCTAGTACTGGGCGGCTGATAATTTACTGAGACTTTTTATTTAAAAAAATAAAAATGACACACCCTTAAAATATTGTATTCTCCGTTAATCGTGTTTCTACGTATGGACTATTTAAAGTGCTTATCTTTTTTGAGCTGCCATAGTAGCCATCCATAGGCCTATCTTAGCTGAGCAAATCTAATCATGTTAATTGAAATTCACCTCGATATTATTGCGTATACACAATCATGATAATTATGCTCATATTATCGATGCTCATGAATTCGTGCCAACCCTCAAACCCCCGCCCTCTGAGATATTTCTTTTCTTCAATCGCTTAGGCCTACCACTAAATCAATAATCTGAGAAACATTCGTTGTACCGATTATAACAACATCCATTTAAACTAGCATGCGTGGCTGCAGCTGAGCAGGCCATCTAATTTGCATAACTTATATCTTACGAAACAGACTACTTTGTACCTACTATATTCAGCTTATTTCAAAATTAAGATTATCAAAACATCTTATTCCAAGAGATGTTATTTGCGACTTAAGATGGTTGCGATATCTGCTAAAACTGATTTTCAAAGCAAGCTTGAATGCCAAAATCCGCGTTACGTGCGTACACGATATGACAATTATTGTCATATCGTAGATCTAGAGTTGCATAAATATTTTTTTCAAGCGTTTAGCGAAATGATGGACCTGGCGAATTTCAGTCATATCTCATTCTTAAATTGTTACTTCGATGTTCAGATGTTAAAATCAATAAAAACACACATATACGTAATTTATTCTAAAAAAAAATGATCCGTCAGATAAGCAGGAAAAATAATGGTATGAATCGAAAACAGGTCGGTATGTTTTATTCTCACTGATCATACGATTCTGGTTGACCTGGACACCAGCTGCTCTATTATATCCTTCGGATCATTCGACGTTCCCCGGCCGGACGGACATGGCCATTAGCTTTACACAGACGTCCCTCAGTGGTCTGAATAATCATAGTCCTATATCTGTGCATGGGCAGATAAAGGTCATGATGTATTCCATTTATGTTGAAGTAATGTAACTAATCTTGTAATATTATGTTAAAATGTATATGTAATCATTCTGTTATTATTATGTTGTGTGCGTTGAATGAACAGTAAAATATCTTTCAAAACAAAAACATCAGTGTTTATGAAAGTTATGTAATCATTATAAATTATGCACCGGCGGAAGATTCTTTGACACACAGTCGGCAGTTTCTTCTCAAGAGGACAGACAAAAGGTATTCATGAAGGACATCCATCCCTTTGGTAGGGAACATTTTGAAATGGACAAAGAGGGACCTCTTCATGTGTAGAAGATCTGTGGATATTTCGGGGTCATTTTTACAAGTGCTTTCTGCGAAGTGGCTTAAATCGTCCTTAAAGGCATCGTTTGACAATGTTTCCAGTTTAACAAATCTAAGATGCATGGCTCTACATGTTATCAGTGTCTGTGATATGGTGCAATATTGAAGGCATAGAAAAATTGCGCTTCAAAATGATCATGAAGTGCCTCCAAAAAAATATCTTTGAGTGACCGGTTTTACTATACTCATTTTTCCCAGTAGATTGTAGTGTTATAAACGGCTTTTTGACATTTCGATTTCCAATCTTAAAAGTCATGGGATTCCTGACTGTTTATAATTTTGATTGCAGCATGAGCTAAATACAGGATTTTGTTTAGAATCTGAGGCAAAGCTACTTAATACCTTTAATGTCCGTCTCGGGTCAGACTTTCAGACATTGAAAGAGAAAACGTACTACAACCTTCGAGTTCCTCTATCAAGTGTTATACCTGTGAAATGTAAAGTGCTCTTCTAAAAGGGCAATCCAACCCTTGTAATAAGCTTTTTTTGTATGAAAGTAGAAAAAAACATAACAGAATGGCAAAATTTTGAAATGAATCGGAACAGTAAGGAAGTTATTAATGTTTGAACTATGAGATTACTAAGTATATGCGAATATCAAATTGGTAGTTTGGTGAGTGGATTGTGACGTAGGACGCGGATAACTCTCCCATTTGCCGTGTACAAAAAATATCATTAATTTCTGTTATTTTCGAAAGTTCCTTTTCCCTTGGGGCACTACTGAATATATGTTATAGATAGCATTATTATAGGTCCTCTAAAATAACACTCCTGAGCCATGAATTGTTGAACAATTTGAATTCTAGTCATTTTATATGTTGGATCAGATGGGAAAGTAGTCCGGCACTACATCACATTGACATTACCGCTTCAGCCAATTTGAAGTGCCCGTACACAATATAGTGATTACAATTTTCAAAATTGCATAACTTTAATTCTTATATTTAGTCAGATTTAATTGAAACTTTCGTCAGTTTGGTTCTCTGATTTTTCTGCTTACTTTTAGAGTAGTCGGTATTTGGGTAGGATTTCCCTTCAAGTTCTATACCATCGTAATTATATTGCATTGCGAGGTTGTAAGCCCTAGTTACCGATATACATTATTCAATTATTTAATGTACAGTCAAACCTGCTTTAGCGACCACCTGTATAGAAAGACTACATGTCCATAAAGATGGCGTAAATATTCATAATTGAATGACACATGCCCTTGAGACTAAAACAACAACAACAACAACCTCAACAATGGTGCACTTACGTGTACCCCTCCCCCTTCTTTCTCTATATAGTTTTCATATATTTTTCCCTCTTCTTTATTTTTCCCGTCATCGTTATGACAACAGATTTGTCAACATAAATTATAAGTAGGATGTCGTAGCTCCCCCAGCCCCCCTCCCGCACACACACAGTGATGCCATTCCCTCTCCCTTTCTTTCTCTATTATTTTGTTTGTTAGTTCTTTTCTTTGTTTATTCGTTTGTTTGTATAATTATTTGTTTGTGTAACAAAGACGATTGAGTGCGAATGTCAAAATTACAATAAACAGAAATAGCAAAAATTGACGCATTACCACATGATCCTTCGGTAATATTATACAGATATACTCATAAACTACAATAATATTGTCAACAATACAATAATATTTTCAACAATCTTTTCTTTGAGGAAAAAAAGAATATGACAGTTTAAATAATATTTAATTCAAATTCAATTTTGTTGCTTAAAATCCAAACGTGTAGGGTCATTCTCAATATTCTGTTATAAACGAAGGATAATGAAGAAGAAGAAAAAAGTCAATAAATTAATTGCATCTGGCATACATCTCTTTTGAAGTGGCAGCTATGTGTAAGAAAGAAGAACACTCGATGTCGTCGCCGGTCTCGACGACGACTGCTTCGAACACGGACACGACGTACACGTGGGAGGAAGTGAGAAAGCACACCGAGGTCGACGACAAGTGGTTGGTCGTCGACGGCAACGTCTACGACATCACCAAGTGGGCCAAACGACATCCAGGAGGGAACAAGGTTATTAGTCATTACTCGGGCCAAGATGCTACGGTGAGTTGATGCGAATGGAAGTGGTGGTGGTGGTGACAATGATGATGGTGGTGGTTGTAGTTGTGATGATGTGGAGTGATTAGGGTGGTGGTGGTGGTGACGATGGTGGTGATTATGATGGCGTTGATGGTGGTAGTATTGGTGACAATGATGATGGTGATGGTTGTGGTTGTGATGATAATGTGGAGTGATTAGGGTTGTGGTGGTGGTGACCATGGTGGTGATTATGATGGCGTTGATGGTGGTAGTATTGGTGACAATGATGATGATGGTGGTTGTGGTTGTGATGATAATGTGGAGTGATTAGAGTTGTGGTGATGATGGTGGTAATGGTGGTGTTTATGATGGCGTTGTTGGTGGTAGTATTGGTCACAATGATGATGGTGGTGGTTGTGATGATAATGTGGAGTGATTAGGGTTGTGGTGGTGGTGACGATTGTGGTAATGGTGATTATGATGGCGTTGTTGGTGGTAGTATTGGTGACAATGATGAAGGTGGTGGTTGTGGTTGTGATGGTAATGTGGAGTGATTAGAGTGGTGGTGGTGGTGACGATGGTGGTGATTATGATGGCAGTGTTGGTGGTAGTGGTAATGGTGGTGGTGTCGTGGTGATGATGATTATCACCATCACTTTGATCTTGAGGGTAATGGTGATGATGGTCGGTGTACGTGGTACTGGTTTTAGTGATGGCATAGTGATAATGATGGCCGTGATGGTGGTGGTGTTGATAATGATGGCGTCGATGGTGATGATGGTGGTGGTTGTGATGGTGGTGGTGATCTTGGTGGTGGGGGTAATGATAATGACGGACGTGATGGTGGTGGGGTGGTGGTGGTGATGATGGCGTTGATGGTGGTGGTTGTGACGGTGGTGGTACTGAGGATAATGATAATGAGGATGGTGGTGGTTGTGATAGTTGTGGCAATGGTAATGATAATGAGGATGATAATGATGATAGTGATGATAATGATGGCGTTGGTGGTGGCGGGCGGTGGTGTTGATGGTAGTGATGGAGACGGTGTTGATGATAACGATGGAGTTGATGGTGGCGGCGGTGATGATAATGATGGTTGTGGTAGTGACAGTGATAATTGTGGTCTTGGTGGTGGTGGTGGTGTTGATGGTGATGATGGTTGTGGTGGTAATATTCGCACTATATGAGGAAGTGGTTAAAGGAAAGAAAGGGACCTCATTTTACCACTAAAATAACTAAACAATTGAAGTCAGGGTATTCTACTGATATCTGGTATATAGGCCTACTGTCATTTGCTTTTCACAATGTCCCGATGTGTCGAAAGCCATTTCCCTCAGTACAAGAGCCGTGAATCGCTCTAAATACGCATTCACCGAAATTGAAAATACTTTACATCAGAGGTAGCGATGTCTGTAAAATACCCTCTCATCAATAGCCATTTTTTTTATCACAACACTGTTACTTATTTTGCGCTTAGTTTCGGGTTGACCTACACGATTTGTTGTATAGGTATAGAAATCGGAGAAGTGCGGTATTTTTTGTTGTTCATAGTGAGTAGACAACTTTTCCGGTCAAACTGCATATGCTTTCTTTGTCTGTTACCATTAACCATATTATGTTATTCAGAATATTTACTGACCGGATCCTTTTTTTTTTTTTTTTTTGCTTTTTCAATTGGACTTTTATGCCTCTCGCGCTGCATATATATATATATATATATACACGCACACACACACACACACACACACACACACACGAGCACACGCACACACACACACACATATACATATACATATATATATGTATATATACACTTAATTTCGTAAAGGGTATGTTGTTTGGATAAGTAAGTAAACAATTTATCGGAGTATAAAAGGTTAATGATTTTATGATATCATTTGATGAAAGTAAGCTTTTTTATAAATTGTAATTTTATAATTGGTATGTAGGTTGAATGAAAGACTAGATAATTTTTCGGGAAATAAAATTATATTAGTATAACAATATCATGTATATTATATGCGAAAAGTTTCTTTGATTCTAATTGTCTATTCCCCCTTCGTTGTCAACCGTCTTTTAAGAGAATTACAAGAATGTAAAGTAAAATTCTGTGTGAGCACGCATGTGTTATATCACACAGAAAAAAAAATTCTTCTCTATACCCTCTCCCAGTCTCCCTTTATGTAGTAACCCGGAATGCTATTGTTACACATACAATCAATAGCCTTGATATGTTATGGTCTGTTTAGATCGATCAATACTAAGGTATGGAGAGCTAAAGAATAGGTGCCTAAACTCTTTTTTAAAAGACTAGACAGGAGATTCATTAAAATAATGTCTAGCCAACTTTCTTGTCGAGCCATTGACAAGGTATTTATACGTTTGAATTATAGGATAATATTTTTAACGCATTTCTGCCATTTACTTAGACCAAAAAGAAAACGAAGGGAATTGTTATCGTGAAAAAATTATTTCATGTACTTTTCTCGTGGAAAGAATAGACTATTATTGCAGAAGAAAGATGTATCTCTTCTAACAGGGATGTCTCAATAACCAACAAGTTTTTTCTGTATTCAATCTCTTGCCTAAATTATCTTTCTTGACAATATATTTTCTTTGCTGTAAACGTAATCTATCATTTTAGACCGTAGAATATATATCCATTAAAAATGCATAGATTATCGACATAATAAATTAAAGCTAACACTGAGTATAACATTTCTCTTTTTAAGAAAAAGTCATTGGGAAGTTCATCCTAACATTGTTTACCACATAATATCACCAATAGCAACCATCAGATGTCACTATGACAAAATATTCAATTTTTAGGGATATAGCCTGCCGAGCTACTAGCACGTAGATACGGCATTTATTATTTCACATAAATTCACAACACTTGACCTGATAATTTTCTAAAGTATGAAAACAACTTCTATAAAGCGTGTCTGAGAATTCTACATACAGAATGTTTTTATACCTCTTAATATTAATCATGTGAAATCATAATTAATTTAACTTTTATGCCCTAACCCTAATTATGCCCGGGTTTTTAAAAAACAGAGATAAAACTGAATCAGCGCAAAACTCTGAAAAGACCCTTTGGCCACCGCAACTAAACCTTTGATGCAACAACTAGTCTCCTACAAATTATCATTATTTAGCTCACCCTTAAAAAAACCCACCATATTTAAAAACGTGCTAGTGTGCGGACCACCGCACCCTTATTTCGCATACCCTATTTTCATATTCAAATTAGGCCTAAACACCTTCGACGCAACAACACGCATGAAAATTTCGCGACAATCGAATTCGAAATTTGAAATTTGGAATGTAAAGATCAAATCAAACAAAGCCGATATATTTCATGCCGTCCAGTAGATATTTGACAAATAATGATAAAAGATAGGTTTTTAAAGTTGTATAGGCCTTGACGGTTAACATGGGTAAAGGGAATGCAATATTTCTCTGTTAACGCATAAAGAGAGAGAGATGCCACCATGCACCCCCCCCTCCCATCACCCATTTATTACCTTTAAAAGGGTTTAAGAATAAAATCACTGTCATTCATGTATTATGATTTATGATGGGATAATGTCATTTAAGGTGATCGGACGATGCGTTTCTCTTTTTTTTTCCTATTTCATCTTTTTTAGAAGTTCGAGTAAAGAATTGTTAATCAGTCTCTCTTTAGAATTATTCTGCAAAATTCGTCTCCTCTAAATCTCCACAGTGTATTTCGAAACATTCTTTCATTCATTTTTCCGTGACTCAGTATATACACAAGATGTGGAAAGATGCCTGAACGCATTGCTCAATCACCCTTCAGTTTTAATCTTGAGACATCATAAGAGAAATGATCGCTAGGGTCTCCTCGATCATTCGACGTTGCATCGAAAGACCCTGACTTAAAAATCGAACGTTAAATATCTTCAGATTGATAATCCAATAACGCGACTCACGTTTTATCAATTAGTCAATAAGATACTGAAGATAAATAACAAAAACAAATCTAGATAAGCATTCCGACTATTTGCTAAATCCTTGCTTAATTTGAGTGTTCTATTTGATAGGAAAATACGAGAGATGTATTGCTGTTTTCTATATGTTTATTTCTGTGGCGCTTCTTTTTTTCTATAAAGAAAATGATATCAATTTTGATGGGAAAAAACACACCTATTCATATACATGATCTAAAATATATTCAGATTCAGATTCATGAGACATTTTCTTCTAGAACTCAAATTAATACAAAATGAAATCTACTTAAATGGAGGAAGAAGACGAACTGCCGTGAAAGCACGAATCTTGTAAGAGAGAGAGAAAGGGAGGGAGAGGGGGAGATAGAGAGGGGGGGCTAGAGGGAAGTAAAGAGACAGAGAAAACAAATCTAGAGAGAGAGAGAGAGAGATAGAGACAGCGAGAGAGAGAGAGAGAGAGAGAGAGAGGGAGGGAGAGAGAGAGAAAAAACAAACAGACAGAGACAGAGATAGATAGAGAGGGGGGTTGTTGAAAAGGGGAGACATGTGTAATTATATTTCGATATGGTATGGAGAGGGTCAATAGTTGTTCATCTTAATATTATTATTCAATCATTCATTCGTTCATTTCAGGATGCATTCGGTGCGTTTCATCGTGATCGCCAGTTCGTCAACAAATTCCTCAAACTGTATCGCATCGGACGGGTCGACGACGACGACAACCGGAGCAGCGAACTCGCACACGACTTCGATAATGTGAGGGAGCTAACAAAGACAATGGTAATGAAACAATATTTTTGTTACATCATATTGGAATAGATGGGTGAAGAAAAACAAACACAAGATGAAATAATTGAGAAAGAAAAATAAAAATAAAACTAGAAATTGAATTCGTCATGGTGACGAATTAGGTGGTCTGTTTTCAATTTTATGATCATTGAAAAGTCAAAAAAGAAAAAAAAAAAAAAATTGTTGGAGACGCCCGGACTCGAACCAGGGACCTCGAGGTCGGAAGTCAAGTGCGTTACTGATATACCAAAACATTTCCCATAGAGAATACACGTAAACGGAAAATGAAATTCTCAAATCCCACTTTGCAAGTGAAATATGAGCATGATCCCGTCATCTAATCGAGAAATAAATGGCACACTTGTGATAGCTTATTGTCTCAACTACAACATACTCAAAGCTCAGCGTAAACAAAGATAAAACGACAGAGATATTGCTCGCGACAGACGAGAATGTAGAATCCAGTTTTGAGAAAAAGTCATGTCCCATAGAGAATACACGCAAAATGTGAAAAATTGACATGCCTCCTTTAATCGCGAAAATACGCCATGATGCCCTTGTCAAAATGAAATATCGTGGTTACTGCATTTGTAGACAATATTCTCAGGTAGAACATATCAAAATTTGGAAGAAAATTAATCAATATTTACAAAGATACAATCAATTTTCCAAAAATATGATGACGTCATAATATGCAAATTGAAATTTTGAGTTCGGAGGCCATTATGATGACGTCATGAGTCAACTGAGGGTCAAATGAGACATGGAATCATATCTCCAACTCATGCTTTTTCTAATCATGATATAAAAGTTGGGGTCAATGGACTATCTGAAGAGCTATTATGATTTTTAAAATGGCATGTTTTTGATCAAATTTGCATTATATTGCCCATAGCAGCACGCGCGGATTTTGAACTTTGACGCGCGCTCACGGCCTTATGAAAGGTCAAGGGTGACTGAAAAAAAATGTAAATTGTCATTTACGGTAAGAGGAATCTAAATCATGTAAAAATTTTGAATTTGACCTTTTCCGCGCGCTATGAGCGCGCGCAACGCGCGCGGGGACACTTACGGACGGAAAATTTTGAAATGCTTAAAATGACCTGATTCGTACTCCCCTTTAATAGTTGAGTGATTTTGAGCATTTGTAAATTTTGACGCACGCGTACGTGCGCGTCGTGACCTTTATGTGACCTTTGATGACTTGACCTGTTGACCCTTGACCTGAAGTATATGTGATATGAATATGAATGACCTTTGCTTATGCATCACGAAGATATGATGGATAACGTGATTTCACAAAATGGCGCCTGGATGACGTCACGATGACCTTATGACCTTGAAAATGTTCCTGTCACGTCTCATGACAATGATCTATAACTGTTTCAAAATTGAAAGAAATTAACACAACCGATCTTGAGTTAACCGATAAACAAAAAACGGGAAGAAATAAAAATAAATAATAATAAATAAATAAACTAGAAATTTAATTCGTCATGGTGACGAATTAGGTGGTCTGTTTTCAATTTTATGATCATTGAAAAGTCAAAAAAGAAAAAAAAATGAAGAAAAAAAATTGTTGGAGACGCCCGGACTCGAACCAGGGACCTCGAGGTCAGAAGTCAAGTGCGTTACCGATATACCGAAACATTTTCTATTGAGAATACACGTAAACGGAAAATTGAATTCTCAAATCCCTCTTTGCAAGTGAGATATGAGCATGATCCCGGCATCTGATCGATAAATAAAGGGCACACTTGTGATAGCTTATTGTCTCAGCTACAACATACTCAAAGCTCAGCGTAAACAAAGATAAAACGACGGAGATATTGCTCCCGAAAGACGAGCATGTAGAATCCAGTTTTGAGAAAAAGTCATGTCCCATAGAGAATACACGCAAAATGTGAAAAATTGACATGCCTCCTTTAATCGCGAAAATACGCCATGATGCCCTTGTCAAAATGAAATATCGTGGTGACTACATTTGTAGACAATATTCTCAGGTAGAACATATCAAAATTTGGAAGAAAATTAATCAATATTTACAAAGATACAATCAATTTTCCAAAAATATGATGACGTCATAATATGCAAATTGAAATTTTGAGTTCGGAGGCCATTATGATGACGTCATGAGTCAATTGAGGGTCAAATGAGAAATGGAATCATATCTCCAACTCATGCTTTTTCTAACCATGATATAAAAAATGGGGTCAATGGACTATCTGAAGAGCTATTATGATTTTTAAAATGGCATGTTTTTGATCAAATTTGCATTATATTGCCCATAGCAGCACGCGCGGATTTTGAACTTTGACACGCGCTCACGGCCTTATGAAAGGTCAAGGGTGACTGAAAAAAATGTAAATTGTCATTTACGGTAAGAGGAATCTAAATCATGTAAAAATTTTGAATTTGACCTTTTTCGCGCGCTATGAGCGCGCGCAACGCGCGCGGGGACACTTACGGACGGAAAATTTTGAAATGCTTAAAATGACCTGATTCGTACTCTCCTTTAATAGTTAAGTGATTTTGAGCATTTGTAAATTTTGACGCACGCGTACGTGCGCGTCGTGACCTTTATGTGACCTTTGATGACATGACCTGTTGACCCTTGACCTGAAGTATATGTGATATGAATATTAATGACCTTTGCTTATGCATCATGAAGATATGATGGATAACGTGATTTCACAAAATGGCGCCTGGATGACGTCACGATGACTTGATGACCTTGAAAATGTTCCTGTCACGTCTCATGACAATGATCTATAACTGTGTTAAAATTGAAAGAAATTAACATAACCGATCTTGAGTTAACCGATAAACAAAAAACGGGAAGAAATAAAAATAAATAATAATAAATAAATAAATAAATAAATAAAGAAAGAAAATTCTGACGAAATTAATAGGTGGTCTGTTGACAACAGACCACCTAATAAATAAATAAAGAAAGAAAATTCTGACGAAATTAATAGGTGGTCTGTTGACAACAGACCACCTAATAAACACAACAAAATAATAAGTTCATTCCTGAGCGACTCCTCATAATTTCTGAACCGCAAAGTTCTGAATAAGTAGTACTCGATACACTAGAGAAAGGATAATGATGTGACTTTTTTAATGTGGCAATGTTGTCTTCAAAACATACATGCTCGTTCAAGCATGACGTGACGGATACCTCTGATTCTCACACTGATAAGTTACATAAGAACCACATGACTTGTACAGTCCCTCTACGTTAATTTGTTCGAAACGTTGTGGTTCGAAAATTATGAGGAATAAACTCACCAGGATAAACTTGATTTTGTTGTTGTGTTTATATGGTAATTTGTTTTGCAAATTGATCGCTCGGGTTTCTCAGGACAATAACCCCGGACAACCATCCCGGACAACTAACCTAGACAAGAACGGGTCACCTATTCCCAGAACAGTTAACTCTCCAGCAATTTGTTGTGGTATAAAGTAGTTCATTCACTTGTCCCGCAATCCGAGGGTTAAGGGTTCAAACATCCTAGCCCGGCTTTAAGCAGTGGTTTTCCAAGGGTCTAATGGGTCTTTTGTTCTAGAATCGTTCGTATCAATGTTTTAGCCTTCTCAAGGATGCCTCTGCATAATAAACACGACGACAAAATAAACATTGAGCTATTCTTCATTCCTATTTTTTTATTTTTGCTTTAATTAATCAACAAGAAGTCCGTGATTGTTTCTTCTTCTTCTTCTTCTTCTTTTTTCTTCTTCTTCTTCTTCTTCTTCTTCTTCTTCTTCTTCTTCGTCTTCTTCTTCTTCTTCTTCTTCTTCTTCTTCTTCTTTGTCTTCTTCTTCTTCTTCTTCTTCTTCTTCTTCTCCTTCTCCTTTTTTTCTTCTTATATTCTTCTCCCTTTTCCTCCTTCTTTCTTTCCCTCTCCTTCACCTTCTTTCTCTTCTTCCTCTTCTTCTTCTTCTTCTTCTTCTTCCTCGTCTTCTTCTTCTTCTTCTTTGTCTTCTTCTTCTTCTTCTTCTCCTTCTCCTTTTTTCTTCTTATATTCTTCTCCCTTTTCCTCCTTCTTTCTTTCCTTCTCCTTCACCTTCTTCCTCTTCTTCTTCTTCTTCTTCTTCTTCTTCTTCTTCTTCTTCCCCTTCTCCTTTCTTTCTTCTTATGTTCTTCTCCCTTTTCCTCCTTCTTTCTTTCCTTCTCCTTCACCTTCTTCCTCTTCTTCTTCTTCTTCTTCTTCTTCTTCTTCTTCTTCTTCTTCTTCTTCTTCTTCTTCTTCTTCTTCTTCTTCTTCTTCTTCTTCTTCTTCTTCTTCTTCTTATCCTCCTTATATATGCTCCTTTATCTTTCTTGTTTTAATATTTCTTTTAATCATTTATTTTATTTTATTTTATTGATATACCACCAGGATCTGTACAAGCCCAATTTCTGGTTCTATGCTTTCCAGCTGGGCCACATCATCGCTCTCGAGGTCCTGGCCTACGCCACCGTGCGCTACTTCGGGGCCAACATCTTCTCCTTCCTCCTGGCCGGTCTCTTCATGGGGACCAGCCAGACACAGGGGGCCTGGCTCAACCACGACTTCGGTCACCTCTCCGTCTTCAAATCCACCAAGCTCAACTACATCGTGCAGGAGTTCGTTTTTGCTGGGATTCAGGTAAACGCGGTCCTGGGCCCTGTTTTATAAAACTTGTTACCAATAACATGTTACAAGCTACTGTTATAAGCTACTGAAATCGTGGCACCTGATTGGCTGAGAGCAAATTTGTCATAGAAATTCAGCAGTTGTTATACATAACAATTTTTATGAAACGGGCCCCAGATGTGTACATGAGGAATGTTTTATGATGTAGCAGTGCTAAACGACAGAAAAAAACATTCTCATTCTGACGGAACTACAGGAAATAATTCAAATCGTCATTTGATTTTGTCGGAGGGGAAGGCTATCAAAATCGCCTTTTGTTTAAAATCAAACAGGGACCTGTTTCACAAAGCCTTTTTTCAATGACAAATGACAAAAATACGTGACAAATCTGCTGATAACCAATCAGAAGCAAGGATTTCTCTAGCTTATAACAAAAACTGTCATCTGTCACTGATGACAAGTTTTGTTAAATGCAGCCCTGGTGTTTTTTATAGGAGAGATCAATTCCAATACTTTTGTATACGTGTGCATGTGAACCCATGAATTAGTGTGTGTGTGTGTGTGGGGGGGGGTGGGGGGCTACACCCCGGGTAGGCCTATTTATTTATTTAGGTAGTATAGGTTTATTTTCAAGTTTTCGTTTTGTAGGTGCTGAGTTGGACCCCGCTCCTGCTCTGCAAAAACCATATAGTACTGGGGATGGATGGGTGTAACTTTAAGAAAACTCGTCCTGGTATTGCTCTTATGGTCACTATAATTTTGTTTACAATGCCCAGCAATCCTGATTTATATTCCTTAATCCTCTACAAGTAGTGCCGTCGTTCATCTCCCTATAAAGCACCAGAGGAGCTGAAATAGAGGGGCTTTATACTATATTCGTTATAACCTAAAATGGTTTTACGACAGCTGTTCGGTAGCAGGGGTAAATCGTTTATTGTCCTATAGAAACAATGATTTTCTCCCCGTTTCATGTTAAAGGAAAAGACCAGTTATGGTCATGCGATTGCATTGTGAAAGAAACGTTGTGGAATCGATCAGAAAAGGTTGATCATCTAGCATGTAGCATCTGCAAGGTTCTGGAATCATCAAAATGATAAGAAATTTGGCCCATTCTTCGTAAAGTTACAAGCACTATACACAGAAAGATGTATATGGGACTACCCTATATCTCTCACAGACCATGAGAGAAACAAATTTACCAAATATATGAATTAGTAGGCGGTTTCCCGGCAAATTTTTTATCTTCATGTATTAGTCAAAACATATTCTTTCACATGATTGGTAATGAGAGCTTCCATTTCATTTTTTGAAATTGGGGCGTTTCCAATACTGGTCTTTACCTTTAATTGTTCTGTTTCTGTTTTATACAGGGTGCACCGGCGTCTTGGTGGAAGTATCGTCATTATCAGCACCATGCTAAACCAAACGTGGTAAGTCACACCCTCTAATGACGGATTGAGAAGGGCACAACCGACCCGTAACGCCCCCCCCCCCCTTAAAAAATCAATCTTGCGTACCAGTAACACACAAAATACCCCCACTTATTATTGTTTTCAAGCCTTTTTAAACGTTTTAGCCAAAATGTCGCCCAAAATTTTACACCCCCTTCCTTTTTTTGTGTTGTCTTTCTGGTCAGAGACATCTAGATCTATCATGGCCTTCTGGACGGTCATGTGACTTTTAGTCAACTGTATATATTGTATAGAGACCCATATTCTGCCTTCTTTATTAAAAAGAGTTTCTCATGTAAACTTGTGGTATAGAAACCTGTAAATAAAGAAAATGTGTCTTTGGAGATCACGTCTTTTACTTTCCTTGATCAGTCATTTCGAAGTACTGAAGTACTCAATAAATTTTACTAATGATCCTTTGACTAAACACCTGAGAATTGACTCTCTCAATCTATCTCTCTCTCTCTCTCTCTCTCTCTCCCTCTCTCCCTCTCTCTCTCTCTCTCTCTCTCTCTCTGTATCTATCTATCTCTCCCCCTCTCCTCTTTCTCCCTCTTTCTCTCTTCCGCCCTCACTCTCTCTCTCTCTCTATCTCTCTCTCTCTCTCTCTCTATCCCTCCCCCTCTCTCCTCCCCCTCTCTCTCTCTCTATCTTTATCCCTTCCCTCCCCCCTCTCTCTCTCTCTCTCTCTCTCTCTCTCTCTCTCTCTTTCTATCTTCCTTTCCCTCCTTCTCCCTCTACTTCCCTCTCTCTCGATCCCCAGATCAACAAGGATCCCGACATCAAGATGGAAATTTTCTTTCTCGTTGGGGACACGGTACCCAAGGAAGTCGCCAAAGCAAAGACAGGATTTATGCCATACCAACATCAGCATAAATACTTTCCTTTTCGTAAGTCATATTCAATCATTCATTTCAGGACCTCTGTATGAAGCAATGAATATAGAGCTATCCGAGCTTCATGATTCGTTATACTTATAATGTATGCATTTTTATTTAATAGGAAATTAATCAAGATTAATACTTTAAGTATTTTCAATGGAGAGAAATGTATTCTTATTTGAATTTAATGAAGTAAATCAACCAACTGTTTGTAATATTGTCGTTTATGATACTCGACATGCAAATAACATATTATATTTTGTTTTATTCCAGTTTTGCCGATATTTCTGATTCCCGTGTACTATACCTTCGAGTTCTTCCGTTACGTCATCAAACGTAGAGAATGGGTGGTAAGTCTAACTTAATTCAACAAAAAAATCTATGCGCAACAAGATAAGTTTATTCTTTTCATTGTACCTTTCTTCGTCAATTGTAACCTTCTTTATCAATTGCAGGTCTTCATCATTTTAGAAATTTTGCTTATATTGGGGTTTTTTGAGAAAAATAGAATAAAGACTTTATATGAAGAAAAAAATAGTCTAACTTCCTTTGATAAACTCCTCAAAAATGTTGGAGTTTCATCAATTATATCTCTCTTCTAATGAGATGAATACCACTTCGTTTATTATCGTTCAAAGGTATGTTTATTCCTCTTTAAAATGAATCCATATTTGTTATGATTTTTTGTTATCCGAGGTATTCATGTTTGCCCTCTTTTTTTAATTACTTTTATCTTTTTTGTTGTTGGAATACTTCGTTTATTCATTTGTTTATTCATATGTTTATTTATTTCATTCCTTCAGGAGTTAACATTAATGATTGCTTTCTTCGTTCGGCTTTTCTACCTCTTTGCTCCGTTCCTCGGATTCGTTGGGGCGCTTCTCCTCTTCATGCTAGCAAGGTAAAGATCAACTTTTGTAGAATGATGTAGAATAATTTTTGACGGAGACTCCGAACATGACAATGATTTTTCTTAGAAATCATCAATAATTCTATTTAAAAATGACGACTCAGAACGCTCAGAAAAACAGCCCAGTTTCGGAGCTGTATTGCGCAATAGCATATGACGTCTCTGCAGGAGATTTCTCGGTAATAAGGAGGCTTTAAAATTTCTTTAAAAAGGCAAACTATGATATTAATTGAGGGAAAAAAGACATTTATCCGAAAAATAATATGTACTTGATAATCCCATTCATGAATTACAATGAGATTGTAAGATCCTTAGTTGTAGGACAAATCGGACATGCCCACAATGACGTCAAATGCGTCATCAAGCCACGTGACCGTATTGCCCTTTTTTTCGAGGGGCGTAGCCCAGCAAGCGTGAGATCTGTGAAAAATGGATGGTAATTATTATCATATTTTGGTCAATTTAGAGATTTTCTGAAAAATCAGAGGCTGGAATATTAATAAGTAGAGGTGTATTCATGTTTTGAAAGGCTGTGTTGGTTGGGTTAGAGTGGCCGTTTAAACGTTTATTATCCCTTTTCATCCTTCACGGCTTTAGGACTATTCAGAGTACGTGGTTTGTGTGGGTGAGTCAAGCAAATCATATCCCAATGGCTGTTGAACACGATGAAGCAGATCAGCACTGGGTTCAACTACAGGTCAGCTGATATTTTCAATATTCTTTTGTATTTGTGCTCTTTTTACCATAGAGTAATAATGAAAATACGTCTAATGGGCAAGAAAAAAGGGCATACATTATGTAGTAGCAGTGATAGTAGAAGTAGTAGTAGTAGTGATAGTAGAAGTAGTAGTAGTAGTAGTGATAGAATTAGTAGCAGTAGTAGTATTAGTAGTAGTATAGTAGTAGTAGTAGTAGTAGTAGTAGTAGTAGTAGTATCAGTGGCATTAGTAGTAATATTAGAGTAGTAGTTGTATGAGTGATGGTATAATACATAACAGTAGTATTTGTAGTAATAGTAGTACAGTGAATTTTCGTATTTCTTTCTCTCTTCGTTCATTCTGGGGATTTGTGTTATACTTTATGCGATTAATACATTTTATATATTATATCATTATTATTATATTATTATTATCATTATATCAATGCACAAAAAAGTTTTACTTTAGTTTCATTTTCAAATGAAACTCGATAACTGTCGTAGATTTGAAAAGAGCATACATGCAATGCATCGTGCACAAAATATATTACACGTGATGTGTTGGCTCATTTTTCAACGATTCCACGAAAATATATTTTATATATTGAATTAACGAAATAATAAATTCTTGTATAACAAAATTATATGTGTTTTCCTGAAAGTCATGCATTTTGTGCACCTTTCTCCCACAGATGAATGCAACATGTAACCTGGAATCATCAACGTTGATTGATTGGTTTACGGGTCATCTCAATTATCAAGTAGAACATCAGTAAGTGGATTTAAGACAGGGACTTGGTAACATTGTTCAGATGAGAGAAAATGGTGCTAGGTATAGTGACTTCAATGCTAGATGTACAATTAAAGATAATCTGAAAGTTTGAGTGAAAACAACCATTATTGATGATAGAAATTGGGAAAAACTGTTTTGATCGATTCCTTAATTCTCCCAACTATATTATTACAATTTAATTACATTTTAGGTGAATGTAAATGAATTGGCTCTATATACCATTCCAAAAATTTAAGTGTTGACAGATTTGTTAAAGCCTGTTTCATGTCTTATTTTCATGGGAAAACTGTTAGGAAAATTCAAAAATGGTTGGGAGAATTTACTGTTACAGGGTGTTGCAGTGACGTCTTCAAAGAAAATCATGAATATAGTTGTGGTTTGTACAGTAGAAGGAATATAATAAGTAACATTTCATACAAAAATTACGCAGTTTTTTCAACAACCTTCAACAATGTTACCGAGACAGGGATCGATGCAGGGGCACAGGGGTATGCAGGTGCCCTTCATCAATCAAACAGCGTGAAGAAAAGAGGAGGGGGAGACGGAAGGGAGGTGGGGGAGATTGGAAAGAAGATGATAACAGTGTTGTAATGTCTTGATGTTCGGCCTTGGCCTTAATGCGCCTTTAAGGCCTATTTTCCCATGCCTTAATTGGGCTTGGATGCCTTAGCCTGAGCCTCGGCCTTGGCATTGAGGGTTTAAAGTCTTGATATTTTCCAGATAAATCAAGGCATGTGTGCGATTGTAATATGGTACCTGGCCGGAATACCCCCAGGGAGCGGAGCATGTGTACTAGTATGTGCGGATTAGCAATTGAATTCAATGACCGGGTCATAATGAATACACAATGTTAAGTTCTATACAAATGTGACTATTATTTAAATACATGCTTATTTCATTTTATTTGCATTAATTTCCCTTTTTAGTCTTTTCCCGACCATGCCAAGGCACAACCTGCATAAGATAAGGCCTTATGTACAATCGATGTGTGAGAAACACAACATCCCTTATATCAGGAAACCATTCTGGACAGCCATGGCAGACATTTTGCGGTAAGACTGACTTTAATTTCCCTTTCCTTCAATTTCTGCATGAAATCAACAAGTTCAAAGTTTTATAATCACAGAATGAAAGACATGTCCATGATTTTGCTCTACATCTTTACTGAAAGTCGATCGCAGTTACATTAAAAGTATAATTAAGTATATTCTTATGGAATTTCAAAGTTAGATTGCCATTTATGAACAGAGTACCGAAGCTGTGACGTCATAAAAATCTATTTTTAGAATTTCTCTATTTTTTCTTCATTTTCCTAGTCATTAGGAGCCAGAGCATATAACACTGACTTCCTATAGGAAATATATTCATTCAGATGGTCATATCTCAGCCAATACTTAACATATTAATTTGGTTTTTCGACATTTGGACATTATTTTTGATGCTTTTTCGGGAAATGACAAAAAAATTGAGAAATTCTAAAAATAGAATTTTGATGACGTCACACTTCACCACTCTACACGATCGCAACTAATTTCGAAAATTAAATTAATACCCTAATGTATATGTCCCACGGAAATCATGCTCATATATAACGTGGTAGCAATAATTATTCGCACATTTCAACAAGTAATGGACAAGGCTATTAAAATCTGTCCCTCGGAAAGGACGTTAAATGGGGGCCCTGTGTACAGGGCCCCCTTGCACTATTCGTATAAGAGTAGGAGGAAACCCCGGTGTAGTGGTCCACCTGCACACCCCAATCAGGCCGAGTATATACAACATCTGCAAGAATCTTCAGTATTGAAGGAGGCAGATTATCTTGAAGAAGAAGAAGAAGAAATTGAAAGTTGATTTCTAGAAAGTCCCCTCGATCGTATTCTTGTCAAGAAATGCTCTCTCTATATACGTACTCGCCACGTTTTATGTCACTATATTTGTAATACTAAACGTTACCATATCTCTTTAATTGTGAGATATAAGCTATATTGCAAAGCAGTTGTTTTGTACTGAAGAGACTATCCTGTATAAAGAACACAGAATAAATATTTCATTTGGCATGTTTGATGTGTCTTGTACTGTTTTTTTTATATCTCAAGACATTCAATAAAGTGAAAGTACTGTTCTCGACGTATTTCATGAGACATGGTACCGTTTAGCAATTAGCAGTACTGCTTATTTTTAAATAACACACGTCGTCTCAAATGCTTAAACTATAGTCACCAATCAGTATTTGATAAATCAATGCTCAATGTTGTTTTATAGATGTTTATCCTCTTATTATCTATCACCAACAGATCCTTGAAAAAGTCGGGCAATAAGTGGTATGAGCTTTACAACATGCTCGACCCAGCCGGTGACCACTGACCTACACAAACCTTTGGATACAGGTCTAGAAAGCATCCCTGACGTTAGTCTATAATCTTGGCCGGTTTATTTTACAGTCAAACCTCTCTATAAAGGCCACCTGTCTTTATCGGTCTCCCTCTTTTTGTTTTCTTTTTGTTCTTGGCATTTCAGTCATAAAGTTAATTTCGTAAAAGGTATGTTGTTTGGATAAGTAAATAATCAATTTATCGGAGTATAAAAGGTTAATGATTTTATGATATTATTTGATGGAAGTAAGCTTTTTTTATCGATTGTATTGTAATTTTGTAATTAGTATGTTAGGTTGAATAAAAGACTAACAAAAATTCTGGAAATAGAATGATATTAGTATAACAATATCATGTATACTATATACCAAAAGTTTCTTTAAATCTAATTGTCTATTCCTCTTTCTTTGTAAACTGTCTTTTAAAGACCTACTGTACTACTTATAGCTACTTGCGCCCTCTACATAGTAAACAATGCCTAATCGGTGCATGTTGATCCCCCATGATCCCCTTTTTATTATGTTAATTAAGAGCTGATTTGATGATATAACCACCTGTCAGTGACCTTAAAGGGTGGTCTAATCCCCCCCGGTCAAACTAGTGCAGACGGGGTTTAAGAGAAATCCAAGAATGTGAAGTAAAATTCTGTGTGAGCACTCATGTGTTATATCACACAGAAAAGGATGTAAATATGACATAATATAATCTAGATTTATAAGGACTGACTAATGTTTCATTTTACATCCATGTCAAACTTGTTTAGAGAGCTCGGCAACGGAGCTCCCACTTGCTTACGAATGAACCATATATAGTTAAACCTGTCCATAGCGACCGCCCAAGGGAAACACAGAAAGTGGCCTTTGTAGACAGGTGGTCTTTGTAGACAGGTTCCTTAAGTACAATGTTTCGATGAGAAACCATTTACAAGGGAAACAATAAATGTGGTCCTTGTTGACAGGTGGTCTTTGTAGACAGGTGGTCACTAAAGCAGGTTTGACTATATAGGCAAATGAAACAAACCTTTATAGTTGGTTATGACATAATTAAAATTGGAATGATTGTGTATGGTCACGTACTTGGAACCTTAAATATTTTGATAAAAACCGACTAAGCCGTGCTGAAAATCACAAACAATAAGTTAAGCACGCACACAGACTTAAGTATGTGGGATGATAAACTCATTTGCCATCAGGAGTGGTAAACTATTCAACCATGAAAGCAAATTGATCCAGAAAATGAAACAAATTAATAGTGTAGACATTTTAAACGAAATTGGATAAACAGTAAGCCAGTAATGGATTTCTGAACTTGTATAATTATCCCCGTCATACAGGAAAAATGATTGTGTCACGGATGACTATCATAGCGATTTTACGAGTAAGAGATCATTTAGTAATGTTGTTTTCGGTGGAATGCTAGATAAATTGAATCATTTGCTTTGCAAATTTGAGAGAAAAGTCATTTCGGTGAAGCAAAGTAATTACATATATTTGAAAATATAGACTATTTATGTTTTGTAAGTACATTATGTAGTTATCAGTGTGTTTTCGCTCACAAATAGCTGTTTTGATTGTGTTTAGCCAGTCAAAGCAAACTCTTCAATGATGAAAAATTTAGTAAAACTAAATACCTATTTTACATAGGCCAACGTTATAATTATGCTGTTTATATAGATTGATTAAATCAATGAATATCTAGCTACATTTTAAAGCACCATCTCGTTTGAAAATATTTTTTAATTACTATGTTATTTTTGTAAGGGTGTCTTCTTTTGTATACGGACTTGGTTCGAAATGAAATAAATAAAACACATGTGTTATAAACCAACATCATGTTGCTACTTTGTAATTACTTGGTTTATACGTATACAAGAGTGAAGGGAGAGAGAAAGAGAGAGAGAGAGTGAGAGAGAGCAATAGTGAGATGGAGAGGGCAAAAGTGAGAGGGAGCGGGAGAGAGCAAAAGGGAGATGGGGAGGGCAAGAGAGAGAGCAAGAGTGAGAGGAAGAATGAGTGAAAACAGTAAAGCGTGTGGATAATTTAAAATAAGGTAAAGGACCTTTTTTAGCCTCGTCGGTAGTTGGAATTCCAGTAACTTAGTTACAGATTAATGCAAGTCCACTCTGATTTTAATATTTATTGAATGAATCCGTTTAAAATGCGGATTCTATCCACCATATCGACCCCGTGCTTCTTGAATTAAAAAAAGTCGACCCTAAGAGGAGACAACGGGTAACAGAGAGAGAGAGAGAGATAAAGTAGAGGAAGAAAGACAAAGAAGAAGATGATAAAAAGAAAAATAATAGGGGGAGCTATAGTGAAAAGAACGAGAAATAACGAGGTGTGTGAACGAGAGGATTGTGAGATTCTTTAAACTAAAATGTAAGAAGAGAAGAGTTGTGACAGATTCCAATTATCTTACACCGCTTACAGTGGAAAATAAATGATTTGATAAACTTATGGCAGGTTTTTCCAATGTCTTTTTTAATATGTTTGGACAGGGGTATACGCTTGCCTCGGTTACAGTTTTCTTTGTTCATGTTTTCTGTTTTCACGGTTTTGGTAGAATGATTTCTCTCTCTCTCTCTCTCTCTCTCTCTCTCTTTGCATTTCCTCTTTTGCTTCTTCTTCCAGTCTACTGTCAGTGGTTGAGTGGTCATCTCCCTGGTCCAATGGTTCAGCGTTATCCCATTGATTACGTAATAGTCCGAAGAGTCTAGACGAGCTCATTTGCATCATCGACCCACTCAGTGCATCGACCCGTAAAGTGTGCGGGCGGGCGGGATGACCTTCATTTGCATAGCAGTAAAAAATGCGCCTTCGATGGTCAATACCGGTGCGTCCGTCCGGCCCCGCGGATCGTTATAAATACCGTGGCTCTCCGAATGGCCACATCAGTTGATCTACTCGACACAATCAAGTAATCATCATGCCTGCCAAGACTAGCGGAAAGGGAGCCAAGAAGGCCGGGAAGGCAAAGGTCAGCGGTACCGCTGGAGATAAGAAGAGGAAGAGGAAGCGAAAGGAAAGCTACGGAATCTACATCTACAAGGTTCTGAAGCAGGTCCACCCCGACACTGGTATCTCCAGCAAGGCCATGTCCATCATGAACAGCTTCGTCAACGATGTCTTCGAGCGCATTGCCGGTGAATCTTCCCGTCTTGCCAAGTACAACAAGAAGTCCACCATCAGCAGCCGAGAGATCCAGACCGCTGTCCGTCTCCTCCTCCCCGGAGAGCTGGCCAAGCATGCCGTCTCTGAGGGCACCAAGGCTGTCACCAAGTACACCACCTCCAAGTAAATTAATTGGCAAACGCCATATTTACTACAAACGGCTCTTTTTAGAGCCACCACATCCTCAAGAAAGAACAAACGGTTTTTCCTATTATTATCTCAAGTCTTTTTTAATTCTATTATGTTTTTCCTCTTTGGCCTGTGTTGTCTTGGCATCTTTTCTCTTTATCCTTGGCTTCATTTATAATAAAAGAACCAAAATTGATAATTTCAACCGGTTATTCACCCTAATTATGATATATATATATAAGTAAAGATGTATATAAGGTACAATCTGAGGCCTGTGCCAGATTTCATATACCATTTCATATCGTGAGTCTTTTTTAAGTTGATTGTCTAGATCAGATAGCTTCAATATTTCGTTCAAGAGATTGGGGTAATAAAAAGACAGCGTTCTTCTATGAAAATCAGTCATAACCCTATAGTTTATATCGGTACTAAAAGACATAGTCCCAGCTTATAAATGACAGATGCATCAACAATCACAGAGGAAGATGAAATTACCCGAAAGCACCGGACCGGACTTGTGACGAGCTCGCCATAACAGTACAATTCACAAACTAATTTTTGCACATAATGATTAGGCCATTGAAAAAACATACTGCTAAAATGATATTTTTTAAAATTTTGTTTCAAATGAAAGATAAATGCTGGCGGCCATCTTGAAAAATAACCCGACTGGCTAGACAATGTACCGAGCGGCCATTTTAAAGAAAAAAGGGCCTCCTCCTTCCTATTTTTAAAAAGGGCAGGTCGCTAAACATGTTTTTTATTCGAATGGCCTTAAAATCTATAAAGATATACATGGACTATCTTTAAAAAATAAAAATCAATCAAACAATACTGAAGTGCAAACAAACAGTGCTATCAATTATATTAAATGTTCAAATAAACAACTGTAGTACGAATCGAATTACAGTAAACCCTGTGGCCACCTGGATTTTGTTTTAATAAATTGCTAAATGTGTTTTATTGAAACAATTAAATACAATCAAAATATTAACAAGTAATTATGAAAAGATTACAAAAAGCAGTAACACGTAGATCAAAATCTCACGAAAAGTAAATTTACACTTAGATGCAAGGAATTACATGCATATATACCTATACAACATTATAAAACAAACTTCCATTTTTTTAAATGCAAGGGTAATTTGTTTTTCTTTTTTGCAATACGATATTCAAGATCTTTATTATTATATAAATGTTTCTTTCTTTATTGAACTTTACTAAAACAGCGAGCTAAATGGATTTCATATTGCTTCCTTCTAGATGTGAACGTGAAGAATGTGGCTTCAGCGCTTAGCTAGAGTTCTGGTAATATACATTCTCACAGCATCCAACAAAATTTACACTGAATGTTCAAGATGACATGATAAATGACATGCGCCAAACGATTTTGGTAGAAAAATTTATACTGGCTGAGTAATGGGCATAGAAATATAACCATGTGCTCAACACAGGTCACCATGAGCAAATGAGACTTGTGCATTTTTTGTGGTTTTTATTGAAGGTGATTTCCAGCAAGTTTTTGTGAGTTTTTTTTTTATTTTACTGGTTCAGACAATCAGTCTACTGCATGATTTCGGGTAAGAAAAAAGAATAATTGACAGTGTATAGGAGTGCAAAAAACTGAGCAGTGCCCCATGTGAGGATCGAACTCACGACCTTCAGATTATGAGACTGACGCGCTGCCTACTGCGCTAACGAGGCTGCTGTACTAGTATGAAGTTTGAAATTAACCAATCGAGAATTAATTATAGCCATGTTCAAACATACGATGCCCAACTCAGGATCAGATTTTACGTACATCACGAGTAGTATTCACATACACAACGATTTCATGAAATATCTCATAGAATTTGAAACCTTTTTAAAAATATTTTTCTCCATTAACATTTTATGAAATGAACGCCATTTGTGGATGGCGAAATTTGCATCTCACTTACTCTTCGCTAGCATATATGAAAGTGGGGAAAGGGGAGCTATTTTCCCCCTTCCCCTGACAAAATGTTCATTTCCGACCCCCCCCCCCCCCCCTCCCCCACTCCCCCCTCCCCCACTCCCCCCTCCCCCGCAACCTCATTGGTAATTATGAATCGCAGGTACGTAGTGTTGACATATTTCTCTAAAGGCTTACCTTTTCTTCGTCATAAATAGGTAACTTTTGGAAGATGCCCCTCCCCCCCCCCCCGGCTGTGTTACGTAACTTGACCAGAGTCCTCCTTGCTAGATCAGAGTAAGTTGAAATGTCATGCCCCTCCTGAGACCAAGGTCTGGATACGCCACTGTCACACAGCACAAAAACCGATGTAAATATAATAACAATATAAAGTTTTTGGAAATTTTGAAAATTGGCTGGATAGTGATTTTTTACAATATTTGAATGGCCCTGTGGATGTATTATAAGCACTAGATAATTTAGCCCCTAAAACACTTCTGCTTTGGAGAAAAATTGAATTTCAAAATTTACCGGTGCTCACGGTAAATTTCGATAATTTTCAAATAGCACCTACGGCCGTACAATGGTAGCTGTGACCATGAAAATCTCAGAATATGTCGTTCTGATATATCATTTACAAACGTGAAAAGCTAATCGGTCGATTTTAGTCAAGAAACATTGTTTTAAAGCTAACTTTGAGAGGGAGCTATACAACGAAAAGAGTTTATTATTTACAATTTCATCACTTTAGACTCGATTTCAACCGCGACAACCATCACTGAATATTGTAGGGTCGCATATGTTTCCAATATGTTCATTTGGACCAAATTCATGACCCCATACCAAAACTTTTTAAAGAAAAGAGAATAACAACGAACTATGCCTGGGGATTGCCCCCCAAAAAGAACTATGAATTTCTATTCATGGGCTCGCCTCATTGGTTGTTGTTCAACAAAATGTTACCCCCTCCCCCCCCCCCCCAAACAAAAGGGTGACCTCTAAAGAAAATCAACTTGTAAATCAATTATTTACTAGGCCAGCTAGAGACAGAGGAGAATGGAAATGTTATGAGGAGGGCTTTGTCCTACGTCTGGATGAGCTATAGCCTGACAGATAAATAGATGGATAGGGCTTTCTGAGTCCTATGGCTAAATTGAGTTTTTAGTTTTGAAGGAGTCGTGATGAAGTCTGGTTTAAAGAGAGGATACTTGAAGAAATGTTTATGACCATAATTTCAGGTCCCATTTGCAGGCCAAAAAATGTTTTAAAGGGTTAAATTTCAACGCCAATCACCGGCATTTGAAAGGTAATACTAATTAGAACTTCCCTCAAAACGAAAGGGCTTGAAAATGACTTTATGTGGGAAAATAACGACCGTTAGTTGTCGAATCGACTTTAGTTTAGGGATTGCAATCTTTCTGGTAAATAGTCTGATTTTTAGACCCTTGTAACCGAATGGTGTACGTTTCGTGCTGCGCAAAGATCAAAGGCCATTACAAGAAGTGGGTTATTGATGTCGACAAAATTTGAAATGCTCATGTACCCTTTCCCATTACAGCTCATTTTATGTATGTTTAATATTACCATATAAAAAAAAGAAGTCAGTCACTCACTCAATAGTGTCTGACAGTGAAGTCTAGAAAGTAAACGGGTTACACTAGGACACTACTAACGTTTAAATTTCACAGAAAGGACATAAGTGACATATTCATAATTCCTGCAAAGTTCTCCCTAATTTGAAGTTGGCTGCAACTGGGACATTGTCAAACTAAACATATAGAAAAGGGTTGAGTACAAATATGTTGGATAGACTTCTTGCTACTTCTTGCTTGGACCAGGGAGGTGAGCCCTGCTTGGACGCCACCGCCACATCGCACTGTCCTCATAATAGCTATTACGTAATCTTCCCTCCTTACACGCTCATTCGTGCGAGAAGGCGGCAGAGTAATGATATTTAAATAATATGTAAATAACCAACCCGTCCGTCCGGCCCTCCGGCAGCACCGTCGCAGCTTATCGGCCGGTGCGCTGAAAAGAACAATCTTCACGAGGGTATAAATAGCTGGCCGCGAAGTTTGAAACCTCATTCGTTTCATTTCGTAACGACATAAACCAACTAAATCATCATGACTGGACGTGGTAAAGGAGGCAAGGCAAAGAGCAAGGCCAAGAGCCGCTCATCCCGTGCAGGACTTCAGTTCCCTGTTGGCCGTGTGCACCGTTTCCTGAGGAAGGGCAACTATGCTGGCCGCGTCGGAGCTGGTGCCCCAGTGTACCTCTCTGCCGTACTCGAGTACCTGACCGCTGAGATCCTCGAGCTCGCTGGCAACGCCGCCCGCGACAACAAGAAGAGCAGGATTATCCCCCGTCACCTTCAACTCGCCGTCCGCAACGACGAGGAGCTGAACAAGCTTCTTGGTGGAGTTACCATCGCCCAAGGTGGTGTCCTCCCCAACATCCAGGCTGTACTCCTCCCCAAGAAGACCAGCAAGTCTGCTTCTGCTTAAAAAGTTTACACTAGTCGTCTAGTGAAAACGGCTCTTTTCAGAGCCACCACATTTCCAAGAAAGAATACGAATTAACCTCTCCTGTTTGTTATTTTCTTCTTTTTTTCCTCCTTAGTATTTATTTGTTCAAAATGCTTCAGTATCTTTTCATCAAAAATTTACTAAAAAAGTATCATCTTTCACCTTTCATTGTGTAATCAGATTTGACTGGATTATTATTTACAAATTAGTAATATTTAATTAAAGCCTTGATTTTCGGACAAACTAAAACATTTTGTTGATTTTAAGGGGAGGGGGAGTAGAACCCAGTAGAACTATCATATTTTATTCGTAGAGATCAATTAGGTACCAGAGCCGGTATGGCTACTTATTTAATGACTGCACTGAAAGGGAAAGCCATACCTTGAAACCAAACTACTCCACAGAAAAGTAGGAAAAAGAGAAGTTGACTGGTGAAACTTCATATGAAATTGGACCAAAGAAATGACAATTATGAATTGTTGAAAGTTGTAATCACTATAGCTAGACCTATGTGTTCTTCAAATTAGCAGAATCAGTAATTGATGTAGTGCCACTGTGCCGGACAAAATAATGTCTCATTTGTTCCACACGCACAATTTACTTTTAAAATATTTTGGAATCATTAATGACTCAGGACTCGGGAGGGTTTGTTCTGCTTGGAGGATTTACAAATAACATACTATCCATAGAACATTTGAGTAGGGGGGAGGCACAGTGGCGGATCCAGGGGGGGCCCCGGGGGGCCCGGGCCCCCCCCCCCCCTTGAGAAAAAAATCATGTAAAATCACGTGATTTTTACCTTTTTTGGGGGTTGGGCCCCCCCCCCTGGAGCTCAAGGGGGGGTGCAAATCGAAATTTTTTTTGAGGATCAAAAAAAAAAAATGTGCTCACTACCCCCCCCCCCCCCCCCCCCCCCCCCCCCCCACTGAGCGAATTTTTGGCCGGCGCGTTTTCAAATTTTCGGGAGCAAAAAAAAAAAAATTGTGCTCAGTACCCCCCCCCCCCCCCCCCCCCCCCCCCCCCCCCCCCCCCCCCCCCCCACTGAGCGACTTTTCGGCCGGCGCGATTTTCAAATTTTCGGGAGCAAAAAAAGAAAAAAGTTGGGCCCCCTCCCCTAAGAAATCCTGGATCCGCGCCTGGGGAGGCATTAGGAGAAAAACAAATTAATTATATTTGTGTAGGCCTACACGTCAAATGGGTGAATTACTCGCGCCCAATAGTGATCTCATATTTCAAACATCCATAATTCTCTTTTTATTGATCATATTTATTTCAAATTTCGGCATTCGGTGTCTCTTATTTTCATGATTTCATAATTATGACGTGGATCAGATTGCCCTGTAATACAAAGATCATACTGTAGAGTTGAGCCGCCCTGATAAGGCGCTCAAACATTCAAGGAATTTCTTCCTACCGGGTATCACCTGGGTGTAGAGTGGCAAATGTAGATTAATACCTTTACCAATGAAAGTAGTACCATGGCGGGACTCGAACCGCGAACCATAATAATCCAAAGTTCGGTGATTGATGTATCCCTCTAGACTGAGTGGTCATTGGACGAAGTGATAACATGTTGATAGACCAAATTATGTTGGACCATATGACAAATCGGATCAAATAAAATGGCATTGGATCAAATGTTAATTTACTGCAGATACAGGGGCCGGAGAGGGAAGGAAAGGGTGTACTATATGAAACGCCATTCCTATTTTTGTTGCACACCTGTAGTTGGGCTATTTACCATATGTTTTTCCATAGCGCGAATATTTAATTCAATTTCAACTTGGGATAGACTGCTTTAGCGCCATCTCGCGATTGAAACTGTACAGTTTGGTCTAAGAGCAGTGGAGAAAGCTTTTCACATATAATTCAGAAAAGAAAATGTATCTTTTCTTTGTTTGGTAGTAATATTGGGCAACTATTCATAATTTAATACTTTGCCATAACCTTTTCTTTATATATTAAAGTATTAAATTAAAGGGATAGTTGAGTTCTGTTTTTAGACCGCAAATGCCTTCAAAGTGCATGGTTATTGCTCTTATTCTTATCTATGACATTTCTAGTACCCTTTTAGAACCTAAAATTGCTATGAAGGTCATTTTAGACCCCAAAATGTGTGAAATTTAGCAAATACGAGCATACCAATTCAGCTCCACTATAAAAAAAAACATAGTGACCTTCAATTAATTATTTAATTAAAAATAACACTACATGGGCCGGCTGGTTGTGCGTAATATAAGCAACACGAAAATGCCAACAAAAAAAACAACATCGGCATTTGCTGAAATACCACGTAAAAGGCGTTATTTCGTTTTTTTCAACGGTTTTTTCAAATTTGTCAAAATATCGAATATTTGTGGTGGAAAACAAGTATTAGAAATCGTTATATTTCAGCCGTCTCTGAACCGATTTTGATCAAAGATGATTTTGTCATTGAAATATTATGTTCTTTCAAATTCGACACTCAGTTTTTCATTATCTCACAAAAAAAATATTTTGTGTAGCGCCCTCTGCAACAGAACTCAACTTTCCCTTCAAGGATAACTGTTTTTGTCACGTAATTATACTTTTATTCACTTTTTTCTTTTCTCTGCAAATATGTACAAAAATCATATGAAGACCGCTGTGATGTATACAAAAACATCTTCAATATTAATGATAGTAGTGAAAATAATAATGATAATAATAATAACAATAATAAGTGTTTATGATAATTATAATAATGATGAATAAACAAAAGCTTTTACCTACAGCTTGACGTGCTTAGTTCTTCAAGAGGGATTGCTTTAGCGCCACCTCGCGATTGGAAATGTACAGTGTGGTCTAAGAGCAGTAGAGGAAGTAAAAGGGGAACAAAATCTTGAGCTTTTCACATATAATTCAGAAAATAAAATGTTTCTTTTCTTTCTTTTTTGGCAATAAGTCAGAATTTTCTACTCTGCTATAAAATTTTGTTTTCTTATATCAAAATATGAAAGGTTAACAGTTTTTGTTACGTAATTATATTCACTTTTTTTTCTAACTGCAAATATGTACAGTAATCGTGTGAAGGCCGCTGTGATGTATACAAAACAACTTCAATATTATGATAGTATGATGATAGTAAACAATAATAATAATGATAGAAGTGTTGTGGTCTAGTTGATATTTCTTCGAAATGTGGATCACAGGGTCCCCGGTTCGAGTCCCACCACTGCAATATCCTTTGGCAAGACATTAGTCTACATTTACCACTCTACCCAGGTGTGAAATGGGTACCGGTAGGAAGGAATTCCTTGAATGCTGTGAGCACCGAAATCGGCTGCCTAGCAGAGCCGGGGTAATATTGGAGCGCTTTGAGCACCTTGCATGGCGGATATGTGTGCTATATGAATATACAATATTATCATTACTATATTAATGATGATAATAATATCAATGATAATAAGAAGAAGAACAAGTAAGACTACCCTTACAGTGAATTGTACACTCAAAACCATGTTCACGGTTTGCGCCACTCATTTTCACTGTCGTTTGCCAATGATAGAATTAATATCTTCTATTCATGATAAAAACAAATGGGAAACAAAAATCTCTTGCAGATCCACGAAAACACGAAAAAACGAATGCGCAGAAGCAGTTTCAATTACATTTACGTCTATAATTTTGTTTGTTTTTAGTGAGTTTTTTAGTGAGTAAAATTAATGGGAATGAGTTGCCCTTACCCTTATATGCGTTGCCCTTATTTTGCCAGTCAGTTTTCTCATTATATTGAGAGCTTTTGAAGATTTCTTTTTTGCTATCAAAGTCGTTTATGGCAAACATCAGTGAATTTAGTCAACGAAAGTTTTAATAAAAATTATGAATAAGTGAGAATGTTTTTTTCTCTTTTTCGATATTGCCAGAAATCGAGATTGCCAGCATGTATATGCTACGAGTATATTATAACCACTCGCCAATTCCCGCCCAATAAAAATGCAATGAAGGGAGAGATAGAGAAAAAATTACTCACCGGTGTAAATATTTGTCCTCGGTCATAATTGCAACCTCATCCTCCCTAGCAACCGTCATCCATGGATACATTTGATTTTGTTTCATTCCGATGGGAATTGTCGCTAGATAATGTTCCCATGCCGCCATAATCGTGATAAAGCCCGCCCAAGGTAGGGCGACTCGGAGATACTGAGTGGCATAGACATAGCACGTCACGGACCGCTGGCTACTTAAGTGGCCTGAAAACCGCCACTGACGACGTTATTCTACGACGTCCTTTTGTTTTTCCCGCCTCGCCTATTGTCACGTATGTACTGCAATATCATGCTCACCCACTCGAGACGCCGTCGCTATGAAAGAATTGGATTTTAAATTCGGTTTTTAGAGAACACATGAGCAGGACAATGTGTTCATCTCATTAAGATAATGGCCTTTCAATAGCCTGTGATATGGCTTCAGATGTATTTGCACCACGCACGACGGTGAAAGGAAAGCGATCTTCGTTATAACGTGACTGGTTGATCAATACCATGTGATCAAATTTTTTTTTTAATTCATTCAGTTGTGATGAAGTCTTATTAATAGAATCCCCAGGTCATAATAATATTTTGGAAGATGAACAAAAATGAATGTTTCGTGCAAAAATAGTAATCAAAATATGTGACAAGCATATATATAGTTCTATAGCATGATGTTACAGTTAGGTATTATATTGTTTTGATTACAAAGACATCACGCTTATGCACTCAATTTTGTTTAAAGTAACCATTTCATTATGTTGTATGGTAATCTCGGAAAGTTTTATTCAACAACATCTTTTAAACTGTTAGACGATTCAGAGTTAGAAAAAATTATACATTCAAAAACACAATTTGAAATAAGACAGTACAGATGGCCGAGTGGGTAAGTGACTGGGATTTGTTTAGATCACACCACCCAGCGAGTCCCTGCCATGGCAGTAGAATCCTTTCGCAAGGCATTTACCTACAATTTTTTTTTACCGTAGGTAAGGTAAATTGCAGTAAATGTGTTCCTAGTGGGA